TTTTTGTCAATTTTCAATATCAACACAAAGCAATTCATATTTTGGCCAAATTTCATTGAAAATATAAGGCTAACCCCTTGCAATTTTTGTCAATTTTGGTCAAAAAATGAAATTGCTCCAAACTTCCTGGAAAGACTCCTAAGGGCACCTCGAACACATTCCAACTCGATTTAAGGACAGATAATCAAACATTTTTGCCCTAAACATTTAATATTATGTCGCCCCTAGAGGTTTCCACCTCTAGGGGCGACCATTAAATGTCGCCCTCAGCGGTTGTGACCGCTAGGGGCGACCATAATTTGTCGCCCATAGCGGTTATTGCTACCGCTAGGGGCGACCATAAAATGTCGCCTGCAGCGGTTCTGACCGCTAGTGGCGACCATAATATGTCGCCCGTAGCGGTAATTGCTACCGCTATGGGCGACCATTATATGTCGCCCGTAGCGGTTGCGACCGCTAGGGGCGACCATTAAATGTCGCCCGCAGCGGTTGCAACCGCTAGGGGCTACCATAATATATAAGGCTCCTCAGGGCACCTCGAACACATTCCAACTCGATTTAGGGACAGATAAATCAATACAAAGAATTTCATATTTTGGCCAAATTTCATTAAAAATGTAAGGCTAACCCCTTGCAATTTTTGTCAATTTCGTCAAAAAATTAAATTGCTCCAAACTTCCTGGGAAAGACTACTAAGGGCACCTCAAACACATTCCAACTCGATTTAGGGACAGATATATCAACACAAATAAATTCATATTTTGGCCAAATTTCATTGAAAATATAAAGCTAACCCCTTGCAATTTTTGTCAATTTTGGTCAAAAAATGAAATTGCTCCTAACTTCGTGGAAAGACTCCTAAGGGCACCTCGAACACATTCCAACTCGATTTAGAGACAGATATATCATTACAAAGAATTTCATATTTTGACCAAATTTCATTAAAAATATAAGGCTAACCCCTTGCAATTTTTGTCAATTTTGGTCAAAATATTAAATTGCTCCAAACTTCCTGGAAAGACTCCTAAGGGCACCTCCAACACATTCCAACTCGATTTAGGGACAGATATATCAACACAAAGCAATTCATATTTTGGCCAAATTTCATTGAAAATATAAGGCTAACCCCTTGCAATTTTTGTCAATTTTCAATATCAACACAAAGCAATTCATATTTTGGCCAAATTTCATTGAAAATATAAGGCTAACCCCTTGCAATTTTTGTCAATTTTGGTAAAAAAATGAAATTGCTCCAAACTTCCTGGAAAGGCTCCTAAGGGCACCTCGAACACATTCCAACTCGATTTAGGGACAGATATATCAATACAAATGAATTCATATTTTGGCCAAATTTCATTAAAAATGTAAGGCTAACCCCTTGCAAATTTTGTCAATTTTGGTAAAAAAATGAAATTGCTCCAAACTTCCTGGAAAGGCTCCTAAGGGCACCTCGAACACATTCCAACTCGATTTAGGGACAGATATATCAATACAAATGAATTCATATTTTGGCCAAATTTCATTAAAAATGTAAAGCTAACCCCTTGCAAATTTTGTCAATTTTGGTCAAAAAATTAAATTGCTCCAAACTTCCTGGAAAGACTCCTAAGGGCACCTCAAACACATTCCAACTCGATTTAGGGACAGATATATCAATACAAATGAATTCATATTTTGGCCAAATTTCATTAAAAATGTAAGGCTAACCCCTTGCAATTTTTGTCAATTTTGGTCAAAAAATTAAATTGCTTCAAACTTCCTGGAAAGGCTCCTAAGGCCACCTCAAACACATTCCAACTCGATTTAGGGACAGATATATCAATACAAATGAATTCATATTTTGACCAAATTTCATTAAAAATGTAAGGCTAACCCCTTGCAATTTTTGTCAATTTTGGTCAAAAAATTATATTGCTCCAAACTTCCTGGAAAGACTCCTAAGGGCACCTCCAACACATTCCAACTCGATTTAGGGACAGATATATCAACACAAAGCAATTCATATTTTGGCCAAATTTCATTGAAAATTTAAGGCTAAGCCCTTGCAATTTTTGTCAATTTTGGTCAAAAAATGAAATTGCTCCAAACTTCCTGGAAAGGCTCCTAAGGGACTCTCAAACACATTCCAACTCGATTTAGGGACAGATATATCAATACAAATGAATTCATATTTTGGCCAAATTTCATTAAAAATGTAAAGCTAACCCCTTGCAAATTTTGTCAATTTTGGTCAAAAAATTAAATTGCTCCAAACTTCCTGGAAAGACTCCTAAGGGCACCTCAAACACATTCCAACTCGATTTAGGGACAGATATATCAATACAAATGAATTCATATTTTGGCCAAATTTCATTAAAAATGTAAGGCTAACCCCTTGCAATTTTTGTCAATTTTGGTCAAAAAATTAAATTGCTTCAAACTTCCTGGAAAGGCTCCTAAGGCCACCTCAAACACATTCCAACTCGATTTAGGGACAGATATATCAATACAAATGAATTCATATTTTGACCAAATTTCATTAAAAATGTAAGGCTAACCCCTTGCAATTTTGGTCAATTTTGGTCAAAAAATTAAATTACTCCAAACTTCCTGGAAAGACTCCTAAGGGCACCTCAAACACATTCCAACTCGATTGAGGGACAGATAATCAAACATTTTTGCCCCTTAACATTTAATATTATGTCGCCCCTAGAGGTTTCCAGCTCTAGGGGCGACCATTAAATGTCGCCCTCAGCGGTTGTGACCGCTAGGGGCGACCATTAAATGTCGCCTGCAGCGGTTGCAACCGCTAGGGGCTACCATAATATGCCGCCCCTAGCAGTTGCGACCTCTGGGGGCGACCAATATGTCGCCCTAGCGGTTGCTACCGCTAGGGACGACCATTATATATCAATACAAAGAAATTCACATTTTGGTAAATTTCATTAAAAATGTAAGGCTAACCCCTTGGAATTTTTTTTCAATTTTGGTCAAAAAATTAAATTGCTCCAAACTTCCTGGAAAGACTCCTAAGGGCACCTCGAACACATGATGTTGGATGCCCCTCTTGCCTTGAAAAAAATTCTGCATAATTTGAACAAGTTTTTATGCAAAATTTCATCAAAAGAGTAAGGCTTACCCCTTGTGTTTTTTTTTTAAATTGTGGGCAAAAAAAAAAATCACTTCAAACTTGCTGGAAAGATGCCTTAAGGACCATAAAACACATTCCAATTCGATTTCTGGACAGATGTGCATTTCAAAATGAAATTTCGACGAAAATTTGGGATAAAATCTGTCAAAAATAATGATTTTGTTCCCTAAAAATCGATGATTTTTGCCCAAATTTTCAAAATATTGGGTGGTAAAATGTTGATTGATGCTCCTCTTGCCTGGAAAGGAATGTCTGCATAGTTTGGAGAAAAGTATTTTTTTGGCCAAAATTCATCACACTCTAACACCCAATATTTTGAAGATTTGGGCAAAAATCATCGATTTTTTCTCTCTTTCCTAATCAAATTCTGACCACATCAATCAGCTTTTATTAGTAAATGTTATTAATCAAACGTGTGAGTACAATCATCAGACTGTGTATTGCGTCTAAACGTTATAGCACGCGTAAAACAACAAACCCCATCCTGCACGCAGTCAAGATTAAGAATAAGCATTCCAAATGAGAAGCGGTGTTGCTTTTGTGAGATGACACCAGACTCGCAATCAGGCGACCCGGGTTCGAGTCCCGGCCTCGTTACTTTTTTTTCTTGTTCATATTTTCCAATATACTTTTTAGACACATTCTACTAAGCCTATTTATTATATTATTTGTATGCTTATAAAATAATGTGGCAATAAACCAAAATCAATAATTAATCAAACAATCAATATTATTTCTTGCAATCGTTCAAAACCGAATGTTTAATCCCGAAATCACAAAGGGCTATTGATATAAACTGTTTACAAAACACTGGTTGGGGTCTGAGCACAGCCTCATTATATCATCCACTCAGCCGCATGGTATATGGGTACAGACTAAACTGCATAGACCGTACGCCAATGATAAATGTCCCCACTTTAGAAATTCGGGAACAATAATCACAACTCTCCAAGGTGTTCGAGACACATCAAATAAAAGCTGATTACATCATCTTTCATTTTGTTTTAAATTTTTTTTTTTGGGGGGGGGGGGTAATCTAATTACTATCAGGAGAAATGTTCATCCGAAGATGATCACCCCTTGAAAGTCCCGATGCCCATCGCCATTTTGAAAAACGGTGCCTACACTCCATTGCAAAATAGAGCGCCTTTAGGGCCCCAATTTCATCCAAATTTCACAGAAACACAAGTTCACAATCCCGTGCACGGCTTCCACCCTTATTTTTGTTCAAACCCTCAAGTTCATGGCCACAATGTGTTTAAATACTGAACAGTTCGGGGAATGCAAATTATCGTGATTTGGCCGGCGTAGGCAATTTTGGACCGATTTGGCCTGCAACTATTATGAGATCAGCTCTCCAGTATACGGCGAACTTAATTGGAGACGAGACGTCACTCCGACTATAGCAAGCAGCGTTCCGAGATTTCATCGTTTGCGTGGGTTGTGACGATCCATCTTTTCTAAACGATAATCTGATGATCGGCGCTATGGTTCACTCCATTACACGAGGCGAGCATCGCTCAGCGAAGTCAACCCATAGCTGTTGTGTACACTTTACTCATGCACTGTAAACCCGAGTCAATTATGAAGAACCAACAAGTCACAGCTTTTTACAATTCCATGATATATTAAGCCGATAGTGTTTATCTATCCACTAAGGAACGAGTGAGCCATCACGTCTTAAGCTATTGAAACAGAGAGCATCATCAATCAAAATATACTGCAGCAAGGTATATGATACATGGATGCACGAAGTTGAGTTCATTGTAAGGGCTTGCAAAAGGACACGCGGCTAAGCGGTGTTTTATCATCCAAAAGACCCGGCAGTAGATCATTTTTTTCACCTGTAGAGGAGATAGGATACACCTTGATGGAATGCACGCACAACGAGACTGACACGATGTTACCAGATGATGATGATGATCGTCTCAGCCCGGTGGTGATCGCTCTCCGGACCGCCTACATCGCCCTGAACAGCCTGGCGATCATCCTAGCCAACGCCCTGACGCTGGCCGTGATGTGGCGAGCCCGTGGGGAGTTCCCACCGGGCTCCACCAAGCTCGTCATGTCCTCCTTGGCCCTTTCAGACCTAGCCGTTGGGGTGTTGAGTATATCCTGCGTCCCCCTCTCGGCGATGGACCGCTGGCCCTTTGGCGATACCGTCTGTACCCTGATGTGCTCTGTCTTAGTCTTATTCGGTGGTATCTCTATCGGCAACCTGTTGAGTCTGACTCTGGATCGCTTTGTAGCCATCACCAGACCCTTCTCCTACCCGACCCTCATGTCCAGGAATCGAGTCCTTTGCATGACTTGGTTCCAGTGGATCATTTTGACCGTACTCACGGTGATCATAATGGTCACCGTTCGACCGCGTGTGCGGTACAACCGCGCTGCCGCAATGTGCTTGATCCAACAAGGCCAGGAAGCTCTCGCACTCGATATCAACTATCTCTGTTTGTCATTCATCCTTCCTATCGCCGCCATGCTTGGCATCTACATCAAGCTCATCCACACCACTCGCCAACAGGCCAAAAAGATCAACACCGTGAACACTGCTTCTTCTACGGGCGGTAGTTCCCGGGCCAAGGCCGGCAGCGGCAAGGCGGTACGACTCTTCTGCGTGGTCGTAATAGTGTACACGATCTGCTATCTGCCGTTCTCCGCGGTCCGCGTTTATGCCGATCTGCACCCGCTGGCGCGGCTGCCGCCCGCGGTGGATTTCGTCTGCGCGTGGCTCATCGTCAGCAACAGTTTCTGGAACTTTGTCATCTACGTCGTCATGAACGGAACATTCAGGCAACTCTCCAAACAGATATTACTGGAAATATTTAAGAGGTGAAGGCTATATTACACAAGATTTCACACCCTTAAACTTGTCAAGCTTTGGCTTTGATGTTCGCTAGGGGTGGGACTTGAACCCGAGACTTCCTGCCTCACAAGTGCAGACATCTTTACAACTCGTCCACTGAGCTTTCCGAGATCGGCAGCCAACTTCTGCTCGCTATAGGCCTAGATCAATTACATTCACCAGCGATTTTTGAGGTGTTTGTCTAATGTTTATTCATTAACAACAAGTCTACTTTATGCATAAAAAAAAAGCGAAACCCAAATGTCGGGACTTGTAAATAGGGGTTGTGGCGAGATGCCTTGGACGGACCAACACAAAACAAAAACAAGTACACACGGACAGTTGGACCAAGATAGAACCTAATGCGCCTATCAATATTGTTTCCCCCACCCCTCCCCCGGGCTGCCCCACCCAAGACGTGGGGATTGTCACTTTTGAAGTGACAAAATTCCCACTTTTCTGGCAAAATTTAAGTGACAATCCCCGACCATGCCCCGACATACATACGTGGGGCGCACTAGTACATGCATTTCCATGTAGCACGCCAATGGTAACAATGTAATTTGAGTGCAAAAATCTGCAATGAGTGCAATGCAAAATCTCCACCCTGGGGCATGAAAAACCGTGACCAAATCCCGACATCGGACCTGGGGCTGCGGGGGAAGAAACATTTGATAGGCGCATAAGCATGACAACTTACGGATAAACTAGAATATTACGTATTCAGAGAGAAAAAAATATTGCTGGGAAAAAAACAAAATCGCTGAAAAATCAAAGATGGCGGCAATGCAAGATCTATACAGCGCAGTATAGAGCTTTAAACTATCTTTTAAGTATGCTTTGTGCCATTCAAAAGTGCCACCATTTTATTCCGTTCCATAAAAATGTCCATTTCTCTCATAATAAGGATCTTAAACAGTGAAACATTACATTGTATAAGTCCGAGTAACTAGGACTCTACGAATCGCCTTTTGTTTACATTTGGAGATGGTAGGGGGACTATCGCCTGACCATGTCCAAATGTTAAAGAAAAGGCGATTCGTAGGCAGGTTTCATGTTCTATACAGGGTAGCGCGGCGTTTACGTCAGCCAATGAAAAACATCGTTTCATTTAGCAATTGAGTTTTTTACCGATTGATATGTGTTACCATGCAGCGCTCAAGAATCATTGAGTTTCAAGTGAATAGGTCTTGGAACTAGACAAGTGCAAGAATTAGCTCCCGGATGTCCGTGCTCGCCATAGTGATACATGTATCATACAATTCATCATCAAACTGCTCATCAACATAAAGATCTTTGACAATTCAACGGTTAACAATTCGGATGAAAGATTACATTTTTGATCTGTCGCTGAAACGATTCAATCAATTTTTTTCCTATGCTGACTCAGACCGCGCCGGTACACGTACACTACTTTGAAATTAAATTACCGCCCTAAAAGCATGGCTGTGGACACATCACTTCATCTTCTCTGTAAATTTAATAACCTTGTATAGTCAGCCGTTATACCGAATATGTGTTTAGTTGCGCTGCACTTTCTACAAACAAAACGTGACGAGAATTACAACGAAACCCTATGCTTATTATTAGGCCCTTATTAAAGGTAAATTGGTAACATGCCGTACCCAAGGTTAGTGCGGTTATAGTGCGGATCGATTTTGTTCGCAAACAATCTTGTTCTGGTAATGAAACCAGTGCATAAACCTGAAGAAACTTGAAAGACAGAACACGAGGAAGAAATTTATTCTCAAAATGTCTTAATTCCTTGAATTATGTTTAAGGTACATAGGATTATTTGCTTTTTTGTGATTTTTGTTTTCGTTTGAGGCAACAAAACTGGTCAAAATCTTAAAAAGGGTGCAGAACAACTAACTTGTGGAAGTTTCAGCTCAGTGTATACTAACTATACATTTTGAGAAATCAGAGACCATGTACGTATGCACAAATTATTGGGTCTCGTATACTGGATTCCGTTGATAATGGTAACGTAATGTTATTAAGCAGCTTTGCCCGCGTTCTTAAACAACCTGCAATGAGTGTTTTCTTCCGAACGATACCATTTCAGGAGGAATAATTTCACAGGGTATTTGGTGCCAGTCCTATTTTCACTTTGAGCAAGGACATTCTCGTAAAATCGGTAGGTATTATTCCTTTAATGAAAATACAATTTTGTTGGCGCCACACGGGAAATTTGCTTTACTTCTACGTGATGTATGAGCCGAACGAAGCCCGATTTAAAAAAAAAAACCACATGTTTTTATCAAAGTTAAAGATGCCATTTCCATAGCAACAACACACTGTAAGTGTTCATCATGGGGTTATATTCCTTTGGAAGGGGATATGCGTGAAATACATTTACTTGTCTCTTTGTGCTATGTGTGAATTAGCTTGGAGATTTCAAAATTCAAAGTCCATCCTTTTAAAACGTCAGATTTGTTATGATTAATTGGCATACTGCCATTAAAATCCAGCCGATGTTTCGAGGCGGACGCCTTGAGATCTCGTATTGAGGGTTCCTTTGGTGGCCCAGTCCTTTTTTTTTGGATCTGCATTGAATGGACGGATTCAGTAAGCTCCGCCCACTGCGCACGTAACACGTGCTCTTCTCCAATGCCACACTGAATTTTTCAGCTGCGCGCGTCATAATACGCGCGCACGCATGTCGGACATGAATCACGGCTGTGATTGGTCAGAATACCATGGGGCAGGGCTCAATACGGTTTGTGACTACGTCGTACACGCGCACGCACAACTTCTATACTAGCGCCCATTGGCTAAACACGCAACTTTGCTTTGCACTACTTCCGCAGTTCCAATGGTTCCACATCACTGATCTCTACACTACTTCATGCGCAGCAGTAGGCGTGGTAAACTGAAGTGACGTCACATTTACGAACCGGGTGGATCGGTTTACCCTTAGACAGTGCAGTACAACTGCCAATGCCCTGCATTTATACTTTTAACCAAATAGGCAATGCAATGCGTTTGTAGCACATTCGGTTTTCGCCTCCCAACTAATGGTACGGGTCTATAATGCCAACACTACCGATCGGAAGTAAAGCTATGTAGACTTCCAAATTATTATCAGCATGGAAGTTATTCCCCATGATAGCAATTATCCTTGATTCCCACGCATTACCTTTAATTAATAAATACCTTGGAGAGTTGATGGTTTCTGATTGGTCGAGACTCGTTCACGTGGCCGGTCATTAACGGTGATAATGGACCGGCTTCAAAGATCAAGCGAATAAATGGCCCCTGAACCAGCATTGATCCAGCCCCGTTCAGCCCCATGCAAGCCAATGATTGGTCAAAATATAGTAACAGTCCTGCGGTAGCTTTTAACATTCGAGCACTGCACATGCGCTCAACCCCCGTCGCGTGAGACTGACGCGCGCGTACGCAACACAGTTGCTAGGGATGCGTGCGTGCGCGCGCGTAAGGAAGTTTTGAAACGACATCGTACAGCAGTGCAGTATATTCCGAGGATGTTTACGACGAAAGCGTAGATCTACGATTTATTTTCTTTGAACACTTTACCCACCGACATATTTACCTTTCCTAAACCAAGCTTCTTTGTAATTCCGGACACAAGGAATGTGTAAACGAGATTCCAGCTTCCTCCATCAGGTAAAGATATGAAAACATTGTTGTAATTTGTTTCGCTACGGCAGCAGTTTCTCTTGAGTTTACGTCATTATAGCTGTTAAGCTAAAATATGGCCCATGAACATGAGCACAAAAAAGTCTGGAAATATCGCCGAAAGAAAGTCACAAAATTGGAGCATTTTAACTGTTTATTTCGTTATAAAGGTATTTATTAATGGGAATAACAGTCGTCTCGGTCCATTAACAGCGGTCACCCCCACACCCGGTCATTATCACGCAGTGAAGACCGGCTCCTCACACTGTTATTCCCTTATTACATGAGACGAATTTTCAGCGGGGCGAGGCTGAAAAGGGCTATTCCACGGCAATCCGCGCACATTATTTAAATAGCTTTTGTAAATATCAGCGATGTACAGGAGACAACGGTAGTAATAGCCGTTCCAATTTAATTGGACCTTGGCCGAAAGCACAATTTACCGTACAGTAAGACTGCATAATGTAATGATAATTATCTGATGTAGGCCTACATTGTAAGGGGAGACAGTCATTTTGTAAGCAATTTCACGGATGGTTTGCGAGGAGGAAAAAGAATCTTAATCATGAACGAACGACCCTTTTCATTTTAATAGGCTACATCTCCTTTTTACCATACGTGGTCTACTATATTCTTGTCTGTCTTAAAAAAAAACTCGAATAAAATTACTAATTCACGTTAAATCTGTAAAGTCTACCGAAATGTTTTGATATTTATTCAGGTTTCGAAGATATTTGATACTTATCTCTTTTTGTTGTTTGGTTCCTTTTCGACGAGCACGTATTCGCTCGAATGATATAATTGTAGTGACTTATAGCAAACCTCAACGAGATGCGATATCCGAGTGTAATTTGTAAAAATACAAACAGTCTCCAATTCGAACTTTACAATCGGATGCCAGTAATATATTGAAAGAATCGGGACGAACAGCTTGTGAAAATTAAGAATTTTAGCGAAAAAAATACAACAGAGCCGGGAAAACTTAAATTTTGTAACCTGACTCAACGACGGTCACCTTTCTTATGTTTTCCCGCTCAGAATAAAACAGCACCACATTTTGTCAAAAACGTTTGAATTTGATCAAGTGTCAACTTTATGTGATTATAGTTTGGCACAAATTGAATTTTTACCCAAACACTATAGTGTCTTTAATGACGTATGACCCACAACACACGAATTACACAACGTGTTTTTGTTTTCTCTAGGCGAAAACTGCTCCGTTTCTCTGGGTCAGTTTGATCAAATTATAGATCTGAACGGCGGAGTAGGAATTTGACGGTTGTTCGCGGAGCAGTACATGTAAATGGCAACACAGGACTTCCAACAGTGGTGACAATTTTGACAGGACAGAAATCAGTTTATTGTATAGGTGTAGTTCGCAAATCAAGCAACCGAGTTCAGGCTCCGTGAGGTAATTAACAAAAGAGGGCGCCTTAGCCTAACAACGAACGCCAGACATTTATCAATTCACCTGCGCCATAATATTGGGCAAAAATAATTATATTGCGGTAAAAGAGATTCGTCCCGTTAAATTCTATGGGCAACTAAACCAAATTAAGAAAACATCAACGAAAGAAAAATCCCTTAAAGAGTTAACTTCATTCAGGCTTAAAAACAAGAGATTCATGCCAATGATACTGAATGCGTTATGACATCACCTTGGTTCTATTAATAATGTTATTCACAGTTAATGCGTGACGGGCGTGAGGCGCACTTTGTAGGGTTTCGGAGTGTAGGTGGCACCGAAGTGACCGTGACCTTCGTCCTGGATGACCTGCCCCGGGGCGAACTCGAACTTGAACCGCTGCATCAGGGTGGTGAAGAAGACGAAGAGCTCGGTGCGGGCCAGGGACTCGCCGATGCAGACACGGGGGCCTGGGAAAGGAAGAGGGTTGACAGCAATGCTATAGCGCGCTGTAGTCACACGTCCATCACAAGTCAATTACAAGTCAATCACAAGTCCATCACAAGTCCATCACAAGTCAGTCACAAGTCCATCACAAATCAGATCACAAGTCCATCACAAGTCAGTCACAAGTCAATCACAAGGCAGTCACAAGTCAATCACAAGGCACTAGTGTCAAGCAACTAGCTATTCAACTGAATTCTCACAAACGTGTGTTTGTTCCGATTCCCTAATCGACACCGGCTTTGTGAATTGATTTGATATTTAGGCCAATCTGTAAATGGATCCAACATGAAAGACTGGGCGTCAAGTGTAAAACCCGAACTTCCGATATAGTACGTAATAATTATGTCCCGCCATCATGCTTCTTAAAAGAGAAACATGTAAACTCAACACTTTCTAGACTCTTGGTGGCAGCAGACTTCTAAGTGTCAAGCAGCGGCACCGCTTGCGTAGGAGAGACAGACTTCCGCCTAAATTGTTACAAGTTGGGTTTCATTTTCTTGTTTGGCCTGAATAATATGTATTTACTCTGTCTTTCAAAATATTATTATCTTACCAACACCAAACGGCATGAACCCATTGGGCTCGGTGAACTTTCCCTCCTTGTTCAAGAAATTGCCCGGGTCGTACTCGTACGGCTTCTTGAACTCCCTCGGGTCCCGGTGCATGCTCCACTGTGGGCTGGTCACGAAGGTGTTCTCTGGTATCGTGTAGCCGGCGATGTGCATGGTGGCCGTGGTGCGGTGTAGGGAGCCGGTCGGCCCCGGGTGCCTCAGGCGGAAGGACTCCATGACGGCCGCCTGGGTGAAGGGCAGATCGCCCCGGTCAGACATCCTCGGCGGCCGGTGGGTGCCCAGGACATCGTGGATCTCTTTCCGCACCTAGTAACAAGTTATTTAAGACTTCTTGATTGTTTTGGTAACAGTTTGAGACAAGTAAGACAGCTAGATAGGGAATGGGATATATCTAAATAGTGAAAAGAAACTTTACTGACATCTTAAACATTGCCAAATGAAGGTTATGAGGTGAGAAAAATATACGAAATAATTTTTAAGTTTGAACTTGCATCGAGATGTCAATTACTTTTCATCGATCTTTTGGGTCGAATCGTACTCTTCTCTTTCTGCCATAAGAAAGATAATCTTTAATTCGCTCCAAGATGAATTTCACGCTGTATACAAATTTGTCACGAGGCCAAAATAATTATGTTCCCGTTTCTGGTCAAAGCTAAGTTGGAAAAGTGGTACTGTGACAACTAGGCAAGGCTCATGCTGACTTGAAATTTGGAACTTTGGCGCCACACAAACCTTGTCCTGTACGTCTTGCCTCGAGGTCATCTCAAAGACAGCCCACATGAGCGAGTTGATGGTGGTATCCGCTCCAGCCCCGAACAGCTCACCCACGTTGATCCAGAGGTAGGCTTCATCGACGGGTATCTTAGCATCTTTCCCCTTCTTGACTTCTGCAATCATCATGTCCAAGACGTCCCTCATGTCGTTAGCGTCGTACGTCTCCTTGTGCTGGTCGATGACTTTCTGGGCCATGCGCCGGAAGGTCATGATGCCCCGCCGCACGGCGCTGTAGGCCGGCGTCAAGATCAGCAGCGGCCAGACCTGCATCAGGTTGGTCAGCGAGGTGTCGGCCGAGATATCTCGGATGCTCTCGATGATCTTGACGAAGTCCGGGTTGCTGTACTCCATCCGGTAGCCGAAGGTGAAGGAGCAGATGATGTTGGCCACGGCCATGTTGAGCAAGCGGCGCGGATCTAGCTGGTGCCCAGCCTCGGTCGCTACTTCTTTCTCCAGCGTGCTGCAGAGCTGCTGGGCCTCGTCTTCGATGACTTTCTCGATCTCCCTGGTACCCACGCCGAAGTGGCGCAGTGCCTTCAGGGTGAAGCTGCGCAGATCCTTCCAGTCCTGTCCCTCAGAACGGATTAGCTGGGCTACAAAATGAAAAGTAAATCATGAAGATATTGACTAAGAAATTGACAGTATTCTGGTTGCCGTTATAACTTGACGCAGGTTTCAGGGGGAAGTAGAGAACTGCCATGATAAATCGAGATAGTAGGCCTACTTACACCAGCCAATTTAAAAGATGTCTGTATAAAACAGTGACAGGTTTTTACAAGCTAGGCCTAAATATTTCTGCAAAACTTAAAACAATGGTAGTATTTTCGCAATAGGTTAACAGAGTTAGGCCATATACACCCTCAGTTCCTAAAACTATACTCTGACAACAGAATGCAGCTACCTTTAACCCACGCGTAGCTAGATCGCTTTGGGTCTGATAGCGGCGCGTCTGATACGCGAACGACGCACTGCCTCAATATTTGTTTTCGACTCTGCCATGTATAGCAGCTATTGCATAAGTGCACTTTATTCTAGAAATCACACCAAAGTGCACAATGGTGTTCTCAATGGTGGAACAACTGCCAATAACGGTTACAACAGAAACAAAAATATCACGGTGGGGTTTTTTTTTGGGGGGGGGGGGGGGCTGGGGGGGCTCATATACGGATTCGGGTATGCAGAATGACATGAAATGCAGATTGAAGGTTTTATTGTCAGTCCACCATTCTCATGTCATGTAATACATATTGAAACAAATTAGGCCAAGCAAAAATGAGCAGAAAATCAGTCAGAAGCGATATAAATCAAATGACATTTGACAAGTAACTGGTTTAATAAGCAATTAGTTTCTGTGCTGAGCAAATCCCTGTGCTATATTTGGCTACTGATCTGACCTGGCATTTTCCTGAGCGAGAAGCCGATGTCAGTGGGATGAGGCCGGCCGCTGGACACGTCACCGTTCTTCACGAACGCCTCTTTGGCCAGCTCCACGTCGTTCAGCACCACCACCAGCTGCGGCCCGAACCGAATGCTGAAGATCCGTCCGTACTGCCGGCTGATCCTCAGCAAGGCCTCGGCCGGGTTCTTGTAGCCTAGTCGGAAGTTGGCCCCGATGATGGGCAGGCCCCATGGTCCCGGCGGGAGGTTCGTGAGCTTCAGTCGGTTGTAGACGTACCGGGCCAGCATCAGGAGGACCGAGTACACCACTACGTTGCGCAGGGTGCAGAACTGCCACACCAGGTGGGCGTAGTGTCCAACCTCAGCTAATGCGTCCGCCATTTTGTTCAAGCTAATCAAGCAATAGCAGTTTGGTCCAGGGAATTAAACGCGGTGGACATGGACTTGTTCAACGATTCACACGGGTGATCTGCAGTGCTTATGTTGAAGTTCACTGGCAGAGACAAAGGCCGTCCAAAAATAAACATTTTGGTGGGCCAAATATAGCTGGGTCGCGTCGCGCCTGCACTACATCAAGATGTTTTATCAGAGGTCAACTTGGGATTGCAGGTCGGCCATAACTCAGAGTCCAACTGCTGACGAACTTTTGTGACAAATATAGCCACATCCACCGCTGAGAACTCTTATTGCACATACCAGGAATAATTATGATAAAGCACTGTGGCAGAACTGGGAACAATTTACAAGGGACACCAGCTTGGAATCCTCATTTTCTGGAAGAGCACACGATTGGTTTGATTCAATCAACACAAACATCTTTTTCCTCCTCCAAATTCTGGAGTGGCAGTTTTCTTTTCTTAGAACAGTCGAAAATTACCAGTTATTTCTTGACTTATTTTAAAAAAAAATAACCTTTTCTTTCCTACTACCACAGTGACTCTCTTTCCCCTTTAATTCCCGAGGGGGGGGGGGGGGGGGGGGTTCAACTTTTATATTGGCTAGCAGGGCTCTATTCTTTAATGAGCAATTTCATCATAGACAAAAAAATGAATATGAGGACACAAGTTGGTTGGAGTTGCAGCTGAAACAGACCTTTATTTAGAAAATGAATATAAAAATGTTAAAACCATATAAAATTGATTTAAAGTACAGTGATTTCAAAGAGTACCTTTGATAAAAGAGTGAAGGTTAACCAATTTTACAAACTGCGATGGACAGCTGAATGAAGAGACATATTGACATAGAGTCAAAATCGATGATGGAGGGACTGGGGCCCAGTCTATTTGACAATACAAGACCTTTATCATGCTGCCACCATTTCAGTCATGTTCCCTGTATCTAATAACAGTACTGAATGTTTTTTTTTGTGCAAAAAGGAGCCAGACTATTTTTCCTTCCAGCCTCGCTTTGGTTTAATACGTTGATTTGAATGGGGAAAAAATCAAGATGGCTGCAACATGATAATGGTCTATAAAAGGGCGCTATTAGCGGGTTTTCACGAAAGTGAGGGCAAGTTTTTTCATGGCTGAAGGCTACTGTGACCATTAATGATACTTTGAGATTACAATAGTATATTTATTTATTTCGAAAGGAATTTTTGTATCGTTGAGCGCCCTCACTTGGCCAAAAATGATGTTCTGCAATCTCCGGGTTAGTACTTTTTTCTTTTTGCTTTATTCCTACACTACTCTATTTTAATCCCTTAATAGCACCACACAGGAAGGTATATCTGGGGATGGTAATGAAAATATAATTGAGTAATACGGGACAGAAAAAAAATTCATTTTATGAAAGGGGACCGACGAAGGTTGCATTAACATAACTTACTTAGTTCACCAAATTCTGTCGTTTCCAAATTTAGGATGGGTTTTTAGGCTAATTCCAATATCATTACAGATGTGAGAACTTGACTAATTTGATTCAAAATTGTGTAAGTTGTTTTTAAATCAAGAATTAAACGTTGGAAGTAATCAGGAATTAGCTGTAAATTGTTATTTAGCTTATTTTGTAAGTTGCCTGATTTTGCCCTTTTTTTTTGGACATCAAAACTTTGATCACACGATTCATTAAAATTTAATTATTGTTTTCAAAAATATGGAACATGTTAAATCACAAATATAAAAAGGTGCTTAAAAAGTTTTGAAGTTGTTGTTAGGTTAAAAATAGTTTTTATTACTATAAAAATAGAAAGCTACCAAAAAAGGAGACGATGGTACTTATATTCCCTGGGGTATAAGTGTTAGTACAAAAAGTGGTCTCTAAACGCTACATTAACTAAGATTTTACTAGGCCAAAATGTATCCCAAGTTGGTAAGAGCAGACCCGAAATCCCATGACAGTCACATGGAAGTCACATGATCTTACATACAATTGGTACTAATGTTGAGAAATGTAGCAATAACTGTTACTTTTACTTTCAGAGTTTAAGCAACAGAAATGCTTTCAGACTTCACTGAACTACGGGACAATTTTGGGTGATGGTAAGCCCATATGACAAATATGGATTGTCTAGCTGCTGATTTTTTTTTTTTAAATTCTTTTTTTTTTTCATTCGGTGATGAAACTGCACTTTTTCAACTTGGGATACTTTTTGGTATTCAAGCATAGTTGAATGACCTTGAGCATGACCTTTCGAACATGAAACTTTTTAGAAGATAGTTCAGCTTTGAGTTGGGAATATCTTCTGGAAAAAAAAGACTCGGTATTGCTACCGACTCGTTCAAACCCTTTGCAAACCAAAATTCTGAGAAAAAAAGTGTAGAATGCTCAAAGCCAAGAAACTATGCTAATTTTTACTCGTTCGTCGTCATATTGAAGCAGTACATACCCTGCAGTTCTAAAACTGTTGTGCTTTGGAAATCAAAAATCTGAATCAAAAACGTTGTCTTTTCATAATATGAGGACACAAGATTTAATATCAGGACACAAGTAACAAGGGGCATTGTTTATTTGTGTGAATCCTTTTTGGGGTGGAGAAATTTCAATAGTCATTTGTATGAAAACTGAAACTTGTTCGCACCAGCCAATAAAGCAAGATATTTGTAAAATAGTGACAGGTTTAACCAGCCTAACAGTTTCTGAACTCGCAGGTGTGCTGCTTCAACTATCCGTTTCCAGTCCAGGTTCACGTCAAAAAAAGACACGAGAATCAAAAATTACACAAATAGATCAGTGTCTAATTATTTGTTTTCTTTAAACAACACCACTCCCCCCATAATCACATAAAATCCAACAACAATTACGTCAAATCACCAAATACACAATCCAGACTACACAACTTAAAAAAACAACAACCAAAAAACAAAAAACCGAACCACTTATTTGAAGAGTAAAATGTAAAAAAAGGTTTAAAACTTGTCAAATTATGTTGTACAGAGTACTCAATATTTGTGCATTTTTTCGCAGAACCTCGTTGGAAGTTGCGTTACAGCGCCCTCTCTAGGTGGCTGGGCAGGACATGGCGTTGATGTCGCCCACGATGTCCACCGCTTCCTTGAAGTTGACCAGGTCGTCGCGCAGCATGACGTCACGGATGCAGCCCACGAATCCCTCCGCGGTGGTGAGTCCCGTATGATCGGCACCATCTGGAAGGAAAGATACATAAAAACAGGTTCAAAAATCTGAATAAAAACAATGGTTTAGGCCAAAAAAAAAAGTCTCCGGTTTCTGGTATGGAGCTTGCCCAAAAAGTGGTGCGGCGACGCGGCTTTTTTTTTTTTTACCTGTTTTTTTTTTGCTTCAAATGTCGGCGGATGACTGCAAAATGGTGCCCGACTAAACTTAGTGCATATATATGGGAGTCCAGAGAGGCCACATAAAGCTTATTCTCGATCATAACCCCATCTAAAAACACGTTAAAATTGTGCAGCAGCAGGATTCCAGTCAAACCAGTGAGTTTGGTGGTTTTGAGACATCATCTTTCATTGAAAAAAAAACTTTTTCATTTTGCCGACGCGCATGGCTACGGCGACACGCGCGCATACCAGAAACCGGAGACTTATTTTTTTTGGCCTTACTGTAGGTGTTTTTTTTTCTATAACCGGCAAATATGGCAAGCAATGACTATATTTAGCCATGGAACTATGACAGTAAGAGTGCGAGTGGTACTGTTCTAAAACCTTCACAAAAAGTTACTTGTTTGACTTTTTAGTCACTGTAGCACCATAAATCGACCTGCCTATTTAAAATGTTGATTTTTACCCCCCAATGAATTTTTCATTTGTAAGCTTTGTTTAAAAGATAAGAAATTACTTTATTCCAATTTAGGGTGTCTACCACTTTCTGAAAAAGGCTTTCATTTTGTGCACAAATGAACCTGCCCTGCAACAGCCAAATTATTATCTTGCAATATTGTGAATTGTTGAATTTTGTGTAGAAAAAATCAGTAACTAAACGTCAGTGTTTTTTAAAAAACGTCGGTGAAGGGCAAAACCTAATTTGATTTATATCACCCCGACGCAAAATTCCATCTTATAATAGTTTATGCGGTACCCGCTGCTATGTACATCAGATTCGAACCGGCCAACCGATCCCGTTAGCTCGGTGGTCGAGTGGTAAGACCTTTGCACTAGAAAGCAGGAGGTTGTGGGTTCGAGTCCCACCCGAGTGATTTTTCCAACTTTCACTCGGGAGGTAACACACTGAGTATACAGTGTTTAAAAAACGTCGGTGAAGGGCAAAACCTAATTTGATTTATATCACCCCGACGCAAAATTCCATCTTATAAACGTCAGTGTATTTTTCGTTTGATAAGTTTGATGTTGCTAGGAAAAAAAATTGGGAAAAAAAAATAATAAAATCTAGTTTGCGAGGTTTCAATGCGAATAAAGCATGGGGCATGCATCTTTATTTGTGTGTCATTATTATTCAAATTCCTTGAAGGGTTTTGAAAATTTTGTCAACAATTTGTACGTGTCACCACCTAATGTGCCGCACTCCATCAGACTCGCCTATTGAGGGCGCTATTACAGTGAAGCATGAAAACAGCATTCTACTCACCGGGTATGCCGCCGAAGTAGAGCGGATCTCTAGTGTCGGCAGCGATGGCGTTCTCACTGCCCACGCCCTGCTCCCCTGGCTCCCCATCCACTGTCAACATCAGCTCATTCTCAGTCTTCTCCACTAAAAAAAATTAACGAGAAAACAAATTTTGGGGCGGTGCAAGCATAGTCTTAACTTATAATGTACTGCCCCAAAAACCCTGTACTGCCCCATATCATCCTGCCCGTTTCTCCCTGTACCGCCCCACACAGCCCTGCCAGTTGTTCCCTGTACTCCCCTACGACTTCTTCTTGTTACTCCCTGAACTGCCCAAAACCTCCCTGCTTGTTACTCCCTGTACTCCCAAAAAACCCTGCTTGTTACTCCCTGTACCGCCCCAAAACACCTTGCCTGTTACTCCCAGTACCGCCCCAAACCACACTGCCCTTTGCTCCCAGTACTGCCCCAAACCAACCTGCCTGTATACTCCCTGTACTGCCCCAAACCATCCTGTCCGTTACTACTTGTACCACCCCAAACGGCCCTGTCTGTTACTACCTGTTCCACCCCAAACGGCCCTGCTTGTTACTCCCTGTACCGGCCCTAACCACCCTGCCTGTTAATCCCTGTACCGCCCCAAACCACACTGCCCTTTGCTCCCGGTACTGCCCCAAACCACCCTGCCTGTTACTCCCTGTACCGCCCCAAACCACCCTGCCTGTTACTCCCTGTACTGCCCCAAACCACCCTGCCTGTTACTCCCGGTACTGCCCCAAGCCACCCTGCCTGTTACTCCCGGTACTGCCCCAAACCACCCTGCCCTTTGCTCCCGGTACTGCCCCAAACCACACTGCCCTTTGCTCCCGGTACTGCCCCAAACCACCCTGCCTGTTACTCCCTGTATTGCCCCAAACCACCCTGCCTGTTACTCCCTGTACCGCCCCAAACCATGCTGCCCTTTGCTCCCGGTACTGCCCTACACCACCCTGCCTGTTACTCCCTGTACTGCCCCAAACCACCCGGCCTGTTACTCCCTGTACCGCCCCAAACCACACTGCCCTTTGCTCCCGGTACTGCCCCAAACCACCCTGCCTGTTACTACCTGTACCGCCCCAAACCACCCTGCCTGTTACTCCCTGTACCGCCCCAAACCACACTGCCCTTTGCTCCCGGTACTGCCCCAAACCGCCGTTCATGTTACTCCCTGCACCACCCGGAAATTTTGTAAAGAGAAAGATAACCAAAAGGAGTACCTAGGATGTCATGCCAGTTGCCGTCGCACAGGAAGAAGGTCCCCTCGGGAGGCACATAGGTAGCAACAATCTGGCCTCCTCCATTCTCACAGCGCAGGTTCAGCTGAGAAAAGACGAAAACAGAATAATTGTGATGCGAGCAAGCTAGATGAGTCGTCCGCCGACCCTGGTCAAATTTGTTAGTTAAAAAATAGTTAGTTACGCCACTGCTAGAGCGACTGCTCCGATTGGACTTACCACTCCGTCCACCATCTCCAGAGAGAGGTAGTCCCCGCGAGCGCCTTGGACGGACATCAGGACAGCCGTGGAGACTCTTGGCTTGATGGACATCCTCATCTCAAAGGTGCTGCCGATAGAGTAGGCAGAGACTAGGGGAATGGAAGAGGTGAAAACAGATAGAGAAATTAGCACAACATTGTATACAGGGTTCCCATTACTCAAAATTTCCAGAGTTTTCCCGGAAATTTTCCGACATCCCATGAGAAATATTTCCAACTTTAATGGACCTTAGGGAATGTACTTGGAAAACAGATGGAAAAGTGTGATGAAAAATTTATACCGGGTTCCCAGCACTTTATGAAAACAAAATTCCCAGAGTTTTCCCGGATATTTCCCTGAGAAATTTCTAACATTCCATGAGAAACATTTTCAACCTTAACGAGCCTTTTCCAACTTTAAAAAGCCTTGGGGAATAGAAACCAGAAACAGATGGAACAGTGCGATGAATAATTTATGCCGAGTTCCCAGCACTTTATGAAAACAAAATTCCCAGAGTTTTCCCGGATATTTCCCTGAGAAATTTCCAACATTCCTGGAGAAATATTTTCAACCTTAACGAGCATAGGGGAATGTAAATGGAATACAGACAGAAAAGGGTGATGAACTATTTATACCGGGTTCCCAGCACTTTATGAATACAAAATTCTCACAATTTTCCCGGATATTTCCCATAGAAATTTCCAACATTCCATGAGAAATATTTCCAACTTTAACAAGCCTTGGGGAATGGAAACCGGAAACAGACAGAAAAGGGTGATGAATAATTTAAACCGGGTTCCCAGCACTTTACGAAAACAAAATTCCCAGATATTTCCAGGAGATATTTCCACCATTCCATGAGAAATAGTTTCACTATAACAAGCTTGTCGGGAAGTCCAGAGTTGGTTGCAGCAAAGCAAATAAGATACTGATAATTCACGGGCAACTTGTTGACAAGGGATGGCCTTCCTTCTGCCCTTATAGCAATCCTTTCCTTACCACATGCAACAGAGACGCACATACGCCCAACTGGCGAAAACCTTTCCCTTCTGGGTCACTGTCAAATTTCCCAGACTTTTCTCAGATTTTTTTGGTGGTTTTTTTTTTCCCCTCCAAATTCCCCGAGTTTTCCCTGACTGGAGAAATGGAATCTTGTTTCCAAGTTTTCCCTGTGTCCAGAGTGGCTGGGAACCTGTTTATAAACAGCAGCGGAGTTGTTTCCAAAGCTGCGAATGTTAATATGTAAATTATAATTAGCATAAAAAGGCCAAGATCAAACTCTTTGACACGGAACAAACAATCGATGTACAATAATGTTACAACTGGTCTATGGGCTTGCCGTGCCCAGCCGGCACCTCTTTCGTCCAAGTTATTTTCTTGCTGTGCCCAAAACTTAAGGATATCGCTTGGCCAATTTATGCGCTTAGCCGAAAATAAGCTGGGGACCATTACAACTCATGACATATTGGTTGGTAACCCGTCTCTGCTATTAAGCAAATCTTTTCTGTGCTTACTCTGCTCGAGCCATCCCCCTTCATTGCCGAAGAACACTCCTGGCTCGATGATCCCCGTGCAAGGCTCCACCTCAACGACGTTGTCTGGTTCACCGATGGGTGTGTCGGCTGCATCTTGCCCGAGCATGAAACCTCGCAGGCAACCGACAAAGCTCACGCGAGACAACGGCTACATTTGTGAGAGACAGAATAACAACAAAATTTAAATCAAAAAGCAAGAGATTTCTACTTCTATCAAATGCATTAAGTTCTACACTTTAAAGGCAGGAACACGAATCCAATCTACAGGGTGTCCAGACAAAAAGTGAACCCTCTTTTTCACAGCTCTTGAAAGAATACATCGCAAAAATCGATACATATTTGGAGAGTATATAAACTGCTCAGTTGATACAGTGGCAATTCTCACTTAAAGCCAGAGTCCATCATTTGCAGCTATCCAAAAAGTAACTGGCGTAATTATTGTTGAAAAACATACCTGGTTGAAAGATAGTAAGGGGACTAAACTCCCTGTGAAGTTATTCTTTCTGGCAAGCGTTGATTTTGAAGAAATCAACGAATGAAGGCCTTTCAAATGGCACCGTAGGAAATTTCCGTTAGTAGTTCGTTATTTTATTCGGCGAAGCGCGCACAAGGGTTGACACGACGCACAAGCGCGCGGTTGCTACAATTCGTCGGATCAGTGCGCAACATCACGGACGCTGAACTGAGGCCCAATTCAAAACATGATTCAGCAACTTTTGATTTGAAATGGAGATCCTAGACTGCTGTTTTTCTCAAAATATACAGCACAAGCTGAGCTGAAACTTCATCAGGTTAGTTGTTCAGCACCTTTCTTTAGATTTTGATCACTTTTGTTGCTTCAAACAAACAAAATGCACAAATTACAAATGATGGACTGTACCTTTAAAGAGAGAATTTTCACTATATCAACTGAGCAGTTTCAAAAACTTATTTTGTGAAGTTCTCAATAGAAAAAACCTTAAAGAAAATAGAAATAAAGAAAAAATAAACAGGTGTAAAAGAGGCTTACATCAACTTTATTGGCCTTCATGGCGGCTGCGACTTCCGAGTCAACTCCGCCGATGTAGACGGGCGTGGTGGTCCTCAAGAAGATATTTCTGCCAGCGATCTCGTCCTTATTGACCAACTGACCGTCAATGATCAGCTCGCCTAATTCACCCACTCGTTTCATGACAACCTGACCCCAAGAAACCAAAAAACAAAAACAAACTAATTAACCTTTCAGTATTAAAATTGTAAATTTTCTGTTAAGGTCAAACAAGGGCCTAAGTAAAATAGAGATGCTTGCGTCTAATGGGGTTCGAATCCTGCTGCCGGTCATGTGTCGTGTCCTTGGGCAAGCCACTCAACCCCCATTTGCCTCCCTCCACCAATATATGGTTACCAGCTATCTAACGGAGTAACCTGCAATTGAATGTGATTCGTGATCAGAGTGTCAGAGGTTCGAATCCTGCTGCCGGCCATGCGTTGTGTCCTTGGGCAAGCCACTCAACCCTCATTTGCCTCCCTCCATCAATATGGGGTTACCAGCTATCTAACAGAGTAACCTGCAATGGACTGTGATTCATGATCAGAGTGTCAGAGGTTCGAATCCTGCTGCTGGCCATGTGTCGTGTCCTTGGGCAAGCCACTCAACCCACATTTGCCTCCCTCCATCCATACATGGTTACCAGCTATCTAAAGGAGTAACCTGCAATTGAATGTGATTCGTGATCAGAGTGTCAGAGGTTCGAATCCTGCTTCTGGCAATGCGTTGTGTCCTTGGGCAAGCCGCTCCACCCCCATTTGCCTCCCTCAACCCATATATGGTTACCAGCTATCTAAAGGAGTAACCTGCAGTGGACTGTGATTCGTGATCACAAGTGTCAGAGGTTCGAATCCTGCTGCTGGCCATATGTTGTGTCCTTGGGCTAGCCACTTTACTTGCACCTGCCTCTCTCTACCTCTCAGCGCTTGCCTCTCAGCATCCCATCCAGGGGAAATTATGTTAAGTGGTTTCATGTCACGGAAACTTCAGATAAATGCTCGGAAAGGACTTTATACTTTTTTTACTCATCGCCCTTGGGTCAGGCCAGCGTCAGGCCCTTGGGAACAAGCAAATCTCACCGTGTGCCAGTTTCCGTCGTTGACGTTCTCCGGTGACTCTATCAGCAAGGGCCCACTCCCATAGTCCCAACCGAAGACCACTTTGCCGTCCCGCAGGTACACTGCAGTGAAGTCGATGTGTCGGGTGTCGGACGTGAACATGATCAGACCGTTACGGGCCACTGTCTTCAGCTCCACTTGCATGACCATGCTGTTGTCAAATTTGGGATATAGAAATAAAAGCCAAGAAATAATACAAGATATGTGATTTGCCAAACTATGCAGTTTGCGAGATCGATTTGAAAAATACCTTGTGATCTAGGTTATTATTACCCTTGGTCATTCACGTTTGACTCCATGCGCTAAAAGGCACCAAGGTTTCAGAGTAAGTAAGATATGTTATAAAGTAAAGTAAAGGTATGGTATAATTTTGAGAGGAAAAGGTAAATGCTTTGTACATTTCGCAAAAAAATAAAAACAATCCATGAATCAGGCTTAAAGTTTCAGAAGTTAAAAACAAATTTGAAGATATTCATGTGCTTATACTATCACGTTTTTGAAACTTGGGCTTCAAGAGATTTTCACGCCCTAAATTTGTCAATGACCTCGTTCCTGAATTTGTCACTGTCTTCGTTCCTGAAGTTGTCAATGTCCTCGTTCCTGAATCTGTCACTGTCCTCGTTCCTGAATCTGTCACTGTCCTCGTACCTGATGTCCTCCTTTCTGAATATCAATGTCCTCGTCCCTGAATTTGTAAATTTCCTCGTTCCTGAATTTGTCAATGTCTTCGTTCCTGAATTTGTCACTGTCCTCATTCCTGAGTTTGTCAATGTCCTCGTTCCTAAATGTGTCAATATCTTCGTTCCTGAATTTGTCAATGTCCTCGTTCCTGATTTGGTCAATGTCCTTGCTCCTGAATTTGTCAATGTCCTTGCTCCTGAATTTGTCACTGTCCTTGTTCCTGAATTTGTCAATGTCCTTGTTCCTGAATTTGTCAATGTCCTTGCTCCTGAATTTGTCAATGTCCTTGCTCCTGAATTTGTCAATGTCCTTGTTCCTGAATTTGTCAATGTCCTCGTACCTCATGTCCTCCTTTCTTAATGTCAATGTCTTCGTTCCTGAATTTGTCAATGTCCTTGTCCCTGAATTTTCAATGTCCTCGTTCCTGATTTGGTCAATGTCCTCGTTCCTAAATTTGTTAATGTCCTCGTTCCTGAATTTGTCAATGTCCTTATTCCTGAATTGTCAATGCCCTCGTTCCTGATTTGGTCAATGTCCTCGTTCCTGAATTTGTCAATGTCCTTATTCCTGAATTTTCAATGTCCTCATTCCTGATTTGGTCAATGTCCTCGATCCTGAATTTGTCAGTGTCCTCCTGAGATGGACTCACTTTCGTTTGAAGGCGGCATCCAGGACGGGGTATTCCTTGCGGCTGTAGCTGGTGATGCCATACTGATCGGCCCCCTCGTCCTCCGGCAGTTGCTCGCCGGCGCCGGCCACCCTGGGCAGCTTGCAGGCACCCTCGGCTGGTCCTGGCGTGGTCATGGCAGGGGCGGGCGCGGTGGTGGGGGCAACAGGACCCATGTCAGGCCCCGTGGTGTTGGAGGACGGGATCGTGGGATGGGCTGAGCCGAGTGGGCAGACGTTCAGATTCGCGTTGTTCTCCGAGCGGATCTGATCATTGAAGTTCACGACCCTGTTTTCACAGGAAAAAAAAATTTACATAGAAAAAAGGAGGATTTATTTTTTTCTTTGTTACAATAGAGCAGTTGAAAATTTGCTAGGATTAGAAAATAAAAGTTGTCAAAGAGCAAGGACAATGCACCTGTGAGGCAGTGTCTGGATATCTGCGTCGGCAGTTACTTACTCAAAACCGACAGCCAGATCCGATATGCAGCCGATGAAGTTGTCTGTCGTGGGCAAGATGGCGGCTTCGATGAAGCCAGGGCGTGGGAAGCCACCCACCAAGAAATAGCCATCTGTTCTCATCGCCTTCTTCTGGAAACGGCTGAAGTTGGAGTCCGAGTCGTCCACCACTACTGTTAGCCTGATGAATGGGAGAATAAATGAGGGGAAAAAAATGAGTTAAAAATGCTCATGTAGAACGCCATGGTCCAGTAGTTACGGTGTTTGACTCATTAAGGTGCGTGGGTCGAACCCTGCCAGGAACATGGTGTTTGTGCCCTTGGGCAAGACACTTAACTACAATGGCCTCTCTCCACCCAGGTGTATAAATGGGTACCTATGAGGGTCGAGGACCGATTGAGCGCTGATATCGGCTGCCGCGTGGTCCCATGGCCTGATGAACGGGGTAATAATTGTAAAGCGCTTTGAGATCGTTGATACGATGGAAAGCGCTACATAAGCACAATTATTATTATTATTATTAATTCTAGAGATGAATTTCAATGGGACAAGGACGAAGAGGTAACAGATTTATAGGAAAACCAAAAACTCACTTCCTGGCGTTCTTAGTGATGGTGACTGTGTGCCACTCCCCGTCGTTGTAAGAATTCTGGTTGGAGACAACTTCGATGCTGTCTTGTCCACTGTCGGCGACAACGTGCACCGCGCCTGAGACGATCATGGCTGCCACAAACTGAGTCTGGAAAAAAATATTAATTCAAAACAATTACAAGGTTAACCTTGCAAGGCTGGTACCAGAGTACACAGCATTCTATTCAACTGATTCAGCGTGGTCATTCACTGCAAGTCTTTTCACGCATCCGGTGTACCCAAATGGGCCAGATTTAGCCTATTACCAGGTATTCCTATACAACAGCACTGCCCGGCTGGTAAAGCTGGTCCCAGAGTACACAGGATTCCTTTCAACTGATTCAGAGTGGCTATTCACTGGAAGCCTTTTCATGCATCTGGTGTACCCAAATAGGCCGGATTAAGCCTATTATCAGGTATTCCTATACAACAGCACTGCCCGGCTAGTAAAGCTGGTCCGAAGAGCCCACAACATCTTTTCAATTGATCAATAATGATTATTCACTGCAAGTCTTTTCACGCACTTGGTGTTCCAATTAGCCCATTACATGGTAATCCTATATGACGGCACTGCCCGGTTGAACCCTAGGCCCAATTTAATGTCTCTGCTAACCACGGAATACTGCGCTGATGATCAGTATTCTGTGCTCGCAGCAGAAGTGCAGAAATCCTGTGCTAAACCTGCGCGCGCATATATCTTATAAAACATGTGCACAGGCCAAAATTTGTTGCTAACCTGTAAGATATGCTTTACCATAAGCACAGAATGTTTTGCTTACAGGGATTTTCTGCTTACTGTTACGCTTACCTTGTCTTCGCTGGACATGTACATCATTACCCCGTCGGCCTCCGTGCTGCGGAACCTGAAGATGACGTCACCGTTGCCGTTGATATCTACCGGCGTCCGTGACACGAAACCACCGTAGGGACCGTTGAATGAGACCAGGCCCACTCTCTGCAATACATTGTAAGACAGGGGAAAAAAAGGACATTTGAGTAAAAATTATTTTACAACAATTTTAACTGCTAAAATACAAAAAAATACAAATCCACAAATATTTTATAATTAAAACAAAATTTCAACATATGAAAAATTGTCTCAAATCAAAATTTCTGGGAAAAAAATGAAGTTTTTTGGCATGAGGCTATACCTGCCCTTTCAATGAATTTCAAGAGAAGCTTTAGTCTAGTACCCAACACACCACATCCAGAAACAAACACTGAATTGCAGTCTTGCAAATTCGCCAGAACTTACCTCCCGAACGGAGCGTTTTCTGGGGCCAATTTTACGGCACTGCTTAGCACAAAATTTGCTTAACACAAAAAAAGTCTGGCTTATAAAAGCAGGTTACCAGTCCAAACTCCACATGATGTAAATTGCTCATGATTGGTATTCAGCTGTTGTTTGCTTAGCATGAAAATCACATGGAGTTTTGGTTGGTAACCTGCTTTTATACGCCAGACTTTTTAATGCTAAGCACATTTATGTGCTAAGCACATTTTTGTGCTTAGCAGCGCGGTGAAATTGGGCCAGATTATATCAGCCAACTTTTTCGGGAATATTCAAATGATCTAGTACGGGGGCCAAAGAGGAAGTTGTGTGCACAGCTCAAAGGCCATGGGGACGGGGTTGGTGTATAACTTCACATCGGATGACGAGATGAAACGGTTCCGCTCACCTGTGTTACACAGTTTGGATAGATACCAAAACTCCATCTGTTCTTCAAGGGGTCAATCTGGTTGGCTCCAAAGGACAGCTCCCTCAGGCAGCCTCGGAAACCGACGCGGGTCACCGACCTAGGAGACAAAATTGCAGAAAGAGAAGGAGGTGGTTCAGGTGGTTCAGCTTCAGTGAGTTGTGTCCATAACAACACACCTTATTTCTACATACTGGCTTAATTGTGCATACGCCCATCCCCATGCACAAAGAAGTGAAGTTGTCATGAGTTGCTTTTTGGGCCTCTCAATATGGAGGCCACTCGATGTACCTGTAACTTGCAGCATACGACACAACCACATGGGTAACAATTTGAGGTGCAGATTTATTTTTCAGAGATGAAACTGGCATATGGCCAAAATATCGGAAAATATGCCGAAGAAATATACGTGTCCGAAATCTGGGCCGCGCTGCATTACACACAATCGTACATGCATGTACAATACACTTCATGCCCAATTTCCGGACACCTACTCCTGCTTTATTTTCGATTCAAACAAAATTTTACGATGAAAAAAATGGTCAGTGTTTTCTTTGCATAAAATGCCCGAATCACGATTAGAGTAATGGAGTCATCAATAAAGAAGTTCACTTCTTACTTGAGAAAGTCTAGGGAAAAGTCCGAAAGACAAGGCACCGTTCATGGTGCTTCAATCATGTCCATTCAACCACACAACTCCACTTGCATTCATACATGTCATACGTGGGGAAAAATCAGGCATTATCGTCTTTCTCTTCTAACAAATGCCAGTGAAATGTTTCGCTAATGCTCTCTTGGCTATCCTCGAGATAATCATCACGATTTTTAAGGCATTGTATTTTGTTTAACTAAATTTGAAACCTCCGAGAATCGCACAACATAATGATTTTATCCACTGGATCGTTCACAAGGCTACCCGTTCCCGACCGGCCATGTGCTAGCAGACGGTACGGTGCGGTACGTACGCTGGTATCATTGCGTACAGTACATGCACGCACGTGCGACACAGAGTGATTTTTCCATGTCGCCTGTCGATGTTTAACCTTTTGTCCAGCCGGAGAAGGCTCCGATCAGTGTTATGGCCTGTGTTTCTACCGTTGAAACACTCCAATAACGACTGGTGAAAGAGATTAAAACTACATTCGCGATGATTTAACGTGCCATTTCCATCGACTTTTCATCGACTTTTCTTCGAAATTATGATTGAATTAACATGACATTTTGTGAGAAAAATCCTTACTAAATCAAATTTTGTGGGACACACTGTAAAAAAATCGGAAATTTCGTTGGAAAATTCAAAAAGTCGGTTTTCCGATTAAAATCGGAAAAGTTTCATCTCTGTTATTTTTGGGGATTTCAGCTTACAATCTCCATGCAGTTCTCGGCATATAGAGATCAGTAAAGTGCATGGAAATAAACAGTGTTCTCAGGATAGCAACACAAGAAAGGGAGAATATAGCGTGGTTCAACAAGCAAGAGATTTGTCCAAATTTCCAGCCGACTTACGGGAAGAGGTCGTCAGGGATTGCCACCAAGCCACCCACGTAGAAGTAATCTCCAGCGGCTAGCTCGGAGCCATCTCCCGGGGATTCTCCTGATACTGCTTCCACATCGCTGGAAAAAAAAAAACAGGGGCAAAAATGAAATCAATCTAATCAACCTGATCAATGTTATCATTCAAATCAATTCAATCAAACCAATCATTGGCGTCAATGACATCAATCCAATCAATCTGATTACTCAAATCAAGCTAGTCAGGTTGGCGTAGCGGTACTTTCCTCGCCTTCCACCGCTGTGACCCTGGTTCGAATCCCGCCTGGGCCAATATGTGGATTGGGTTTTCAGTCCCTGCTTGATTCCGTGGGTTTTCCTCAGAATACTCTTTTGGGCTTTTCCTCCCACCTCTAAAACTGTAATATCTTCACATTGTCTCCTCTTTACTGGCCCCATTGGAGATCAGTGGATTCCACTGAATGGGCTACCCATTTAAAAACAAAACAATCAATCAATCAATCAACCCTATCAATCCAAGCAAACCCATAAACCCAAATCAAACCAATCAATTTGCTCCACCCTTTAGACCCAATCAATCCCACTATTAACCTGATCACTCCAATCAATAAAACAATCTAATCAATTCAGTCAATTCGGTCAATTGGAGAGTCAGCATTTCACTCAAACTCAATCGGTACTCACTTGCTCGAGGACGTTACTCGCATGCTTCCCGCATTCCCCCGCAAGTTGGCCTGGACCTTAGTCTGCTCCCCGTTGTTGTACTGCTCGTCTGTGATGAGAGTCAGGGGGCCAGTCCCCAGGTCGTACTCAAACTGCACCCGGCCGCCCTTCAGCTCAATGGCGAAATACTTGCCCTGCACAACAACAATAAATTGTCTCCTTCCATTTTTTTGTTTGTTTTAACAATTCTGTGTTTGGGTTGCAATGTGTCACTTAGGAAACCACAAATGAGTAAAACAGGAAACTCAGTTTTTCTATTCTAATTTTGTTAATTTCTGGGGGTTTTTCTTATTTCGTTTTTTTTTACAATGGAGAAGAGATCTACTGATTTAAAATCCTGTATCAACTCTGAAACTTGTCCGGAGAAAAAAAAAACAGATCACGTCAAAATAAATAAAATCAAAAAAAATCAAAAAATATAACAACAAAAATTCCACCTGGTCGCCCATGAAGAACAGCAGGCCGTTTGCAGCGTAGGTCCTGAAGGCGATGGTCATGGAGGTGAAGCGGGGATTGAAGCCGCCTTCCTTGTCCAGTACGATGTAGCCGTTCCCGTCAAACAGGACTCCTTCCGCGTCTGGATCCTCCGGAACATCGATGGTGTCATTCCTGGAATAACAGCCGGAAAAATTAGCAAAAATGAGGAAAAATGAGGGGGAAAAAAAAGAAAAATAGGGAAAAAAATGAAGTGAAAAGGTGTAATGCTATTGTCTGTTTAATATGAAAATAATTATGGAACTTGAATAAGCGTGAATTTTTCTTTAAATTTCAGGACATTCTTGCGTCGACTTCTGAGAACGTTAACCATTGTCCGAATTGATTTTTCAAAATTTTCTGCATGAACTGTTTCCCAGGTCATTTTTTTCAATCACAAGTTTCCCAAGTATCAAATGTTAAAAAAAAAAAAAAAAAAAATTCATTTTTTTTTTTAATACTTCGTGATTTGTTTGTGATTTTTATAAAATGCATTATTCCACAAAGTTAACTTTCCCCAAGACCCTTTTTTATTTCCAGGACCTTCCCCCATATCTATTTCCACTTTTTTTCCTGAATATTCACCAAGTTTCTTCGAGTGACACGTACCTTCTCAAAAAAAAGTTCAAAGCAAAGACCTTCATGTACTTCCTTCTCATCCAATTCCAAGTATATATCTTTCCACGGCTGTTTAGCATTCATCCGGAAACCTGTACTTTTTCCAGAAGCTGCCTTACACTTTTCCCGTTTTTTTCCCATGATATTCCGATACATTTTTCCCTCCTTACCCTTTTCCCGTTTTTTTCCCATGATATTCCGATACATTTTTCCCTCCTTACCCTTTTCCCGTTTTTTCCCCATGATATTCCGATACATTTTCCCACCTTACCCTTTTCCCATTTTTTTCCCATGATATTCCCATACATTTTTCCCTACCTGAGGATTCCTTCATCGGCATTGATGGCATCGGCAAAGTTCCAGAGGCTCATGGGCTGTCCGTTCACAGTCACCTCGTCAATGCCGCCACTGTTGAAGACGCGGTTGGGCAATGCCGCTGGCAGCCACTGTTAAGGAAAAAAATATTCGAATTTGACCAGAAAATTCCGCACGTGACCTAAACATAACGAGAGTTATTATAAGATGGAATTTTGCGTCGGGGTGATATAAATCAAATTTGGTTTTGCCCTTCACCGACGTTTTTAAACACTGTATACTCAGTGTGTTACCTCCCAAGTGAAAGTTGGAAAAATCACTCGGGTGGGACTCGAACCCACGACCTCCTGCTTTCTAGTGCAGATGTCTTACCACTCGACCACCGAGCTATTGGGATCGGTTGGCTGGTTTGAATCTGATCGAACGTTGGTGAAGGGCAAAACCTCATTTGATTTATAACAAGAGTTTTAAGGAACGCAAGGAAAATATCAGACAAAAGTAATCAGAATAAGTCTACATTGATCAATGCAACAGGAAATCTTTTGAGAGGCTATTGTAGTAAAGTGTCTTGCCCAAGAACACAAGCAAATGTGACACGTAAGCATACACTCCATATGTGACCTCAACACATGGCAAGCTTTAACGCAAGGAAAATAGCAGACAAAAGTAATCAGATTAGGTCTGCATTTGATCAATGTAACAGGAAATCTTTTTAGAGGCTATTGTAGTAAAGTGTCTTGCCCAAGAACACAAGCATATGTGACACGTAAGCATACACACCATATGTGACCTCAACACATGGCAAGCTTTAAGGAACGCAAGGAAAATAGCCGACAAAAGTAATCAGAATAAGTCTGCATTTGATCCATGCCACAGGAAATCTTTTGAGAGGCTATTGTAGTAAAGTGTCTTGCCCGAGAACACAAGCAAATGTGACACGTAAGCATACACTCCATATGTGACCTCAACACATGGCAAGCTTTAAGGAACGCAAGGAAAATAGCCGACAAAAGTATTCAGATTAAGTCTGCATTTGATCCATGCAACAGGAAATCTTTTGAGCGGCTATTGTAGTAAAGTGTCTTGCCCAAGAACACAAGCAAATGTGACACGTAAGCATACACACCATATGTGACCTCAACACATGGCAAGCTTTAAGGAACGCAAGGAAAATAGCCGACAAAAGTAATCAGAATAAGTCTGCATTTGATCCATGCCACAGGAAATCTTTTGAGAGGCTATTGTAGTAAAGTGTCTTGCCCGAGAACACAAGCAAATGTGACACGTAAGCATACACTCCATATGTGACCTCAACACATGGCAAGCTTTAAGGAACGCAAGGAAAATAGCCGACAAAAGTATTCAGATTAAGTCTGCATTTGATCCATGCAACAGGAAATCTTTTGAGCGGCTATTGTAGTAAAGTGTCTTGCCCAAGAACACAAGCAAATGTGACACGTAAGCATACACTTCATATGTGACCTCAACCCATGGCAAGCTTTAAGGAACGCAAGGAAAATAGCAGACAAAAGTAATCAGATTAAGTCTGCATTTGATCAATGCAACAGGAAATCTTTTGAGAGGCTATTGCAGTAAAGTCTCTTGCCCAAGAACACAAGCATATGTGACATGTAAGCATAAATTCCATATGTGACTTCAACACATGGCAAGCTTTAAGGAACGCAAGGAAAATAGCCGACAAAAGCAATCAGATTAAGTCTGCATTTGATCCATGCCACAGGAAATCTTTTGAGAGGCTATTGTAGTAAAGTGTCTTGCCCAAGAACACAAGCATAATGCGACATGTAAGCATAAATTCCATATGTGACCTCAACACATGGCAAGCTTTAAGGAACGCAAGGAAAATATCAGACAAAAGTAATCAGAATAAGTCTACATTTGATCAATGCAACAGGAAATCTTTTGAGAGGCTATTGTAGTAAAGTGTCTTGCCCAAGAACACAAGCATAATGTGACATGTAAGCATACACTCCATATGTGACCTCAACACATGGCAAGCTTTAAGGAACGCAAGGAAAATAGCCGACAAAAGTAATCAGATATAGTCTACATTTGATCAATGCAACAGGAAATCTTTTGAGAGGCTATTGTAGTAAAGTGTCTTGCCCAAGAACACAAGCATATGTGACACGTAAGCATACACTCCATATGTGACCTCAACACATGGCAAGCTTTAAGGTACGCAAGGAAAATAGCAGACAAAAGTAATCAGATTAAGTCTGCATTTGATCAATGCAACAGGAAATCTTTTGAGAGGCTATTGTAGTAAAGTGTCTTGCCCAAGAACACAAGCATAATGTGATATGTAATCATAAATTCCATATGTGACCTCAACACATGGCAAGCTTTAGGGAACGCAAGGAAAAAAGCAGACAAAAGTAATCAGATTAAGTCTGCATTTGATCCATGCAACAGGAAATCTTTTGAGAGGCTATTGTAGTAAAGTGTCTTGCCCAAGAACACAAACATATGTGACATGTAAGCATACATTCCATATGTGACCTCAACACATGGCAGGCTTTAAGGAACGCAAGGAAAATAGCCGACAAAAGTAAACAGATTAAGTCTGCATTTGATCAATGCAACATGAAATCTTTTGAGAGGCTGTTGCAGTAAAGTGTCTTGCCCAAGAACACAAGCACCATGTTACAGGTCAGGGTTCAAACCCGTGGACCATTGCGCATGAGCCAGACATCGTAACCACCTCAAGTAGACTTTTGGCCCTTGTGTTGGCCAATTGCAGTCACAAAAAAAGTGTGCCTAATGCGCCATTAAGGGACTACTGACCTGCACGTCCGGGGGAATGCCGCCTACAAACACCTGCGCATCGGGGTTTAGGTCCAGGATGGCATTTTCCCCGCTAGATTCCCCATCTTGAAGGACGTCCTCTTGTTCGAGTCCCTTGACGATCACCTTGGCATACTTGCCATTGCTGAGAGAAAAAGCGATTCAAACAAATTGTTTGTTTTAAAAAAGAAGCATGAAAAAGAAGCATGAAAACAATTTTTATTTTGACAATAATATAATAATATTACAAGTGAACTGAACAGCTTAAAATGACCCAGATCAAATTTGGGGGAGTTCCTTTGAAACCCCCCCCCCCCCACATCCTCCACATCCCCCCCCCCCTCCCCAACTTTCTCCACACCCCCACCACCCAGCCCTGACCCTCCGCTTCCTGTCAAAATGATTTCTTTTCTCACCGTTCACTGATAATCTGATGCCACCTGAAGTCGTTGACGTTCTTGGCCACCGTGACCGCGTTATCGCCGCCGCCGAGATTGTAGCGCAGGACGACGTTGGAGTCCTCGATGCCCAGAGAGTAATAGTCATCCTGCGCAAAAAGCAAAACACGCACAAAATTATTGCGTTTGTGCGTGAATTCTGCGATTACGATCACCATTGTACGCTATCAGCACTAGAAAAAAATTCTACCTTGGGCCAAAAAAAAAATAATCCAAGCTTGAAAAAAAAAAAAAGCCAAAAAAAAAAAAGCCGCGTCCCCGCGTCCATTCCGGAACTTTGGTCTGACCAGAGACCGAATATTTTTTTTTTTGGCCTTAACCAAGTTAGCACAGAATCATTATTTATGGGATGTATGAATGCGCATAATGCCAAACTTCCTGGCTAACCGAATCCATAATCAACGAAGCACTTCAAACACTACATGAAAACGTTGCTGTTGACAAATTATACTGATAATTAAGTATCCCAATAAATACTAAATTTCATGTCGTCTCACCGATTGTTGAAAAAGTATTATTGTTTCTAATTCCCTGGCCACTTTTTGCTTTAATTCCCTCTCCCTCCTTTCCTGTTTTATTGTAATTAATTGATTTCTTTCCTTGTAATGTATGGATGTAAGAAAGTATATGTATATTAATACGACTGTGAGTATTTTTTGCTGTTATTTAACTTCTTTCAATTTTATTAGTGTAAATGTATTTACCTGATATAATTTAGCCTAGTGTATGTACATATTAATTTATTAGCTTTATTTGTAATTACAGGTTCCAGGTCTTGTACAAGCATATGCTTTTGACCTGGATCCCCCATATCATTTCCGCCATTCTCTATATAGATTCTTTTTAATTATGTTTTCGTGCTATGATATGAAAAAAAAAAACCCCAAAAACCCACTGTAACCAAACCATAATCACTGTGGAATTTCCTGCTACAGTAAGTGGGCATATCTTGCTAACGGCAAGCAACGCCATGAAAATTGGGTCCGGTTTTCTGCTGAGTATGAACCAGTCCTAAGTGTTATTTAAAAACTCGAAGCCCAAATTGAATTCTTACATCAGCATTCGGCCCTCCGATGAAGTAGAGCATAGCGTTGGGCTCCTGGGTCCGGAAGTACAGGGAGGTGGAGGTGTGAGCCGCCTGGGCCTGGAGGTCTTCCGGAGCGAGGGAACGCAGCTGGACAGAGGAGTCCGGCTTGAATTTCATGGCTACTTTCACCTGACGAACAGAGAAACAAAACAATGGTCAGGGCTGGGCTGGGTAAAACAAGTCTCCACAATAATAATAATAATAATAATAACAATTACTCTTTTCGCCCCAATAGGGTGACTTTCCCATAGACTTGTGCACAAACCTAAACTGTCACCTAACCCAAGTTTACCTTATGTTTTTTCCACGAAATTTAGTATTTATACTAATTGGACCATGAGGAATCGATCTAGATGGTTAGCGACAGCCAAATTCCTTTTCCTAAGGGTCGTTTTCATAAAAGGGCGACAGTTATTTTGTCGCCTCAATAAGATGTATCGCCCTATTGTGGACGGAGTTCGCAAAACCTGTCGCCCTATTACAGTAATAGTAGTAATAATTTTTATTATTACCCTGGATTGGACATTTGGGAGACATCTCCATAGATTTGTGCACAAAATTTTTCAAACTTAAATGTGCCCTAACCCAATATTCCCTTGTCCTTTTTCCACGAATTTCGGTACGTTTACTGATTAGACCACGACCAACAAATATAACCTAATTGCGACAAAAAATTTGTGCCTCTAAAGGGGGGGGGGGGGGGGGGGGGGGCTGTGACATTACGGAGACACGAAAATGTCTCCCTAATGACCGGTGTCTCCCTATTATCGAAGAAATTACGATAACGTGTCTCCCTAATGGTACTTTGAGGAATATAATTTTTATTATTACCCTGGATTGGACATTTGGTAGACATCTCCATAGACTTGTGCACAAAATTGTTCTAACTTAAATGTGCCCTAACCCAATATTCCCTTGTCCTTTTTCCATGAATTTCAGTATGTTTACTAATTAGACCAGGAGCAACAAATATAACCTAATTGCGAAAATAAAATTGTGCCTCTTAAGGGGGGCTGTGACATTAGGGAGACATGAAAATGTCTCCCTAATGACCGATGTCTCCCATCGTTTGAAGAGATTACGATAACGTGTCTCCTTAATGGTACCATTACACTAATTGGTGCTTGTACAGTGCTTTCCACAAATGCTAGGTCTCAAAGCGCTTCACAATTATTGACCCTTTTCATCAGTCCTTGAGGCCACTTTTGAGTCAGGCTCAGTGCAATCTGGTCTCTACCCTGACATTTGTCTATTTGTACTCCTTGTTGGAGAGAGGCAATTGTAGTAAAGTGTCTTGCCCTGGGACACAAGCGTGGTTCCCCATCAGGGGTCAAACCCACGTACCACGGCACATGAGTTGAACACCGTAACCATTCGGCTGCGGCTCTATACAGTCCATAACAAATCTTTTACCAAGTATTCCACTCTCAGTTCAAATCAGGGGGGGGTGGTGTGTTTTACTAACCTACAGATCCTGCAGACCCACAACAGTTTTACTTACCCCGTCAGCCAGGGTACGGGCGTTGGCGATCTTTCTCTTGATCTCGTCCAGGTTGTACTGGAGCCCCAGGGTCATGTTCTGGATGTTGGCGTGCAAGGCAGTCAGCGAGCGGTCTAGGTTGCGGATGTCTCGCACGCCTTCCCTGGCACGGTTACCTGCGAGAAGCAAGAACGAAGGATTACGACAGGGCAAGGCATGCCTCGTAAAGCTGATTTAATAGACCAGCGCACAAAACTGTATTGGATTGATACAGAATTGCCACTGGAAGTCATTTCATGCATCTGGTGTACACGATTGGCTAGATTTAGCCCATTCATTAGCATACCAAAGTAATCCTATTAGATAGCACTGCCCCAATCTCTTCACCACTCAACAACCAGGCTAAGTCCATTGATTTGCTTAACAGGGTAATCCTATACAATAGCACTACCAGCTCCCTTCACCAGTCAACAACCAGGCTAAGTTCATTGAATGGCATAACAGAGAAATCATATACAATAGCACTGCCCCGATCTCTTCATCACTCAACAACCAGGCTATTCGCCACTGATCTGCACAACATGGTAATCCTACATGACAGCACTGCTCGGGTCTCTTCACCAGTCAACAACCACACCAAGTCACAAGTGACGGTCTGTGAGTCAGTCCGTCAGTGAGCTAGGTAGGAATCGGACCTAGCGAAAGTTTGACTTACTGGCATCAGCCGCGATGTTTCCGGCCTGGGTGGCGGCGTTGATGTCATCGGGAATCTTGTCAGCCTTAACCTTCAGCTCGGGCAGCTGGGCTTCCACATTGGCGATTGTTTCAGTGGCCTTGGTGGCCTTGGCGTTGGCCGCCATGGCCGTGTCTACGGCTTCTTGAGCCTGATTCCCCAGTTTACCTAGGAAAAGAAAACGTGAAATAATGACCTACTGTGGGAAGAACAGTTGTTCTCAAATCTGTATCACAAATGGGCAATTGTTTCAGCAGCCTAGGTAGCTTGGCGTTGGCCTCCCATGGCTGTGTCTACGGCTTCTTGAGCCTGATCCCCTAGCTTACCTAAAAAAAAAACTGAGCTAATAACCCACTGTTCAAAGAAAAGGTGTCCTCAAAACTAAAACAAAAATTGGCAATTGTTTCAGCAGCCTAGGTAGCCTTGGCATTGGCCACCATGGCTGTGTCTACAGCTTCTTGAGCCTGATCCCCTAGCTTGCCTAAAAAAAGAAAACTGAACAGGTGTTCTCAAAACTAAAACAAAAATTGGCAATTGTTTCAGCAGCCTAGTTGTTCAAAATCCAATGTTTTCACAAACCAATCAAGGTCTGTGGTTGGCTTACAAAAAACATGCTCTTTTTTTATTTAAGACTACACTTTTTTTCCCATAAATCCTGCAAATTAATTTTTTTTTTACAAATGTAATCACTTTTTCAAACAAATCTGTCAGCTCCAAGCAAAATGTGCGATCAGGTAACATTTTATCCAAAGTCTAAATGGCAAAACTGCTGTCACGGACAGTAATAGGCGTGAGACGTAATGACGTCACCCTTTGTTTACATGTGCGCTTTCCTATGTAGTAGACGGTCCACACCTTATCTGGCGTCCCGACTTCGCTCCCATGGGAAAGCGCATATGTATAAACAAAGCCATTACGACATTACGTCTCAGGTCTATTAATCTGCTTCCAAACATGAATTTAACGTTTAGAAACTGAAACGCAGAGGCCCAGCCTTACTGATGTCGCAGTTCTCCCCGGTGAAGCCAGATTTGCAGTCAGCCTGGCCCTCTTGGCAGACGGTGATGGTGCAGACGCTGCTCTCATCGGGAATATTAGCCATGCCGCGGCGGATGGCCTCCAGGCGATCGTCCGCGCCGTCCAGACGACCTTTGACCCCATCCACGCTCTCACCCACCTGGTCAAGCTTCTTTTCCAGATCTGGAATGAAAACAAATGACGCAGCGATCAAATCAAACGATACTGTTACAGTGTGCTGATCTTGCTACTTTCGGAGTTTCAACTTCAGAAGTACATTTATCACATTGGTATTTTTTTGTCTAGGAATAAAACAGTATTCACTTTGAAAAACCAAAAAGCATTAATTTAGGTTTTATGAAATACGGACTCATTGGTGGTATTGCGCATGCTCATGCATAGATAATTAGGAGAGGGACCGGTCACGTGAGAGGGTTTAACCAATAAAAGGGAAAAAGAGTCCGATTTTCATATGACAGGGGAATGTTTACTTCTACACAAGCAACTACCTCCTCCCATCCATATCCTGTTTGTGAATAAAATGTCAACAGCGCCCTCAAGCGGTCAGGCATTTATCTAATAGAGAGGTTTACCTGCCACTTCTCTGTTGGCCGTGGCGGCCTTCCTGTGCAGACGTCGGCTCTTCTTGAGCTGATCGGCCGGATTATTGCCAAAGCTGTTGGCCTAATGGACAAACAAAACATAAAACCATAAGATAGACACTTAAATTTCAAAATTTCAAGAGAAATGCTGACCTCAATTGGACAAAATGGGAAAGGGAGTATGGGACATTGTTTATCATTAGTCTTTTTGAGATAAGTTCGACACAATGGGTAGATAACTCTTTTGAATTTACCAAAATTAAACCAGTCCAAATATCTTATTAAGAGGCCAATTATTAGCAGTGTGCACAGCCACGAGACCACCAGTCCTGGTGCAGTTCAGACACAAAGAGCATTAGACCAATGCTTAACCCTAACCCCCAAAGACTTCATTTGGAGTAAAGTACCACACACTACAAGGTACTGCAACAATTATGTATGCAGGTACCAAACACTAGAAAATACTATGAGCGCTGTGCCCACTTATATGCTCAAGTACTGCATACTACCGTTTACTACTAGTAGTATTTTGTGGCTTTAGGTGAGGTTAGGGTTAAATCACAAGACACAACCCAGGAGTCTAGAGTGTATTTCCTTTCCAATGCAGCTGTGAAGGCACCCTCCCCCTCCCCCCCCCCCCCCTTTCCTTAAATGGGGAAATTAAGCCCCGCTTCTCTCACCTGTTCTTCTGCCTGGCTGCTGGCGTTCAGTGCATCCATGGCGGCCTTCTCGGCTGCGTCAATGGCGGCCACGATCTCTCCGTAGGCATTAGCCGCCTTGACGGCATTCATGGACAGGTCCAGGGTGCCGACCAATAGGCTGAAAGATAAGACGAGAATGAGGGAATCGGATTGGTCCTGAGGTGATCACGTGACTTATAAGTACTAATCGCAGAAATGTAGTCAAGTGAACAAACTGATGCCTTCCTATTGACAAGTTAATTTACAAGTCAATCTAAAGTATATATCATTAATATCATTAAACAGCAACAGATTAAAATTGACAAAGGGTGGCAATGTACAATTGTGTTTATTTCCCACTATTTCTTTTTGTTTCTCACATTTTTGTCTGTTTCTTTTCTTCTCCCTTTTCCTTTTTGGGTTTTGCCTCCCACAACACAAATTAAGTGTTTTTTCATTGACTTCCCTTCGCCAATATTTTTTTCAGGCTTGAGACCTACAAGCCGCGGGCACTGAGTAATACTCAGTTTATTAATTAAAAATAAATAATACCGAAAGCGACTTACCCACTGAGGTACTCGGACTGGTTCTTCAGGTCTGCGGCGTGTCGCATCGCCTCGTCGACGATGGCGTCCACGGAGTCCGACTTGTTGACCACAAAGTTGACCCGTGGCTCCAGTCTCCGTACGGCCTCCTCAAGGAGAGTGGAGTTGGCTTGGGTGGCCTGCAAGACCAGAGAGATGACAAAAATAAATCTATAAACATTGAAACAATGAAGGGCAAGATTCAATTAAAAGTCCGCAGGTTTTCTCAAAATTGTTTTAACAGAGTGTGCTCTGGAGTAGCTTCAGATATGAAATTCTCCCAAGCACCAAATTTTTTTTGAAACATTCCTCTAACCCTATTACCCATCTAAACTACATTGTACTACGTTGTACTACAATTGTATTACATTAAGTAAGATTTGAAACTTTGCATGTGTAAAACTATTGAGAATTTGCGGTAACACCATGTGGCAGAATCTCTTTTGAGAAGATGTCTGGTCCTGAAAAGAAACGGTTGGTTGCCAAACTCAACCGGTTCTTTTTAGAATCATACTTTTTCTAAAAAGAGATTCTGCCACATGGTGTTATCGCAAAGTCTCACTAGTTTGTATCACATTTTGTTACATTGTATTACATTGTATTACATTGTATTACATTGTATTACATTGTAATACATTGTAATACATTGTAATACAGTGTATGCATGCCTGACAAATCCATAAAGCCATACAGTACTGGGGCAGTTTTGGATGGTACATGGAGTAACTGGCATGGCAGTTTGGGGCAGTAGAGGGGCTAATTTGTTTTAATTTGTTTACATCTGTAATCAGACACTTTTGTTTTCAAACTTACATCTAGGGCGTTCTGGGCTTCTTCCAGGAACTGCAGGGCAGCCTCAATCAGGGCGGTGGCATTGTCAACGTCTCCAGTAGCTCCCTTGAACTTCTTGTCAACTTCCTGCATGACAGCCTACAAAAAAAAGAGAGACACTGGATCATAAGACTCTTTGCTTAACCAGTTAACGCCAGAGGACGTGTAAACACAATCTGGCAATGTATATTCGCAGGGGCGGATGACAGGTTACATCGTCAAGCTTTTCCTGAGTCTGCAGCAGTAGATGTGTAGACACATCAGTGGTTCCCAACTATCAAAATGAATCATGTCCAGTCTTGGGAATATTGGCGGCGCTACTCAGAAAATTCAGAGCGTACCTCACGCGCACGCATTAGCTGGAATACAGCGCACGTGAGGTGTGCTCAGAATTTTCCTGGGTAGCGCTGCCAATATTGCCAAGACTGGATTTGATTCATCTTGTTGATAGCCCCCTCGCTTGTCACGGACCGGCTGTATAAGGGGAACAAAAACCAACTCCAGTCTGGGAGCAAGACTAGGCTAAGCACCTCCATGAGCTTGGCCCCCGATTCCTAGCTTGGAAACAAAATTTGCTAAGCACTTTGCATTTTTTGGCTTTAGCAGGTTAGGAACTCCAATGAAGCCTCTACGTACCTCAAACGCAGGTACTTGGTTCATGGTGTTCAGATCCTCGGCCTGCATGGAGTGGTTGTTGGCCCGGTTGCTGGTGTCAATCAGCTTCTGCAGCTGGTCCAGGAAGCCAGCCATGTGGTCCGAGACGTTCTGGACGTGGCCCATCAGCTCAAGGGAAGCGTTACGGAGCATCTTGACCCTCTCAAGCACTGGACAGAAAAATATTCAAGACAGAAAGAAAGAAATGAAAGGTAAGTAAATACATAACGTGTACAAAAAGTGTGGAAAACATTTCTGTAGTTATGGTGGCCGGCATGTGTGGCAGTATGTGGGTTCCAATCTGATTTGGAAGATGTCGTTTGTGTTCTTGGGCAGGACACTTTACTACAATTTCCTCTCTATCTGCGACAGATTGCACTGACCTGAAACTGCTGTATAAGACTGGTCGCATGGTTTGATGAACAGGGGTTTTGAAAGGTGAAGGGTCTTTGAGACATTTGGTGTGTGTGTTCTTGGGCAAGATACTTTACCACAACTTTCTCTCTACCTGTGAGAGATTACGCTGATTTCGAACCACTGCATAAAAATGACCTTGTGGTTTGATAAACACGGCTTATAATGACGAAAAGCTTTGAGATATTTTGTGCTTGTGTTCTTGGGCAAGATGCTTAACCACAATCGTCCCTTGAACTGCTGCAATAATACTGATCTTATGGTTGATGAACTGGGGTTACAAAGGTGAAGATCTTTTGGAAATTTGTACAAAGGGCCACTTACCATCTTTCGCTGCCACGAGTTCCTCATCGGAAGCTCGACGTCCGGCCGAGAAATTCCTGGCGGCAATTTCGGCTACAATCATCCGAGCTTCGGCCAGAATGCCGGAAATGTCTGTGATGTTGGCGTTCTCGGGAATGTTGGAGTTATTGTACAGGGCCTTGATGGCATCTGAAATGCAAATAGAAAAATTGACAATTACAGGATTTGAACCAGCCACCCATGACAGGCAGCACTGGAGTGCTACCTTGGCTGTTGCCCAAGTTCCCCTTTTGACACTGTCTTTATTCAAAGAGCACCAATGAACTAACTACTCCAGATCCACATTTCGACTTGTGATTGCACTTGTGATTGACTTGTGACTGACTTGTGATTGCACTTGTGATTGACTTATGATTGCACTTGTGATTGACTTGTGATTGACTTGTGATTGCACTCGTGACTGACTTACGATTGACTTTATTCAGAGAGCACCAACGAACTAACTACTCCAAATCAACATTTCGATTTGTGATTGACTTGTAATTGACTTGTGATTGACTTGTGATTGCACTTGTGATTCCACTTGTGATTAACTTACGATTGACTTGTGATTGCACTCGTGATTGACTTGTGATTGACTTGTGATTGACTTACGATTGACTTTATTCAGAGAGCACCAACGAACTAACTACTCCATATCCACATTTCGACTTGTGATTACACTTGTGACTGACTTGTGATTGCACTTGTGACTGACTTGTGATTACACTTGTGATTGACTTGTGACTGACTTGTGATTACACTTGTGATTGACTTGTGACTGACTTGTGATTGCACTTGTGACTGACTTGTGATTACACTTGTGACGACTTGTGATTGCACTCGTGATTGCACTTGTGATTGACTTGTGACTGACTTGTGATTGCACTTGTGATTGACTTATGATTGCACTTGTGATTGACTTGTGATTGACTTGTGATTGCACTCGTGACTGACTTACGATTGACTTTATTCAGAGAGCACCAACGAACTAACTACTCCAAATCAACATTTCGATTTGTGATTGACTTGTAATTGACTTGTGATTGACTTGTGATTGCACTTGTGATTGCACTTGTGATTAACTTACGATTGACTTGTGATTGCACTCGTGATTGACTTGTGATTGACTTGTGATTGACTTACGATTGACTTTATTCAGAGAGCACCAACGAACTAACTACTCCATATCCACATTTCGACTTGTGATTACACTTCTGACTGACTTGTGATTGCACTTGTGACTGACTTGTGATTACACTTGTGATTGACTTGTGACTGACTTGTGATTACACTTGTGATTGACTTGTGACTGACTTGTGATTGCACTTGTGACTGACTTGTGATTACACTTGTGAGGACTTGTGATTGCACTCGTGATTGACTTGTGATTGACTTGTGATTGCACTCGTGATTGACTTGTGATTGACTTACGATTGACTTTATTCAGAGAGCACCAACGAACTAACTACTCAATATCCACATTTCGACTTGTGATTACACTTGTGACTGACTTGTGATTGACTTACGATTGACTTTATTCAGAGAGCACCAACGAACTAACTACTCCATATCCACATTTCGACTTGTGATTGCACTCGTGATTGACTTGTGATTGACTTACGATTGACTTTATTCAGAGAGCACCAACGAACTAACTACTCCAGATCCACATTTTGACTTGTGATTACACTTGTGATTGGCTTGTGATTGACTCGTGATTGACTCGTGATTGACTCGTGATTGACTCGTGATTGACTCGTGATTGACTCGTGATTGACTCGTGATTGACTCGTGATTGACTCGTGATTGACTTGTGATTGAGTCGTGATTGACTCGTGATTGACTCGTGGTTGACTCGTGATTGACTCGTGATTGACTCGTGATTGACTCGTGATTGACTCGTGATTGAGTCGTGATTGACTCGTGATTGACTTGTGATTGACTCGTGATTGACTCGTGATTGACTCGTGATTGACTCGTGATTGACTCGTGTTTGACTCGTGTTTGACTCGTGATTGACTTACGATTGACTTTATTCAGAGAGCACCAACGAACTAACTACTCCAAATCAGCATTTCAACTTGTGATTTGACTTGTGAGTGTACAGGGGTGTGAGTGACCACTGATAAACATAGCTGAAAACAGCTGAAAAAGGTGTAAAAAAAAAGCTGAACTTTGGAAAATTCCTATACTTTTGTACACAGCAAGTGAGGGAAAATAGCTGAAATCCAAAACAAAAAATGCTGAAATCAGCTTATAAAGCTGAGATTTCACGCCCGAATGTACTTCTGATTGGCTTGTGATTGTCTTGTGATTGGCTTGGGGTTGACTTGTGCTTGGCTTGTGATTGCACTCGTGACTGACTTGCGATAGGACTCGTGATTGACTTGTGACTGAACTTGTAATTCAACTTGTGACCCAGCTTGAATCGATTCACGATTTTTCTTGTGATTTTACCCTCCGATCTGACTTTTGGCCTTAATTGTAGTTCCAATTGTGATCAGACTTATGTTTTGGCTTGAGATTTATTAGTAATATGACTTGTGATTGGACTTATGACTGACTTGTGATTTGACATGTGATTGAGTTATGATTGACTACAATTCTCCTGTTGAGTTTTACAGAATTATTAAGGAAGGTTCCTCTCAAAAATTCGTTGGCGTTTGGTTATTATAACAATAAGAAGCAAGGTACCGAAGACTGCTTGTATTGTCTCGTTGATTTTGCGTTCGACGTCAACAGCCTTGAAGCCAGTATCCTGGGACTCCTTCTTAGTCTCGTTTGCCTGCTGCACGATCTTGTCCGACTGGAAATGTAAAAAACAAAAATATTTTTAAAAAAAAATTTAAATTGGCCAAAAACAGCTATACAGTGGAACGTCGCTATACCGAACACCTCTATACCGAACATTCGGCTATACCGAACATCGTCCTTAGCTCCCATTGTTGTTAAAAACCATCAACAGAAGAGTGACAAGTGGCTATTATTTCCCCAAGGCAAAGAAGGGGAAAGCCACCCATTGCTGTAGGTAGTAAGCTCAAAACTGTAATTACATAATACAATAGTCGGCACGTGTTCAAAGTCGTCTTTCAGTAACTACCAGGGCGTGCAGGGTGAAGTTATGAAGGGCGCCATGCCACCATTTATTGAAAAAAAGAGTACCAGAGCATCGGCAGCTTAAAATTGCTATACCGAACGATCACTATTACGAACAATTCTTATGGATCGCGCGATGTTCGTTAAAGAGGTGTTCCACTGTATTGGAAACACACAGAAGAGCCAGATATTCCCTTGTTATCAACTTTCTTTCCAATATAACGGCAATGAGACAAAATTACTTTGCTAAAATTAATATTGTACTCCCAACTATATGAACTCGAATTTTCCTTTAGTTTCTCCAACCAGTTCAAATTGTGCATATGGGGGGGGGGGGGGGGGGGGGAGTTGGGAAAAGGACAAACAGGCAGCAAGGAACACCTACACAAAAAGGTTGGAAAATACAATTCATTACATGCAGCCGTCCACGGAATTACAAGGGAAAGTACAAAATAGCGGAGAAATTCAACTTACATTACTCCTGCTTTTCTATAATTTCCCATACTTTTTCCATGGAAAAGATATCAAAAATTTGGGTTAAAAAGGAATGACATTGAGGACACTACTCACCCTGATCCGGAGCGCAATGGCCTGATCCAGCAGTGCACTGTAGTTCATCTCCACTTTCATGAAACCATCCATAACAGCCACGTTGTTCTCCGCCAAAGCGTCCGTGCGATTCTGAAACGTACAACAATGCAAAGTATGAACAAAACGCCCTACACATATTTCGTTTTGGATTTTCCCCTTGACAAAGATAATTACAAATAAATACTGTTAACAAATTCACAAGCTTACTCGGGTGTGACTAGAACCACTCGACCACTGAGCTTGCCGGGTACTACAAACAATAACTTTTAATTCGTGATGGGCCCACATAAATTGTCACCACATAAACTGTACAACAGGTGTTTTGTCCCTTCAAACTATCACACAAGTGTTTGTTGTGATGATTGGGTTTTCTATGTTCTAGTCTCAGAAACTTTCACATTTTCGCCACAAGAGGTACACTGCATGCACAGATCCATTACAATCACTGAGAGGTTTCATTTTCAGCTTACCATGGCCGCGATCACAGAATTGTTCAGTCTTCTCAGTCGCTGGTAGGTCTCGTAACCCACCGACAACCCAGACACGTTGGCCACGGCGCTGTCGATGTCAAAGTCCAGGGCTTCCATCATGTCCAGTAGGAGGGCGACGCACTCGTCGCACGCTGGTCAGGAGAAAAAGAGAGAAAACAACAAACCCATTACAAACTGGTACAATTCAAGGGGCTATACCTACGCAAGAGCAGTGCTCCATCACATTTTTGTCATCCGGTAATTTTTTTTAAAGCAAATACGGAGGATGGCCCAAACTTTACCAGTCACATACAGCTCCAGAAGGGCGTGGCTACTTAACAAACGTCCCCTACATTAAGAATAGTAACAGAAGCCATTTAACAGTGACCACACCCATGAAAAGTGGTCATGCGCATTTCCAGTGACTAACCACACCCATGGACAGTGACCACACCTGTTGACATTGACAATACCCATGGAGTGACCACACCCACCGCCAGTGACCACACCCACTGCCAGTGACCACACCCACTGCCAGTAATCACACCCACTGTCAGTGACGTCCACTGCCAGTGACCACGCCCACTGACAGTGACCACGCCCACTGACAGTGACCACGCCCACTGACAGTGACCACGCCCACTGACAGTGACCACATCCATACACAGTAAACATTTCCCTTTAACACCCTATGAATGGTACCACGCCTAAAATAAAGTGACCGCGCCCGTTAACATAGGCGACACCTTCCTCAGCCATCAATTAAATGGTTAAGAAAAAGTTATCATTAATTTCCTTTTATAAGAAATCACCTCCTCAGAGGGTAGGATTTGTGACTTACGTTGGCATCCTTCGTCCGTCATGACGTAACGATCCTCGCAGAATTCGCAGTTTTCTCCGGTAGCACCAGGCGGGCACAGGCACTCCCCGGTGACCGAGTCACAGCGAAGGTGTGGCTCACAGTTACAAGCTATTCATATGACAACCAATAAAACACAGACTTTGGTACAAGGAACACCTCGGGTAAATGATGAATATGCATATGAATTCACAATATCAAGCAGTGCATAGCATAAAAGATCACTTCTAATTTGTTTTAAGCTCTGGCAGAAGCTTCGATGATTGGTCTGTGACCAAAAAAAACGGAAAATTTACGGCAAAATTTTGGATTCTCGATGCAATGTGGTGCTATCCGAGGCTTAAACCTTGTTCTCAAGCAAGGATAATTGCACGCGAGGGAATGCAAAAAGCACATGTACATGAATCTCGCAGCCCTACACACGAGGTGCAAATGCCATTGAAGAAAATACTCAGTCTGGTCCTGAAGACAAGTGAACTCACGTCCAGCCGAATACACTACATACATGAACATCACAAATTACAGAGTAAGTAAATTTCGGCATAATTAATTAGTACATTCTAACACCCCCTCCCCATTTTCTCGACGTATTCACGCGATTCACGTGGGTTGACTTTTGAGGCCAAAAACTGGATTTCCGGGGAAAAACGGAGAAATCACATCCCTGTACATGTCACTCGGTGGTCGGTTGGTCGGTTGGTCTGTCTGTCCCTGAAAATTGACCAAAGAAGTTGACAACAAATTTCCAAATGCCCTGCCGTGGTTATATAAATGCACTCTTGCTGAAAGTTTTCAGAAGACCGGCTTTGTTTTGATCCATGCACATACGCGTCTTTTTTGCATACGAAGTGCGATTCCCCAACCGGGCCAAGCTTATTGTGTACTCGCACCCGTTTCTTGCTTGGGGAAAGTAAGCTTAAACAAATCTCCACTTCACTACTACCTTTTCGCACAACAAATCTCTTCTGTGCTTACGCAATACCGTATTAAGCGATTCCGTGACATTGGCATGTTTTTGTTTTACATCAAAGCCATATTACAATAGCACTGCTCGGCAGATTTCTCAGCAAAATTTACGTGCTTTAACAAAACTCAGTTTACAACCAGTCATAACCAATGTGCATCATACACCATTTTTGCTTGGAAAGGAGGTTTGACAGCATTCTGCAAAAATCTTAGCAAACCGGCTCCACGGATACGGCGATTGCATTTAACAAACTTACTTTGGCAGCCGTCGGAGCCGTAGTTCCAGTGTCCGTGCAGGCACTGGTCGCACTTGGCTCCGCCCACCCCCGGCTTGCACTGGCACTGGCCGGTCTCAAAGTCGCACTGTCCGCTCTCCGAGGCAAAAGCGCACTGGCAGGGAGAGCAGCCCGCGCAGCTGCTGAAATTCCAGAAGCCGGGCTGGTCGTCGGCAAAGTAAGAGATAGAAATAAAAGTTACATCACCCCTTAACTCCCTGGAAACTGTTGCCAGGAGTCTTCCTGAATCCTTCAAAATCCTCCACTTAACAGTGACCCAATGGCACATTCTGCCCACTGGCAACTTTTGAGGCCTTGAAGCCAAATGTATCAGATGAAATTGACGGTACTCAATTCCCAAAAAAAAAATTCAAAACTTTCTGTTGGAGTTTGGAGGTATTGGCACTTGAGGAGTGTAGTTGGAGTAGTTCTTTCCTTTCCAGGACACTAACAATCCTGCATCCATTGGAATCCATTTGAATCCATCGGAATACATGGGAATCTGATAGAATCCATTGGAATAGATTGGAATTCAACAGAATACATTGGAATCGATCAGAATCCATTGGAATAGATTGGAATTGAACAGAATACATTGGAATCGATCAGAATCCATTGGAATAGATTGGAATTCAACAGAATACATTGGAATCAATCAGAATCCATTGGAATAGATTGGAATTCAACAGAATACATTGGAATCGATCAGAATCCATTGGAATAGATTGGAATTCAACAGAATACATTGGAATCGATCAGAATCCATCGGAAATTTATTGGAAATCCATTGGAATCCATCAACACAGCTACTGAAATCTAGACAGCTTTAAGACGGATAGTAGGTGACTTTGATTCTATTTGGGAAAATCCTCTTAATGAATATAGTATAAACATGACAAAAGCAGGTGCAACTCACAGAGCAGCGATCGCAGAGTGTGCCGACGACATTGTCCTTGCAGTCACAGCGACCCGTGTTGACGTCGCACTCTTGGCTGCCGCAGCGATCGCATGGGCACTCTACATATCAAAAAAACAAACAGAAAACGTGTGAAAGGGCGAGTGATCTACTTATGAAACTAATATGAAAGTACATGTACTTGTGATGGAGTCAGATGGACTTGCGATAGATCTGGATCTGACTACAACACTGCCTATTACTTGAGTTGAAGAAGGGACTCCAGCATTTGTGGCCAACATGAGCTAGAAAAAAAAAAGCAAAGTCTGTTGTGAGCCATAATTCTAGTCGGGCCAGAATTTACCTCTGGTTGCCTTAGCACGAAAGGACTGACAATATCTCTTTTCCCCCTGGATGGGATGCCGGTGTATTACAGGTTACTTCCTAGTCTACATTCCAAAAAGTCTCTTCTCGGACAGTTTTTCTCTTAACATTCGGGGCTGAAATTCCATCCACAAGTACACATGTTTATTTTAGGTGGTTTTTACGACCCCTTTTTCATGTAGGGGTATTCGACTGTTTCTTGGCATTCTCCAACAAGACGACACCACAACTCACCCTGACAGTTCCTGGAAATGACGGCGTCGCCGTAGTACCACCGGTCGCACGTGTCGCAGTTGATGCCCGTGGTGCCCGGCTTGCACTGCAGGCAGTTGCCGAAGCGCGGGTCGCACTCGGGCCCGGCGGCGTTGGGGTTGGAGTTGCCGCTGCAGTTGCACTTGCGGCAGAAACCGTAGGGCTGGCTGGGGTCGCCAAAGTAGCCCTCGTCACATCTGTTTGGGGAAAAAAAATGAAACAGGAACAGTAGGTCCTGGAACAGCCCAATTGGGCTACAAAACCCCCTTTGAATTAAATGATTTTAATCGGAAATAACATTTAAAAGTAGGATTGAACATCCACACAACTATCCTTTCAAAACTTGGTGTTTTTGTGTAATTCCTGTATTATGTGTGCGAGAACAAATTTCGGGGTCCACTTCTGTGACCCCATAAATTCGCTTTGTTCGGATGCTAGTTGTGATTTCATTCGTGAAGTGTTCGTCTTTTGCGGACGTTGAAGAAACCACTATTTTTGCATTTGTGATTGGTCACCACTGTTCCTGAGACACACAACGTGTATATCGTACACTGAGAACGACACAAAAAACGTATTCGTGCTCCGTCGTGTCCGAAGTAAACAAGCGGGTTTTTTGGTCTTTTCTCAGGAACGGTAAGACATTAGGTTGGTTTCCTTTCAACCAGATGTTTGAAATAGGCTAAGTAAACAATCCAAAACATGACATTTTCGAGGATTTCAGGACCTTGTGCCTCTTTAAAGCCGACAAAAATTTGACCATGCACCAAAACACCGACAATTGAGATACACTCTGCCTTTAGCTACAACACTCTCTAATGACCAACAGACGGTAAGTCATATAGGTCTGCTACTTACACATCACAGCGTTCTCCGATATGTCCCAGCAGGCACTCGCACTTCATGCCGGTCGGCACGATGGAACAAGTGAAGGCATAACTAAATAAAGACAAAAATGATAAAATAATCTCATTATCAATTATAAATTGTAAGTAAAAACACGGGAGGCTGCCTTACCGCAGGATGCTGATCCACTTGCAAGAATCATGAACTTAAGTTCCAATGCTTTCCAATGCTCGAAACAAATCAGAATACAAAACAGGAGTTTCGATACAAAAGTTCGGCCTTTACTAAGTAATTTCTATGTCCGTAGACCTAACAATTAACAACTAAGCATTAACAAGATGTCATGATAATCCGCTCATAATCATTAACCCTCCTGCTGTCTGAACAGTCACAGATAGTCAAAAAATCAATTCTTTTCCCCTACCATGCCTTTTACACAGGCTAGTCACGAACAGTCAGATCATATTTCAAGCAAGTACTGTGACTAGTCAAATTCAGTCAACCCACAAAAGCAGGCAAGTGGTAGGCACAGCTGGCTTATCAATCACCTGCAGTCAAAGCATAGCTGTACCAAGTTCTATAAACAGTCACAGCCAGTCAATCCTGCTTTATGTAGGCTGGGAGCTATTAAGTGTTAAAAACAGTCACTTGATTGATTTTGACTGAAAGGACAACTTGGTACAGAGTGTATGTTTGCATAGGAGGGTTACATGTGACGTCATAACTACAACAATATTTTGGAAAGTTGCCAGTAATTTAATTTCAAAGCAACAAATACATTGTATTATTTAAAGTGAGTGTCTTTTACAAACTCACTTTCTCGTCTCGTCAGGATAAGGACAGGAACAGATGTTACAGCTATCAGGAGACCCACTGGTGGCGTCCCCGAAATAACCGACTTTGCAGAGCTCACAGTTGTCTCCCTCAGTGTTGTCTTGACATTCCTGAAAGAAAATATGAAAATTGTTAAACATTTCTAAATATTTCAATACCCAAATTTTGAGGCAAAAAAAAAAATTGAAAGATTCCTTTAAAAAAAAAGATGAAAGATTCCTTTGGTAAGTAGTACTAAGTATATTGCATATTCAAGCTTTGAATTGTGATTGACTCGTGATTGACTTGTGATTGACTTGAGATTCACTTCCGTGATTGGCTTGTGATTGGCTTGCAATTGACTTGTAATTAGCTTGAGATTGGCTTGGGATTGACTTGCGATTGACTCGGATTGACTTGTGATTGACTTGAGATTGACTTGCGATTGACTTGAGATTGACTTGAGATTGGCTTGTGATTGGCTAGTGATTGGCTTGTGATTGGCTTGTGATTGACTTGTGATTGGCTTGAGATTGACTTGCGATTGACTTGCGATTGACTTGAGATTGGCTTGAGATTGGCTTGTGATTGGCTTGTGATTGACTTGTGATTGGCTTGAGATTGACTTAAGATTGACTTCAGATTGACTTCAGATTGACTTCAGATTGACTTGTGATTCACTTTGTGATTGGCTTGTGATTGACTTGAGATTGACTTGTGATTGACTTGAGATTGGCTTGTGACTGACTTGTGATTGGCTTGTGACTGGCTTATGATTGGCTTGCGATTGGCTTGCCATTGACTAGTGATTGACTTACAACTGCCTTTTTCATAGACTTGTTTTTGACTTGTGTTGATCTGAGACTGACTTGTGTTCATCTGTCAAGAACTTGTGATTGACTCTGCCACAGATTCAGATTGAATGGTAAGAAAACTGCAAACTCACGTAGCATCGTCCCGTCTCGGGATCACAGGTCGTGGAGTGACCGTTGCAATCGCAGGGTTCACAGGTGCCTAGATACTGGCCCGAGGAACGACGGAAACCTGCAATGCATTCCTAGGGTGAAAATGAAATGAAAAATGTTAACATTTGAAAACTCAAAGAAAAAAGTATACAAAAAGTAGAGCTCTCTAACAGCTATCAACGCATTACAAACTTATACTCTATGGCCTCAAGGTTTTGAAAGTCCCAGCATTTTCTATAATTTTCCAATATACAACATACAAAAACTACAAAGGGAGAACAAACAACAGTTGGATATACCTCGCAAGACAGACCGGTGTAACCAGTAGGGCAGCGGCATCGTTCCACCTCGTAGGCTGGGGAGCCCCCTCCATCTCTCCTGGTGACGTCCAATGAGACATCACTGAGGCTGAGGGCACAAATAGAAATCAAAATTCTTTATCCAAATTTTGCATTAAATATTACATCACATACAAATATCACCCTTGAATGTCTATTCTCAGTGTTATTTGATGGAAGCAGTTGTCGATACTAGTTTTGTAAGTATTTTTTTTTCTCCTTTAGCAAAAGACAATGTTAAGTTTATAACTGAGGTTAGAAATGGATTCTGAGCCAGATTAAATTTGGGACAACTGTAGTTATACAGGCTATCCAACTGTTTTTCCTTTCTATCCTTGTTCTAATTTTGTGGGGGCATTTTTTGTCGTTGAATAATAAAACAGAATATTATGGTAAAATCACATCCAAAGAACGTTGTGAACACACAAGCAAGCATGCCATGCTCATTAGAACTATGTACATAAAACCTCCTACATTTTTTTGCTTGGGAAATTAACAAGGAGGCCTCCAGTGGAGTGAAATCTAGATTTTACTTTGAAACGTTTTTTTTTTTCATTTTAGTTGCCTATAGCTGTCACTGAAAGCAGCTGGTGAAGTCGAATCGATAAGCGTCTGATGAAGATCATTCCGTACCTTAACGGTTCTTGGAAAGAAAGAGTGTTCAAATGTTGATGTTGAGATGTGGATTCTCTCAAGACTATTATCTCATTTCTGAACCAATGCAATCGGTACACACCTTGCATCTAGGATCTTGTTGTAATACTGTGCCCTGATCTGGATGGACGTGATGCCAGCTAGTACCATCATCATATCCTCGCGGGTCACCGTCCGCGCCGAGAAGCTGTACTGGAAGTAATCCTGCCACAAAACGAGACAATACTCAATACTCGAAACTCATCTTGCTACTCAAACAATACACAAGATCATGTACAGGGTGAGTCAAACAACACGAAACCCAAATGTCGAGACTATTGTTTAGTGAAGTTCTGCATGTAACACTTTCAAAATCTAGGATATGAAAGCCCACTTCATAAGCTTTCTTTTAGTACAAGAATCATTCAAATCACTCATGTACTTTTCAAGTTACGGAATTTTCAACACAACCACTGTTTTAAAGTTCTGTCCACGGATCACACAAAAGGTGTGCGTTCTTTCAGCAAAACGAAAACAATTCACACACATCCCTATGTGATTTGTTTTTGTTTTGCTGAAAGAACACTTACCTTTTTGTGATCTGTGGACAGAACTTTAAAACGGTGCTTGTGTTTAAAAGTCCGTAACTTGAAACATACATGAGTGATTTGAATGATTCTTGTACTAAAAGAAAGCTTATGAATTGGGCTTTCATATTCTAGATTTTGAAAGTGCTACATTTAGAACTTCACTAAAACAATGGTCCTGACATTTGGATTTTTTTTTTTTTTACTCACCCTGTATTCTAACTTATGAATTATGTGCTGGGACAAGGCATTGTTCCCTGCTGTCCTCTAAAATACAACACTCATTCATTCATCATTAGCCTAATTCAATCCACTGCTGGATGAAGGCCTCTCCACTAACTTTCCATGCTTTTCGATCCCTTGCCAGTTGTTTCCATTTCTTCCCTATGAAATCAGAGATTTCATCTCGCCATCTCTTAGGCTGTCTTCCTCTTCGCCTCTTCAATGATAATGGCGTCCAATCCGTTACTCACCGATAGACTAAAAGCCCGTTCATACTCTGCGTGAAAGCAAAACGTGAACGCGAATTTGTCAAGTCACGGCAGGTATTCGCACTGGTCATTCGCAAATGTTGAACATATTTCAACTCCGTCAGAGTTTGCAGCAAATGTTTCCTGACGTCACATTCACTTCACATTCGCGTGAAGAACGAACCAGCTTTTAGCAATTTACTTTTGTGCAACCTGCTGAAGTTAATCACTCCGCGGGAGTGGCTTACCTCCAGAAGTTCGAGAGACATGTCCAGAGGCCGGCCATTCTGCGGCTGCTCCACGTTGATGTACATGATGGTGATGTTGTTACCCTGGTAACAAAGACAAAACAACATCAGTAGAGATGGTTAAAATGAATTGAATTTGGTAACTCCGTGTACAGTTATTCATGCCTCTGAATTTTGTGAAACTAGTGGAACAATGCCATTTTTGGAAAAAAATGTTGCAACCTGACGCCACTTTTCCTTCATGTATCATCTCAATGAAGGTCATTCATTGCAAGAAATGATGATAAGACATGAATCTTGGACTGAGAAATATTTCCAATTTTGCTAGGAAATACTTAGAAAATTTGCTTGACTCTCCATAGACTTTGTACACGATCGTGGAAGTGGCGTCAGGTTGCAACTTTTTTCCCCCATTTTCAACTTTTCACTTTTAAGAATTGTTAGTGATATTCTGTAACACAAGATGGTGCTGTTGCTGTAATTCCAGAAAGAAAAACTTACTTCAATGTGGCAAGAATAAAAAAAAAAATACCCAATTTTTTTATGTCTTTGCCCTTTTACCCAGGACTAAAAAACTAAACGTTAAGTGCAACTTACAGTGATCATGACATCAGGCCTGCGCAGCGGGCTGGAGGTTGAGTCCCCTCTCTCGGGGATGCCATTGCTGGAAACGGTAAACTCGAGCTTGCCGCCGTAAGAAGTCAACTGCGAATTAGAAAAAAAAAAAAAAATAGAAAAAAAAAAATAGAATCAATGCAAAAAATTATCAGGGAACCAGTCAAATGCAGTGTAAAATGTATGACATTTTGACCGGTAACCTGTGTTTAAAAGCGAAGAAATTTGGAAGAAGAGCTCAAGTTTTACGGGGGAATACAACTTTGTGATGACAGAATCATTGTGAGATTTGATTAACTGAGGATGACCATTGAACTGACCTTGTTGCCTAGGTAACTGGGCGGTGCCTCCCAGTAGATGGCCTGGTTGGGGTCGGTGCCCGTACCGACGTTGCCGACGAAGACGTTGACCAGGTTGCCGACGCTTCGGATCAGGGGCGACTTCATGTTGGTCACGGTCCAGCCGGCCATGTCGATGTGCTGGAGGAAGAAAAACAAGAAAAGATGTGTTATGAACTCGGTGTGTGACAACAAAGAGACGTTGCTCAAGTGAACACAACACAGGTTTGTGCAAAATCCAAATACAACAAGACGTCTTTAGTCATTCTGACCTCTATTGAATACCATATCATGTGTACTGGGATGTGCTTCACTAGGCTTGACTCATCCTGTTTGAGCTACGAGCCGAAAAGGGTAGCAGGATTTAAACATCGTACCTTTTCCCGCGGTCGGCCGTAGCTGCGGCAGTCAGAGGAGTGACCAAAGCAGAAACAGCTGATGCAGCCTTTAGGGTTGGAAGCTTCCAAGTAGAAGGTGCCCGGCTCGCACTGGTTGCATTGAACACCTTCAACATTTTCCTGGAAAATAACAAACGTCAAGAATGATTTACCTTTGTTTGGGGTAACAAACAACCGTGATCCAGGCTGCAAGTGCAACATATACATCACACTTGTGACCCTCTGGCACGATAACTGCTGATAACTTGGACCAATTTTTGAAAACTGGGATTTTGGGCTCAAGCCTCATTGGAAAGGACATTGAATTAAAAGCTTTCCAATGATGTATAGAATATGGAAATCAGACAAAATCTGACAGAGTTATATAGATAGCTTCACGATTTTCTTACCTCTGGGAAAGTATTTTGTGGTTAAAGTTTCCCAAAATGAACTCATCGGCAACGCATGTTTGAAAGCAATGAAAATGAAACTTGGAGTATACATTCATCACTTGTCCTAACTCTTTAGGACAAATTTTCATCAATATTCCGGGTTTTATAGGCTGTATCTCAACATACGACCGTGCGACTTCCGACTGGTTTTGAGCCGGAGGATCAGATTAAAGTCTGATGCATCTGATCGCAGGAATTTCTATTTTGAGAGGAAGGTTTCAGACTTTTTTGAGTGACTGAATATTTTGCCGTACCTTGCACAGGCACTCGGCAGTAGTCTGATCGCAGATGCCGTCCTCGGTCCCGCTCACGTCGCAGAAGCAGGACTCGCAGAACGGGTAGCGGTGGTATCCGGGCTGACATTGGTCGCACTGACGACCCCCGATGTTGGCCTTGCAGCTGATTGGTGAAAAAAAAAACACAAAAGATGTCAGCGTGGTATGAGATATGGATTCCAGTGATGTGTGGCCCCCCGGAATGGCCTCTCTTCATTGCCTGTGTCAGTGAGTTCTCACAATTTTGTACACTGAGATACGAATACAAGTTATGGTCCGGCGATCTGCATATCACAGACTCAACATCTTGAAATAAACTGGTTTCCTAATCAAGATCAAAACAAAACGGTTTCAAACATTACAGTCATGAGAATGACGATAACCTCGAGTGCAATAAGAAGGCTTAAATTCCCAGCCTTAAAGGTATAGCCCATCATTTGTACTTTGTGCATTTTGTTCGTTTGAAGCAACAAAAATGCTCAAGATCTAAAGACAGGTGCTGAACAACTAACCGGATGAAGTTTCAGCTCAGCTTTAGCTGTATTTTTCGAGAAAAACAACAATCTAGGATCTCAATTTCAAATAAAAAGTTGCTGAATCATGTTTTGAATTGGGCCTGAATTCAGCGTCCGAGACACGTTCTCACTGAGCCGATTGCAGCTATGCGATGTCGCGCACTGATCCGACGAACTATAGCAACCGCGCGCGCGTGTGCCTCATGCCAATGCTTGCGCGGGCTTCGCCGAATAACAAAACAAACTACTAATTTGGATTTCCTACGGTGCTTCTTAAGAAGCACTGTTGGAAAGGCCTTCTTTTTTTTGATTTCTTCAAAATGACAGCTTGCCAGAAAGTATAATTTCACAGGGAGTTTAGTCCCCTTACTATCTTACAACCAAGTATGTTTTTCAACAATAATTACGCCAGTTACTTTTTGGATAGCTGCAAATAATGGACTCTGGCTTTAATGGTCAAATTCTTACCATTACATTTGTTTTTGCAGGGGGAACCTTAGAATCTCTCAGGGGTTTTTCGGGGATACAAATATTTTAGGAGAGTTGGGAGGGGGCAAGGGAAGCCTTAAGGTGGAAAACTAATCTAAAAACATAACATGGAATAGAAAAAGCTGAGAACTGTTCCAAAGTTGGAATAACACGCCAGCACAAGTACTTGGTAAAAATAAAAAAATTTACTGAAAATTTGAACGGCTATCTGACTCACTTGCACTGGCCCGTGTTTTCGTTGCAGTTGTAATCTCCATTAACGACACCCCTGCCGTCACAGTTACATTCCTGTCAATGAAATGGAGTGTTTGAAAAAGTAAACAAATGCTTCCTCTCTTAGGAATGCAAATCCGTTCTCTTAGCAAAAATAACTCCAAGTATTCACACAGGGGAAGTAAAGACTACACAAAAATACAGCAATCTGGAGGGATTAATAAAGCCAAACTTAAGTCAACTCTATGCCAACAATCAACCTAACGAGAAAAATCACGTCAACACAGCTTGAGAAATACCGTCCGATTACATGACGTACAAATGGACGCGGAACACGCAAAATCTGAGACAAACAAAACGTAAACTTCCATAGGATTGTCTAAGGGGCATGGCTAGCTTGTAAACAGCAATAGGTCAATTTCTAGCGAAATGTTCAAAAGAGCATTACACAAAATTAACATTACATTCTTTGTACTTGAAATTAGGAGACCAAGCAAGACCAATCAGTAGGAAATAATTATTTGTGTGAAGTATTTGAATAGTTAAAAGCTCTGACTTACTGCGCAGCCGACCAGCGGGTCGTACCCATAGGTCCTGTCAGCGCAGCGATCACAGCTGTCACCGACCACGTTATCAGGGCAGATACACTCTCCAGTCACCTCGTTGCAAACTCCCGACCGACACCGACACCCTAGAAATGACAAAAAGTTGATCAAAAATACAAGCTTTTTTTGGTTTTTCTTCATTAAAGTAATTTTTCTTAAAAGAAACGTGGTTAGTCTTTTTTGTATATTTCAGAAACCACTGTAGCTCTGTATAAATTTATTGCCATGTTTCTGCCTCAACATAACCCCAAATCAACTTAAGATCGTCCATTCATCAAATTTAATATTAGATTTGGCCCTTTTCAATAGCAATATAAAAATTGCTAGAGTGCTTCAATAGTTTGTTAAATATAGCTTTTACAAGTTAACTAGGTTTGGACTCGAACCACAACTCGTAAACTTGGGCGAATGATTAACTCTCCTACTATTTAAACAACCACAGACAGCCAGAATTTCCACCCACTTCCCCAGCTATACTTTTAACACAGGCTAGTCACCAGCAGTCAGATCATAGGTCAAGCAAGCACTGTGACTAGTCAAACTCAGTCAACAGACCATGAACAGACAAAGCAGGCAAGTTGTGAGCACAGTTGGCTTATCAATCACCCACAGTCAAAGCAAAGCTGTATCAAGTTGCATAAACAGTCACAGCCAGTCAATCATGCTTTATGTACAGGTAGGCACGGAATTTTTAACTGTTGAAAACAGTCACTTCAGTAATATTAACTGAAAGGATTTCTTGGCACAGAATGTATGCTTGCATAGGAGGGTTAAGACTTCGTACCAATAAGCTGGTGGTAGTGGGTTCTCCTCCTAAAAAAGCAAACCGTGCATAATAATAATAACAATAACAGGTCCTTATATAGGGCTTTTAACTAAGATCAAAGCGTTTACATTATTATTACCCCTGATCATTGGGCCAATTAAACATTCCATATACCATCTCAGCTCCCTGGGGAGTATACAGTTCGATGCAGCCTGTTAGGCGCAAGGAAGCTAATTCAATCACAATAACCATCTCTGCCCTCACAGGTACCCATTTACTCCTGGGTGGAGAGAAGCAATGAGTGACCCCAGGCTGGACTCGAACCCACAACCTGCAGCTTGACCCGCAGACCACGAATTCAGTGCCCTTAACCACGAGGCCACAACACTCCACGTAAACTGCTTATAAAAATCAATGAGGCGCAATAAACCCAGAAATAAACTTTGAAAGCCGAAACTCACTCTGACAGCTGGGGAACTGATAGAAGCCGATCTTGCAGCGACTGCAGCGGCGACCAGCGATGTTGGGCCGGCACTGGCACTGTCCGCCCAGCTGTTCGCAGTTGAAGCTCTGCGAGCCCTGTCGGTCGCACTCGCAGGGGAGGGCGCCGTTGTTGTAGTCTGCCGAGAGGGAGAAGGTGGCTTCACGACAGAAACCGCTGCCGTCGGGACTAATGAAAAAAGGGATGATAACAAGAGTGGCGATTGTACAGTATGTCCCAAAAAAGGGTCCGTCTGACTATAATAGCTACAAAACCATGAAGTCAATTTTGAAATTTTTTGATTGTGCAGATACTTTTTATCCTTGGCCCAAACCCTTATGAGTTACATTTAATTTCAGTAACGCATCACTGCACAATGGTCAATTGATCACCGTAACATTTTTGGACACTGTGACCAAGTCCCTTGCCTTGATCGTTTTCAGCTGTGTTATAGCCGAGTAAAATCATGCATGCTGTGAAGAGAAAAAAAAACTGACGTATTTTGGGATTGGAATCATTTGCCCTTGAGCATGAAACCCAGGGGCCAATTTTAATAGAGCTGCTTAAGCACAAAATTTGCTTAAGCACAAAAATGTCTTGCTTAATAAAACCAGGTTACCGGCCAAAACTCCATGCGATTGTTATGCTAAGTAAACAACAGCTAAATACCAGTCACAAGCAATGTACATCACATGGAGTTTTGGCCGGTAACCTAATTTTACTAAGCAATGTTTTTTCGTGCTTAAGCAAATTTTCTGCTTAAGCAGCTCTATGAAATTGGGCCCAGGTCTTGCCATGATGACTGATAGCCAGGCAAATGATTCTAATCTCAAATTTGTTGATCTCTGCCACACCCAGTTTACGAACTCAAGATGGACTCGAAACTTTCTGTTTAGGAAATCAATTACAAATGTAAACTCAGTCAATCAGTGATTAAATCGATCAGTCAGTCAGTCAATCAGTCGAAAGACAATACGCTGGCCCTTCAGGTGCAGCAAAAAATGGGGGTGGAGGCAAAGGGGGAGGTGGTTACCTGATGTAGAAGTTGTTTTCTCCACAGCTGCGGATGAACTCTCCCGCCCTGTCCTGTGGATCCTCGGTCAGAACATCGTCATTGTAGTCATTCTCCGGAATGGCAATGACATAGTCCTGAAAAAAAAAAAATCCAAACATTTTTCAAAACGATAACAAATATTTTCTAATTCTATTCAATTTTTTTTTGAAATGGCAAACTGGTGGATCAATGGTGAGCAGTTTTGCTTCCCAAATCCTTCAAAAAATGCTTCTCGTTTTTTTTTTTTAGCAGCTCTGTGACATTGGCCCTTGGTCTGAAATCAAAGGGTCTTCTCTCAGGCAGGGCAAAGATTTTTTTTGAAAATTGGCGTCAAAGTTTCTAAACTTACAATCCAGATTTCGCCATCGCTGCCGTCCGGTAGTGATATGTAGTAGCCCTGGCCTGTGCCTGACAGGTCAAAGGTCGAACTGCCGTCACCGGGCCGGGTGACGACTGCGCGGCATCCCGACACGTGAGGGCAGTATCCAGCCTGGAAAGACCCTGCGAAAAGCAAAGTAATGTAGGGAAAGTGAAAACAAAGGAATATTTGGTCACAGGTCTTGTCACATCAAGTCACTGGGGATGAACAGCCACTTGACATGTGACTGACTTATGACTGACTTGTGGTCCACTTATGATTAACTTGTTATCCACTTGTGATTGACGCGTAGTCAACTTGTGATCCACTTGTGACTTACATATGATCAACTTGTGATTGACATGTGCTTGACATATGACTGACTTGTGATTGAACAGTGATGACTTCATTTCAAACTCTTCTGACAATACTAAATAACAGCAAATCCTTGTTTTGATACCTTCTCCGTCAAATTCTCCCAGCACGTTGAAGTTGACGTCCATCGTGGCCCCGGTCGGCTGGAAGTAGTGGACTACATAGACGTAGCGTCCGTCCAGGGCATCGACATTATCGTAAGTCACCGAGGTCTGCAAGAAAAAAAAAACGGACAATTCTTTGAGAAAATTGAGAAAAAGCTCAGTATGTCTCGGTACGATGTGTGCACAGAGCGGCCCTTTGCAGGTTTCAAAGCTGTAAAATTAATGATCAGTGCAATATTGGATCCTCAAGAGAAGTATGTGACAATTTGGAACCAACAACAATGCAAATTGCGACCCACTAACACAAAACCAATCAGAAGTCCCATGGCTGTATTTTGAGATTCAGTCCTAAAAAACATTACACCTAGGCAAAATTATCGAAATTTTGGGCATTAGAAGCTAGAATAATGAATACATTTCACATTTAGTGAAGTTAATTTGTAAATTACCTAAGGAATTCATTTGGGAAGCTTTAACGACAAAATTCTCAATTTTAAAAACAAAATTCCGAGACCTAAAAATTGGGACCTGAAAATAGCTGTAACTCCGTCAGATTTTGTCCGATTTCCATATTCTATACATCATTGTAAAACTTATTCAATGTCCTTTCCAATGAGCCTAAAATCCCAGTTTTCAAATATTGGTTCCAAGTGACCGTTTTTTTGTGTGCCGGAGCGTCAAACTTGAAAAAAAAATCTTGCCAAACCAGGTGATGGATTTCAGCAGTTTTTGGAATGGGTAACCCTTTCCTTACCATGGGCGACTTTTGTCGACAAGAAGAACCCCCCTGCTGGTTCCAATGGGTGACTTTAGTCGACCAGGAAACCACACACAGAACACCCTCAACACAGATATATTCACTACTTTTCAGAAAGGCGGCATGTTGATATGTTTGGCTGCCCATACATCAACCATATACCAGCTGAAAGAGTGTTTTCGGATCGTCCTAATGGTGTAGTTTATTCATAGTGTTACCATTACAAAAAAATGAGAAAAGTGCTTCAGAAGTATCCACGCACAAATTGAGGAATGGAGTGCCATTTGGTCAGGTGGTGAAATGGCTTGCAGTTTGATAAATGGAACCAGATGAACAAACAGGCATAACTTTCTTATATTTACACATATGGACTTCATTTTTACATCACATACAAGAGTAAGGTTCAAGGAACAAACTTTACACACAACACCTATGATTTAAATCACTCCTTGGCAGTGAAAATCTGGGTTGAAAAAAGTGAGTTTTGGACTTGTGGTCATTTTGTTCACGCTCTATTGATTTCCGCATGACTGAGCAAACAATTTGGTCCTAGGGAGAGCCAAGTCAATAAACAGTGTGGTAATGAAAGGGTTAAGGTTAGCGTTTTATCTTTCTTACCGAACCACTGCCGTCGGTTGTGACGTAGTGCAGGGTGATATCGCTGTCTATGACATTGGGCGGGAGTGGGGCGTCGGCGTCGATGTCAGATTTGTCGATCCATACAGAACCAGTCGGGACTGGGTAGGTTGAGATATGGCACCTGCAAAAAAATATGGGTTAAAAAAAAAAAAATGTATGGAAAGGCTTCGTTATTTAGAAACATCCGTCACTTTGCTTATATTCAACGGGAGAAGTTCACAGTTGCACTAAAACAAGGCATACGAGGAGTGCAGCATAGGGGTAGGGCTCATGACTTGTTAACAGAGCACCTGGGGTAAGACTGTGCTGTGTCCTTGGGCAAGTCACTTAACCCTAATTGCCTGTCACTATCCAGGGCAAGGAATGGGTTCCGGCATTAGCTGACTTGTGATCGGGGGGTCAAGGGTTCGAATCTTAAAGGTGGCAATGTGCTCTGTCCATAGGCAAGCCTCTTAACCTCAATTTCCTGTGACTATCTTGGACATCGAATGAGTGCCAGCATTAGCTGACTTGTGATTGGAAGGTCGAGGGTTCGAATCTAGTAGGTGGCCATGTGCTGCGTCCATAGGCAAGCCTCTTAACCTCAATTGCCACTGAATGGGCACTGACAAGAGCTTGGGGAAGTATTCTGTGAATAACCAGAATTCCATCCAGGGTCGTGGTTGGAAATAATCAAAGTTGTTTTGAGCCAAGGAAATCGCAGAAAAAAATCATCAGCCTCATGAGGTATATCTGCCTGAGAGAGACTACAAAAAAAAAGAGTAACATGTACTTACTCTCCGTCGGCTGTGCGGACGCACTGAAGAGCCGGGGTGACAAAGTCATAGGACCACTTAGGGGCAGGGATAGCGATGAGTTGGCTCTGGAAAAAGTCGATCAAATCATAATAAATGCAATTATCAAATTTCCAATTTTTTACCTTTTTTTTCCAGAACAAAGTGAATACTGTGCCTAAGCACCCCACTAATTTATTCCAAATAAAGTTTTAGGGGTAAAACTATGTGTAAATTGTTCTTTTACACCTATAAATCAATCTCAATTTTTTTTGGGGAAACGATGAATTCATCGTTTACAAATACAAATTTGATGAAAACTTTCATTATATTACCAAGGATTAAAAGTAAGTGTACCAAGATACATGTACTTTGAAAAGCTAGCAACTTAAATATCATTGAATTGTCAAGATTTTCCAATGATGGAGAGACTTACGATTCCAATCAGGTCGGGGTTGCCATTCAGGATCAATCGGACGTAAGGGTTAGGCTGATCAATGTTGAAGACCATCGGCATGCCGTCAGAATCCACCACAACAGCACGGCAACTGCCAAAAAAAAAAAAATCAAAAGTATTACATGTTTTAACCCTGTCCTTACCACATTGTTTAGTGACTTTGGCTATCCCCAGTACCAAATTAGTCAGTACAATGAATGGATATTGAAGAACTTGGAAAGGTTCCTTGCAAAGGTTCCTTGCAAAGGTTCCTTAGAAAGGTTCCTTGAAGAACGATCAGGATGTTATAGTTATGTTGAACGTTTTGGTGACTGTACTGCACAGTCACAATAGCTTACTACTGTACAATATATTAGGAGTGTAATTTTTTATATTTCATACAAAGTTTTGCATAGTTCATTTTTCTTTTATGAAAGAATATGAAGAACTTTTGATAAAAATTCATATTAGTCAAAGCCAGTACTAATCTCTCAAATCACATAACTTGCGCTGAAAAGTTTTAATACGCTTACCTAATACTTCACTTCAACATTACACTACACAACTAAGAAAACTAATTTTACAAAGAAAAATAGGAACATTTGATCATTTTATTTATTTATTTTATTATTTATTAATTACTTCTGGTACTAACACCAAGAATTCCCCAAATAGCGCCCTAGGCACTGTAAGCTCGAAAGCCTGAAGAAAGCTGTAGAGAGAAGTGAATGAGAAGAAATTACAGTTTCAGAGGTGGGAGGAAAAGCCCAGAAGAATATTCTGGGGAAAACTCACGGAATCAGGTAGGGACTGAAAACCCAATCCACATATTGGCCCGGCCGGGATTCGAACCGGGGTCACAGCGGTGGAAGGCGAGGAAAGTACCGCTACGCCAACCTGACTCCCCCAATTAATATTACTGGTTCATTTTGGCAGACTTACAGGAATGAACAGTCAAAGAAGCTGATGTAGCCACGCTGGGTTCCTCCTTGGACCAGCACCTCCACGGTGCCGGTCTGGACTCCCGGCCCTCCACCATAGTATTCATAGACAAAGACGTAGTCGCCAGACTCGCTGATGGGCACATTCAGCAAGATGTTCTTCTGTAAAACACAAAGAGAAAAAGTGGAATTATTCATAACTCAGGTTTGTCAAAACGTGGGGCTGGGGAAGGCGCTGGGAGAGGGGGTTGAAAGGTGGTGGGGGAGGGGTGGAGGTGGGAGTAGGTATAGGTAGGGGTGGGGATGGAGGTAAGGGGATGGGGAAACGGGTGGGTGTGGGCGAGGGGTGAGGGAGAGGCTGAGAGGGATGGGGTGGGGGAGGGACCAAGAGGGATGGGGTGGGAAGGGTGGGGGATTGGAGAGGGGGTGGGGTGGGAGTGGGGACATGGGGTGTGGTATGGGTAATGGCATGGGGTGGGACATGGGGTGGGGTACAGGATGATACACTGGGTGGGGGCATGGGGTGGGGCACGGGGTGGGGCACGAGGCGGGGCAAGTGGTAGGGCACAGGGTGGGGTACGGGATGGGGTATGGGATGGGGCACGGGGTGGGGTATGAGATGGGGCATGGGCTGGGGTATGGGGTAGGGCATAGGGTGAGGCAGGGGTTGTATTTTTTCCTTATTGTACTCACGTGTTGGGTATCCATGACAGCAAGATCAGGGACTCCAATCTCCAGAAGAATATCCTGGTCCAAGAAATGCGTGGCAGGGACGTTGGTGCTGTCAATTTCATAGTAACCATTGATTCCACGGACCACGTAGAAGAAGTCAGCCATTGGGTAGGTGTAATAGTTGCATCTGTAATGACAACGAGTTTAAAGATATACAATTTAAGTTGAAATACGGTGGACACAATAGACGGGTGATATTTGAAGTAAACTCTCTCTGTGGGGGAATGAGTACACAAATGCAAATGTTCTTATTCAACTAAACCTAAGCATGTTTCCATCAGTAATTCAATTCAATTCAATGATGATTTATTCATTTAAAATCCACACTGTGTGGCCCAGTGCAAAATTACAAATGGATTTACAAAAAAATGGTACGTTTTCCAAAATAATACAAACAGTATTTTTAGGCCAAAAAAAAAAGTCTCCGGTTTCTGGTATGCGCGCGCGTCACCGTAGTCATGCGCGTCGGCAAAATGAAAAAGTTTTTTTTTCAATGAAAGATGATGTCTCAAAACTGCCAAACTCACTGGTTTGACTGGAATCCTGCTGCTGCACAATTTTAATGTGTTTTTAGATTGGGTTATGGTCGAGAATAAGCTTTATGTGGCCTCTCTGAACTCCCATATATTTGCACTAAGTTTAGTCGGGCACCATTTGCTGTCATCAGCCGACATTTGAAGCAAAAAAATCAGGTAAAAAAAAAAAAAGCCGCGTCGCCGCACCACTTTTTGGGCAAGCTCCATACCAGAAACCGGAGACTTTTTTTTTTGGCCTTAGAGGAATGTTTTTTTTTCATTTTTGAGACACTCGGTTTAGAAATGGTCTGCTTCACGGATGCATTTGGCAACATCCAATTCAGTTTTAGCACAGCTGGTCGGAGATTTTCAGTAAAGCACAATCTCCAATAACTGCAGATATCAGTTGTTGTATCCAACATCGTCCAAGTACACAATGCCAAGGGAGACGTAAGTTATATTGTGTCTGACCTTTCTTGGTGAATGCCCGCGATGCAAGGCTCGGAGACACGCTGCTGTAGGATGGTGGCCTCGTAGTAGGCAGACGGGATCAAGACCAGATAATCCTAGAATATGAAGCAAAAGTCAATTAAGTCCTCTTTCCGGTGTGGTACTTTAAAAAAAATATTATATTTTTCCCCAGAAAATAAATATTTGCAAATTGTCCACATGAGTGTAGCACAATTTTGAGTCAAGTGACTGTTTCTGATAAAATGAGGGCCAAAATTAAAAAACTGAAGAAACAAGCATTTTGATACTGAATATATCATTTTTTAACTTTGAAAATGGTATCCATAACCTTTAAGTATTAATAATCAGGTTTCCAACAACTTCCAACTTGTTTCACGTCATGAAAACATTGTATTATTTGCGAAAATATAGCAGTACGATAGCTTACCAGCAGGACCCCCTCTGGAGCCTCAATTGTGACAGTCCAGGTACCGGGGTTCAGCACAAAGGGACTGATCATGCCGCCGCCTTCTACGGTTACCAGTTGGGGATCGGGGCCAGCAACAAACAGGACATCGCTGGACTGTTCCGAACCTAAAAACAGAATCGTTGATTGGAGAGTAGTTAGTGACTGGCCCATAACTTAACAGTAGTGAATTTTCCGTAAGTACTAATTGGGCAATAATTATTAATTGGGCAATAATTATGAAATGGGCAATAATTATGAATTGGGCAATACCTATGAATTGGGCAATAATTATTAATTGGGCAATAATTCTCAATTGGGCAATAATTCCCAATTGGGCTACAATTAATAGTTGGCCATATTCATTAAACGAGAAGCAATACTCATATGGCAATAATTATTTATTGACTGGACCACAATTATTGATTGGGTAATACTTAATGATTGGGTTTCTCAAAGACGGGGACAGCAAAATTCCTGGACTGGGTAAAGGCCGCGTCCGAAACACATGGCTACGACCAGCAATTACACACAAGTCTATGGGAAGTGGCTGCAGTGGCTAGCCAGTGGCATCCGCAGAAGCGCGTGTTGTTTACGGCAGTAGCCATATGATTCAGACACAGCCTGATATACTGACTCTGCTGTAACATTAATTGGGCAATAATTATTACTTGGGCTCTTCAGAAACACAAACTGCATTAACTCCAGACTCTTTATTGAAACCGGCCTGGAACTGATTGCGTTACGTACTTTTCACGACAACCTTACCCTGGTCTGGATTGGAGGGTGTAATGGTCAGCCTTCCCTTGACGTTGGAGTCCCCACGGTAGACGTAATGCAGCACCAGATGGTACAGGCTTGGCGTCGTAACCTCAACGGTCCTCAGTACAATGGGCTTAAGAAGGACAAATAGTTTTCATTAGCTGCAACTTACATCCTATTGTTATTTCACAAATGTCATACCATTGTATAATATCCAGAGATATATTTGATTCTAGCTACTTGGATTGAACACTGGAACTGCAATTCCGAAGCTCAGGTTCGAATCCTGGAAGCATCAATGTCCGTTGTTTTTTTATGATAGCTTTAACGAAGGTTCAATAATGCTGGATCGTGCTATTTGTGAAGTGGACTCAATGCTGATAGCAAAATGCAAGCATTAGGTAGAGCACTGGAACATCAATCCACTGGTTCCATGCTCGAATCCAATCTGAGTAAATTCTTCCTAAAAACATAAAATGAAGAAGAAACTCTGGTGCAGCGACTTGATGACATGACAGCCAAGTGCTTATTTCAATCACTGAAACAGCAATCTACTGGTTCGGAGTTCGAATCCAACCAAGTCAAAATCTTAATACATTAGTAAAAAGTGATCAGGGACTGCTTGCAGGTACCTGAATGGACGACATGATTGCATAAGCCAGGTAGGAGAAGCCAGGGAACTCAGTTTCGTCGAAGCCGACACGGAGGCGTCGGCCCTCGGGAGTCGAACCCCCCTCGATCTCAAACTTGTGCTGGAACAGGTCGGGGAAGAAGTGGGTCGGAAGCGGTCTGCAAGAAAAATCGAACAAAATCGTCAATTTGAATTCAGATAAGTCTAAAAAAAATAACTTGAATTAAAGAGAGAAGAATAAGGAATCAGAGATAAGACGGGCTCGTCAAAAATCAAAACAAAAACATCTGCTCACTCGTTGCACATGATTCCGGTGACCCTTGCTTTACAGACACACTGGCCGGTGGTCTTGTCACAAGCGCCGTGGCTGCTACCACCAACATCACAAGCACAGTCTGAAGAAAGAAGAAAGAAAGAAATCAGAAAGCTAACACGACAGTCCTGAAAACAGACTATAAATTCTTTAACATTAAGCAACATGGTCTTGCAGAAAAGCCTTTGTTTTTTGATCGATTTTTATTTTTATTTTTCCCTGTTTTTCTAACCAAAGTCCCATAGACTTTGTACACATATATTTCTAGTTGATTTTGTTCACTTCTAAGCTCCTTTCAAATCCTAATCCGAATTGTCCTAGAAAAAGAACTCTTTAAAGTTGAGCTGCAGACAATGATGACATCATCATCAGTCATGTGACATCAACTTAAAGATACACTTTCGTGGTCCAAAAGTCTTGAGACCTGGAGAGAACTGCGGAAACCTGCGTTGCTTAAAGATGTCGGAACCGTTACCTCTGCAGCCGAGGGGATCTTCTGCCTTCAGACCGAAAGTCCCGTCGCTGCACTCCGAGCAAGTACGTCCAGCAACTAAGGCCTTGCACAGGCACTGTCCAGAACTCTGGAAAAAAACACAGAAAAATGACCAAAATAAAGAAAATCATTTGAAAACAGGCCTTAACAATGATTGCATAAAACCTTTGAAATAAATCTCCTCTTGTTCTGCTATATCATCAGCCTTGGCGAATGAGCATAAGGGAAGGCACGCTTTCGGCAAACAATTTAGAGTTAAGCAGCCTGGTTCCCCATCCTTCATTTATGTTCCTGAAGTGGGAAGACAAGGAACCAGCCAAACCACAGGAGCTGCAATCTAGGTCTCGTGGTCCAGGACTTACCAACCTCGTCCCCAGTGCTTACTTTATTTCCAACGTTGTTTCCAATACTTAACCCTGGATAGGAAACTTCCTTCCTGCATCCTGATTCGATACCGCAATTGGCTAGAAATGGATTTATATCGTGTACTTGGTGTAGTTATTCACAACGTGCAGTACGTGTTTTCGCAATCATTCGTCCACGCCTTCTCGAAAATATTCATTTCCTTTCCAATTTGTTAATATTGATATCAAATGTGATACTGCATGTTGTCTCGTTAAGATCGTAACAGTTTAATTAAAATAAAATCATGTTTTCATAACTCACGCCATGCTCGCGCTGCGACGAATTGATTCTGTTTTTACCCCAGACACCGCATACAAAAACAAACGCAAATGTAACGCACAGGCAGGCACCAGACTACTCCTAATTTGCATACGTGTTCAAAAATCTTGCACATATGCAAATGATCCAATACCTGGGTGAGAGAGCAGGTAGTGGTGGGCGCGTACTGCTCGACACCCTGGGGACGAGGTTGAGGACTTACCATATCGCACTCGCCCATCCCATTGATGGTGCCGGCAGGGTTGCAGTCGCACCGCTCACAGCCCAGTGGGTTGCTGATCTGCAGGTTCCAGTAGGTTGGCTCACAGGTGTCGCAGGTGCGGCCCTGCACGTTGCTCTTGCACCTACAGGCCCCCTGTTAAGGTGCCAACATTTGAAGGTGCAAATCAGTGAAGTTTTTAACAAATTGGCTTTTGTTACTGTAACACTAAAAAAACATCCAGATCTAAGCATGATTTAACAGTGACAAATAACATTTCAAAGTGGTTTAAATACAGGTTATGATCTAAAATCAATATTTTGATTCACAAAAAAAAAAAAATGTCTCCAAACTACTAGAACATGCGTAATTAAATGAAGAATCTGTCAAGATTCCATTCAGATTAGTATACAGAGTAACCAAAAACGAATGCAAATGACCAAAGCTTCACCATGAGAAAAGTCACAAGATGAGGGAGAATCTCAAAATTTGGAAACTTTTTGTTCGTTCGTTTGGGAATGTTACTTTGGAATATGCCACATTCCATTCCCAAGTTTGAATGTGCATGCAAAAACACTGCCATTTATAAAGGAACGTTTGCAAATGGAACTTTATTGGCTCGATATTCAGTGGAACTTTCCAAGCATTCCAAGTTTTGAGATACTCTCTTCGTATAAACATATGTACCTCCACCAATACTTCATTGACTAAGTGCCGGAAGGCTGCTGGAAGCTCGTTCCATATGCCACTCTGAAATCACGGCGGTTATCACAAAAACGTATGCATGCAACAAAGGAAGGTTAGTGGAAAATTCACCAGTTAGTATCAGTAGTCATGCATTGTAAAGAATATTAGTCGATTAGCCCACATGCCCTCAATAGTTGGAAATTAGCCCCCATTGTTTCAGAGACCCAGCTGTACGCAACAACATGCAATGGTTCTCAAAGTAAGAAGCCTGCTCAGTGTAACAATAGGGCGACTATATGCTAAGGCCGAACTGCCTCAGAATTTGCGGTTGCCAACTACCACAGGATCCAACAGTGATATTGCTCAACATTCTAGTTCTTACTTCATTAGAATTGTGCTTATGCTGGGCCCAATTTCATAGCACTGCTTAACAGTAAGCAGAAAAGTTGTGCTTACTATAGCAGAAAATCATGCTGCTGCTTAAGCACTATTTCATGCTAACGGTTGCGCGTGCAAGTAGATTTCTATTGTTACATCACTGATTTAAGCAAAGTTTTCTTCTGGGGGTTAAGCGTGCTTTTGCTGTGCTTACTGCTTAACGGTCCCTATGAAATAGATGGAGGCTCGGTAAGCACAAAGTCCGCTGTTCAGCAGCGTTATGAAATTGGGCCCTGGTCTTGTTGACCACTGAATGTAACAGTGGCAAAATACTGGTTGAGCAGGGTTAGCATTAAATTAGTTAGGTCGATATGAAGGGCCTGATTTCATAGCACTGCTTAAAAAACAGCTGATTTTGTGTTCTGTCTATTTCATAGAGACCGTTAAGCAGTAAGCACAGCAAAAGCACGCTTAACCCCAGAGAAAAAAGTTGCTTAAATGTGACGTAACAATAGAAATCTCCATGTGCGTTCAACCGCTAGCACATCTACGCCATGAGACAGTGCTTAAGTTCTGCATGATTTTCTACTATGGTAACCACAACTTTCTGCTAACTGTTAAGGAGCGCTACGAAACTGGGCCAAGGTCATTTGTCTGATACCCTTTCTTTTTTTTTTTTACAATATGGCAGTAACATTGATGCATCATGTGGAAAACACAAAAATCAAGAACAAAAACACATCAACAACAACAGCATGCATATAAAAAATAATTAAACACATCTCTAGTTCTAATTTCTTTTTCAATAATTGGTTTCTGGTTTTGCAATGAACGGAAATGTTAGTGTAATCACCACCATGATTACAATAATGGGGGCCAATTTCAAGAAGTTGCTAAGAAAACTGCTAACCACTAACATTTCCCGCTTAGCATAAATGGGGTACCGGCTAAAATGCCATGTAAACATATATGCTTTGCGACTGGGTCCCAGCATATTTGCGCTTAGCACATAAGTTGGATAAGCAACAATTTCTGCTTAGCATAGAAAATTTGTACTAAGCAAAAATAGGTCACGAGCTAAAATTCCATTCAATCTATATGCTTTTCACTTAGCACCAATTTCTTCTTAGAAGCTCCACAAAAAAACGCCCTCGAACTGGTAAGCAGTTCCCAATGCACCATAAGCAGATTTTATTGTTAATTTTTCTTTTTTTATTTGACGATTCTTTTTTTACCCCAGTGGATGAGCCGCAGCCTCCCAGCGGTTCGCCGGGGACGTCCACCACGCCGGCCGGATCGCAGTTGCACTCCTCGCAGGAAGGGAAGTTGTAGAAGCCCTCGGCGCACTGCTCGCACATCCGCCCGCGGAAGCTGGAGCGGCAGGAGCACTGGCCCGTGCCCTGGTCGCACATGATGCTGAGGGAGCCCTGTCGGTGGCACTCGCAATCTGTGAGAACCCAAGAAGTCAGCTCCAATTCACTTCCAAACTAGAAAGCACCCAGAGAGCGCACACATACTGGAATTTGTATCCTTGTGGAGTCATTTCTTTGTTCTCGTGTACTGAAGTTTTCGAGTTTGAAAGTCTGCTTTCAAAATGCTCCTATTTCAACCAGCATTAATTTCCTGGGCTGAAATTCAGACTTAATATCCCTTACATAAAATTCTTCAATTTGCGACGGATCAACACCCCTTGGAAATTCCTAGTTTTTGAGTAAAATCCATATGTCTATTTCGTGATAACCTTGTGGAGACGTATTCACCTATAGAAATTGCTTTGTGGAGATGTATACAATCTTTTGTTCCCTATTGTGCACATGTCTCCACAGGGTACTGTGTACCAGATTACAGCTCCCCCAAAGCTAAACAATTTCCCGTCATTACACACAGCACCAAATGCGGTTTCTAAACAAATCCTCAAACTCGAACATTTTGTAGTTCACGTGTATATGCCTGTGTTGGTCTACCTTTCCACTAAAATGGTCTAGTCCACTGACCTGTGTGGTTAAATTAGGTGGGTGATGAGGAACACCGGGTCGCCGGGTCAGTGCCACGCACACGTCTTTGTGTGACCAATGCCCAACAGTTTTCCTTTTTCACTAGGTGAAAGGGCTCAGCAGTTTTATGCTTTTTAGTGAAGTCCCCAAAGGTCTAGACCAAATTCTGTCTGTGAATAACGATTGTTTTCGTTCTTCCGGAAACCTTTCCTAATTCCCCCCCCCCTCCCCAAAAAATTTAAATCCTCTGACAAAAATGGTTCATTACAAAGTAAATTCAATATCATCGTTGAAAATTCATTGACATGGTGTATCTTACCAAGGCATTCTGGGTAGCGGTAGTAACCTGGGGCGCAATCATCGCACTTGAGACCGGTGAAGTTGGGCAGGCACTGGCACTGGCCTGAGTCGTAGCAGGAGTCCGAGGCTGAACCACGGCTGTCGCAGCCACAAGCTTCAGACAGGTGAGAAAAGTCAGACGGTCAAAACCCTTCAAAGATTGCGATACTCAGAATCATAGGATTACAGTGGAACGCCGCTTTAACGAACACCGCGGGATCCACAGAAAGTGTTCGTAATAACGATCGTTCGGTATAGCGATTTTGAATAACTGGTCCCCTCTTTTGACCAAAAGTGAACTGGCATTTCTCACATCCCACGGCCCCACGAGGAGTCGTCACGAAACTTTAGCAATGCGTGATTTTCCTTTCTATTTTCTTGGGGAAAAATAGGCATATATCACTCTTCAACATTCGAACAGGATGCAACTATGGGTCGTTTGATGTTCGAGAATTAAAAGTGGCCCAAATCGCATTAAATACAACTGGTAGATTTTGTGTTAACCTGTTGACTTTTTTCAACGACAACGTTTGGTGCATTTTGTACACTAAAACCGGGAGCCAACGATTATGTTCGGTATAGCCGAATGTTCGGTATAGCAGTGTTCGGTATAGCAGCGTTCCACTGTACTGTGTTGACGTAACAAAACAATGAAGAATATTTTAGCGTTTCTCATGCCACACAGAATTTTGACTTCACATTTAGCAGGGTTAACAGTTCAGTTAGGGTAAGCTTCAATCAACAATTTGCAGAGAGTCTGAAGCCTCTCTGCAGATAGTCCACAATCGTTCTAAAAGGCTGCAGAATTGAGTAAACTTTCTTAATTTTCTTTTCCTGACAAGTCTGCATATTCTCTGCAGATTTATGCAATATCCTGCAGACTGTCCGGAGCGCAGAATTCTCTAGTTTGTAACAACCATCTAATGCATCCTTTCTGGACCAAGTTCAGTGATGCCTGACGAGTTATTGAAAAGACAGCTCATATGCATGTTTTTAAAAATATGTTTACTGAATAAATGCATGGCTTAAAACATGTCAATAAAATCTCTGCAGATTCCTGCAAACTCACACGCCTATTATTTATACTCAAGCATGCATAGGTTGCTGAATAAGGGCACAACGTCATGGCCCTGCTTACCATAGATTTTCACCCTTCCGATTACCATTCTGTGCATGGAATTTTCTGTTAAATTCTAGAAAATTGTGTAAACAGATTTTTCGCTGACTGTAAACCGAACCATGAACAGGCAGCCTTGCTTGTTCTAGTAGCTCGGATCCACTTATCCACGATTCAAGAGATTCTAGCCCCCTTCTAGCTAGGGTTAAGTCTTTCTCTTACCTTCACAGTTAGGATAGTTGAAGTTGCCGAAGGCGCAGCGATCGCAGCGCGGACCGCCAAAGTTGTCCTCACAGATGCACTGGCCGTTGGTCTTGTCACAGATCTCCTCTGTCGAGCCTACCGGGCTGCAGATACAATCTGAAAAACAATAATTAGGGAGGTCAGAGAAAATGTTCTTGTTTTCAAAATTCAAAACTGTGATAGACGTTAGCACTTGATGTGAACATGTTCAGTTTGAGTGGAGAGTATGGCCTAGTGGTTAGGGTTTGTGACTCTTTATCAGAGGGTCAGGGGTTTGAATCCAGCTGCTGGTCATATGTTGTGTCCTTGGGCAAGCCACTTCACCCCGTTAGCCTCTCTCCACCCAGGAGTACAAATGGGTACCGGCATGAGCCGGGGAGTAACCTGCGATGGGCTAGCATCCCATCCTGGGGTAACACAAATATCGTAAGTCGTTTCATGCCGAGGAAACTGGAGATAAATATGACAGCCTGATGGACTGTATTGGCTCATGCCAGGCATTACTTTTTAAACTTACAGTTTGAAAGTAGCTCATACTGTGTGAATTCATACAGTACCTAAGTACCTCAAGTACACTTTTAAGAGAAGACACTATTACCCCTGCTCATCATGCCTATGAATCATTTTGGCGACTGGCTACTGCAAGCTCCACCACACAAACATTTTGTGGATAGTTCTAGGAAATTCTAGGGCACCCTGGTTTGAGAAAAACTGACCTTGACAGGTAGGGAAGTTGTAATATCCGTTCCTGCACTCGTTGCAGGTGCGTCCGCCGTACACCGAGAGGCAACCGCACTGTCCGGTGGTGGCCTCACAGATGGTGTCAACCGAGCCAATCAGGTTGCAGTTGCAAGCTACGAGACGACAAGGACAAAAAAATAACCCAAACAAATTGAACACCCAACTTAAGCAATTTCATATTTACACAGCGAATTTAGCCCATTATTAGCCTTTGTACCGCCCCAACCCGCCCTGCCTGTTTCTTCTCATACCGCCCCAAACTGCCCCAGTACTCTATGGTTCTACTGATTCATGGAGGAGTAAATACAATGTAATACAATTTACTACAAGTGCTAAAGGGTTAAAGGCAGAGCACATCATTTGCAGCTATCCAAAAAGTAACTGACAAAAGTATTGTTAAAAAGCTTACTTGGTTTAAAGATAGTAATGGCAATAAACTCCCTGTGAAATTATTCTTTCTGGCATGCCCTCATTTTGAAGCAAACAATAAAAAAGGGTAATTTTCCAAAGATGCGTCTAAAGACACATTTTTGGAAATTTCCATTTGTAGTTCTTTTTTTTCCGGCAAAGCCTTGAATGCAATGGGTGAATGGGTGCGTGCAAGCGTTAACACGACCCACATGCCCGCGGTTGCTATGAATCGTCAGTTCAGTGCGTGACATCGCGTAGAGCTCTGCAATCGGCTGAATGAGAACGTGTCCCAGACGCAGATTTTGGGCGCAATTCAAAACATGACTCGGCAACTTTTGAATTGAAATTGAGATCCTTGAATATTGTTTTCTTTCAATATACAGCATTCACTGAGCTGAAACTTCATCAGGTTAGTTGTTAAGAACCCTTCTTTAGATTTTGAGCACATTTGTTGCTTCAAAAAAAAAAAAAAAAAAATTAACAACTAACAAATGAATACTCTACCAATAAGGCCCAGTGGATTAATTCCGATTTGCGTGCGCCCCCGTGCGCACGCGTGCGCACGCGTGCGCATGCAGGCAAGCTCGAACAAAGGAGATTTCGGACCCACTGGCCCGCATCGGCACGCATTGGCACGGACTTGCTCGCAGTGGCACGCAAACGGGCTCAGTGCCAGGCGGTACAACATTACAAACAAACCGCAGAAATGCACAATAGACATCGTCTTGGACTTTAGCCATTGTGTCCCTTAATCCGCTCATTAGTTGGTTGTAAACACTTGGCAGGGCCAGAAAGTGACTCATCTACTCTGGTGGTACCAATAATTACACGCGTTCCAAAAAGACAGGAAATTTTAACGAAATGATAAAAGTGCCCAGGAAAGGACAGGAAATGCCCCAAACATTACCGCGTGAGCCGGTACTTTCATTTAAAACACCGTGTAGAATTAAAATCTACTTGAAAAATCGAACTGTCGTTATCATAACTTTATAAATAAAAATGGTACGGACTGGTACACTCGTACCCAGAACTTAGTGCAGACTTTTATTGAAACAGTGGTATCAAAAGAAATTATTAAAAGCTTGCCGCACCTTGCCGCACCTTGCCGCAAAGAATTTTTAAAGGTCGGGGTACAGAAGCGAAATGAGAGAATTTTGTAAACGGTGAGACGCAGCCAGACTGGTCTACAACCGCATGTTATTGTACGCTGATGGAAGTGGTGTCAGACTTACATGTAGTCTGGCTGGCGGTATTTAACAGTAATAACGCGTGCACGCATGTTCCGTGTTGTGTGGAGCGGGATCGGCCATTGCCAGACGTTGTCTGACACGCGGTGGTGGTATTTATAAACAGGGATAATGCGTGGACACATATTCCGTGTGCCTATCATGACTTTTGATCGGAGGACTATAAAGTTGAATGATGAAAATGAACTTGATGTGTATTCTTTCTCTTTCAATAATTGGTGTTTAACTTGAATAATGGAGTGGAACTTTCTTAAAAATGCAGATTAATATAAATTAAGAATAATGATATAAATAAAGCAGTCTTTCAACTGACGTTCATATTTACAGTAAGAACGGTCGGTGTCTTTCAATTAAAACCGAAGCTCTCAACGAAAAATAAAAAGAAATATATACGTCCGGAGCTCAATCAAACGACGCAAAAAAAGCTATGAAAATATCCTAGCCTTACGTACGTAAAGTGTAGTACATGTAATGTCACGTATCATAAAAGAGTAATCCAGACACCATGCATTGTGGCACTGCCAGGCACCAACGTCTTTTATGTCATTGGAACTCCAGCCCTTTCATCGCAAACCTTTGATTATTTATCACAACCTCTTTGTCTGGTGCCGCCTTGGCCGGCTACCCAATTTCTTTTGTCAGCGTTAATCTAGGGATTAGTGTAGCAACCCTTGCCTGTGCTCAATAGCCCGCAATGGCACGCAGTTGCCCGCAACGGCACGCAACGGCACGCAACGGCACGCAGGGGCCTATCAGACCCGTGCAGCACGGGGTAGCACGCATGAGCACGCGTGCGCTCGCAGGCGCACGGGGGCGCACGCAAATCGGAATTAATCCACGGGGCCTAATACAAGTACCAAAGGGTTAAATGGAAAGTCAGGTTGGCACACGGTACTTTTTGTAGCGTGGGTTCGAATCCCATAGCACACCACAAGAGTTGAGTTACAAATCACAAAACAATCCTGTCTGTTTGTCTTTCCCCGAGTTTTCCTCAAATTTTAAAATTTTAATAATTTTTCACCATCTTTTTTTCCCCAGCTTCTGCAAGCTTAATGTCTTGTGCACATTTGCGAAATTCTTAATTTTATAACCATACAGAATAAAACAACAAATCATTTTACACTTTTATTTTTTGTTTCCCCTTTAACAAATTTTACAACAAAGAAGAAAGCGCACAACACAAACTTGAGTGAATCAGTTTTATTAAGATAATCAAACAAAAAAGGCTCAAACTCGACGGGAAAATAATTTTACAAATTGAGGGAGTATAAAGAAACACCTACGTGTGCATTCGGGGAAGTTGTAGAATCCCAGAGCGCAGCGGTCGCAGTTGCGGCCGGCGTAGTTCTGCTTGCAGGGGCACTGCCCGCCGTTCACCTGGCAGACTTTGTTCTGGGTGCCGTTGATGTTGCAGTCACAAGCTGTGGAGAAGCCAAAACGGGGAAGAATGCACAAATTTAACTAACGGTAACCTGAGGTTAAACCCTAGGAACCCTGCAAAAAAAACATCAAAACCCTGCATAACCTTGAGGTACACCTTGAGTTACCGCCAGGTTTTTTTTTTTATTCTCCCCTATAAATTGTGGAGTCACACAAAATAGCGTACGTCTTTGTTTCGTAAAAGACACTGTGCATCCTACTCACGTCTACAGGTGGGGTAACCATAGTACCCCTCGTTACACTGGCTGCATCCGGGTCCGGTGTACTGCGGACGGCACTCGCACTCGCCGGTGATAGCGGCGCAGTTGCCGGTTGAGAAGGTCTGATCGCAGTTGCATGCTGTCATAATACAAACAAAATGAGAGCTTCGGCTTAAATTTTACACAAAACTCAAAAGAAAAATCCCCCCAAAACCACCTCGCCTACTCACAATCTCAATAAGACACTCTCAAACTGGTAAATATATCCAGAGTTTTCAGTCAGAAAAATATTCCTCCAGAATTTCTAGTGACTGATAATTACTCTCAACAACTCTCCCTCATTACATTTTCAAAATAACGCTAAAAAGGCAAAACGTGATCCAAATGAACCACTTTTTCTTTTTTCCCAACATTATGAAACTGTGTAAAGTGAATGTGATTCTAATTAACGGCCTATTCCAGGCAGGACTCCCTCAACATGCTTACAGGCACAACCACCAAATCCCATCTTCAAATTTGAAGAATCAATATTTTTCATATTGATCAATCTCCCCAATAGTTTAGTCCACTCCATACAACTCTTCTTTGTGATAATTTTAAGCTTGTATCCTTCTCCAACGTAATTGCAAAAAGCCTAATTGCATTTAGTGCTGTTCCAAAGATTGTGCAGATTTTTTTTTTCACAAGCTTGCTTGGGTGGGAGTAGAACCCAAGACCTCCTGCTTACTAGCATACAAGTCCTTAAAAAAGGTCACAAATTGAGTTTGAATCTTACGTTGGCAGACGTCAGGAGAGTCCAAGCTGACCCCAGGCTGTCGGTAGAACCCCGGGGCACACTGGTCACAGTTGACCCCCACCGTGTTGTGCTGGCAGTTCTGGCAGACTCCTCCCCCCTCGTAGTTGCCGTAGATGTCGATGGACAGGCGCTGGTCCGCGATGGACTGGTTGAAGGCGCACTGGTTCGAGTGGCCGAAGCAGTTGCAGGCTGAACAACACGAACGGAAGATTTTGTGAACGGATAAACATTGAAGGTAGGCTTCAACAAGTCAACATTGATTCCATTCGTTCAAGGGACACAGTTCCATTTGTAACAGAATCTAAATATAACCTAGCTGAAAGCATTGGGAAAAACCTCTCTAATGTCACTTATGAACTTCAGTATTTAATTGCTAAATGCAAGATCATGAATGGTTTAGTCAACTGGGCCAGATTTAGCCCATTCATTGGTGTTGCTGGGTAATACTATTGGCTCCGCGCACAAGTACCCCTTCAACGGCCAGAAAAGGAGAGTTGGAGAAGACCTAGACTGGTTCCCGGTCCATCCACTGCATTTTTCGAATGATCCAAAGTTATTGGTGGCGGGGATTAGTCCGGGAGACCATCGCAAGTTAAATTCGAACGTATTCGCGCGCCGACAACACCTGAAGCTCACGCGCGAAGATGCTATGGCTTAGCTTTGTGCACATTCAGGATAAATAAGCCGTGCGTACTTCGCACGCGAACCAGTACAGTACGCACACGCGGAGCCCCGTCCAAGGAGCTCTCAAAAGTGGTAAAAACGCGCCCTCTTTTGTTGGCACATGGAGCCCATACAACTGGATTACCAGGGTCTTTACCAGTCTTCAACAGGTCAAAGTCACAAAAGACAGTCAGCCAGTCATTCATTCATTCAGTTGGGGAGGGGGGAGGGGGGGAGTCGGGGAGTCAGTCAGTCAGTCAGTCAATGAGGTAGGTAGAGAGAGGACACTTGGGTGGCCCTCTGCCCTCTAGGACCAGCACAAAATTCTGATCGCGACTCACGTTCGCACTCGTTGGCGCTCTCCATGGTGGCCGCCCGCCAGGCTTTCTGGACGAACCCCGGGCAGCACGTCTCACACTCATCCCCGCAGGTGTTGTGCTCGCAGGAGCAGACCAGCCGGCCGCTGTTGCCCCGCTCGTTGCAGGTGCTGGCGTGGCCGTTGCAGACGCAGCGGCCGCCGATGGAGATATCCTTGATACTGTAGAAGTACTGTCGAAATAGAGAACACAACAACAACAAAAAACCCAGAATGAAAGAAAAATGTTGCTGTAAACAGAAGTGTTTAAATTTTCAAAAGGGCACCCAGATGGGTTTATTCCTTTGTTCCAAATCTTCCACCACTGATAAAGTGGGTTTGAATCTTTTATGAAGAGTTGCATTTTCTAGCTACTCGTTTGACTGTATAAGTTTGACCCACACTTTTATTTCTGTGGATTTTTTTTATTTAAACTTCCTATTTCTTATAGGCATGCAACAAAAGTAACAAAAAGTATGAAAAAGAAGTAACAAAAAAGGATGAAATTCCAAGCTTTGTCAGACTTTATACAGTGTTTTTTTCAAATTTTTTATCGCATAACTGTGAAGTGAAAAACAAGGAAATCAGTTGATCCGAGGAAAAGTTGCACGCCTGTTACAAGGTAATTTTTCCTTCTTTTTTATTTATCAGGACTTATTTCTTAATTTTCAGGACTGCTCAAAAGGACCTGAATCCATGACCATCTGCTTTATTTAAATGTCAACTTTGAACATTTTGTTTTTTTATTTGGAAAGGATAAGTTCAGGGGGTCCAGTGGTTAAGACATCTGCACTAGCAGGCGGGAGGCCGTAGGTTCGAGTCTCAGAAATGTTTTTGCTTATGTGCTATAGGGCAATTCCACGGTTACTCAGGTTACATTTTTGATGTAATTTTGAGTTTCCTTGGGCTGTAATTACCTTACTGAAAAGGTTTAATAACTGTTATCCCCATGGTAGATAGAGTAGACCTAGACCTATCTAAGCACCAAAGATGACATCCAGAAAAATGGGTTATGTATGATAAACAAGACGCACAAAATTGGTTACTCACGTTACATTTTCGTAACGTGAGTAACCGATTTTGTGCCCTATAAGACAACACTGTTTGTAAATTTGGTGCTTATAAAATTAGGTTGGTGAAGAACAAAATGAAAATGCCAACATCCAAGAATAACAGTTTTCATCACTCAACCACTGTATCTGTACCAGGAAGATTAGGACACATGGTAACAATACAGCAAAGTGGACAGCAGACTTTATAAGCCAATTCCGTATTTTAAATTTTAAAAAATGGCAGCTCACCCTGCGGGTCACGGTGTTGTCTCGTCGGGCGATAGCCATGAGATGGCCCAGCAGCGTGTTGGTGCGCAGCAGGCGCAGCCTGATGTTGGTGGCTTTAGTCCACTCCTGGAGGACCTCAGAGAAGGAGAAATTCATGGCGCCCGGACGTCCGTTCACCAACGACACCACAATCTGTCCAGCAAAACAATTTAAGGCAGTCTTCATCTGGGGCTTGATAAGTTACCAGATAATGAGTCAACCGGGCAGTTTTTGCAGGATTTTGGAGAATTGAGGCTGAATGGCCAAAAAAAAGTGTCTGTTGATTTTGAAGGATGCATTTGTGTCACGGTCTTGAACTGTTCCCTTCATTGTTTATATTCAGCGATGCAAATTTGAGGCCTACATTATACTGGGCGTCATCTGCGCCGCTTCTAGGTGTCATCCGCACCGCCTCAAGGTATTACAGTGGTTGTTGGAGGAATTTGAAGGATTGACGCAGTGGTCACCCCTCCACTAACCCTAACTGCCCTGAATCCTTCAAAATCCTCTTTGCCAAAGTGGAGGAATTTGAAGGATTGAGGTTACATGGCAAAAGTGCGTTTCAAGGTCTTGGGCCGGGCATTGTGTTGTTTTTTGCTCAGCCATGCATAAATATAGGTCTGGATTATGCTTGAAATCCTCCGTACTGCTCCAGGATGTCACTGGCCAAGCCTCAACATATTGATTGTCACTGTTGCAGGATTTGGCAGGATTTGGCAGGATTCAGGCAGTGGGCACCCCTCCATGGACCATATTCAAGAAATAATGGAGGAATTTGCAGGATTCAGGCTATATGCTATTTTTCCATAAGGCAAATTGGAGAACTTTGCAGGATTGAGGCTACATCCTAACAAAAAGGCCAAGGGAGATAGGGCTAAACAACTTCAAGTAGTAAACAGATGATTTTTAAAGGATTGAGGCTGTATCCAGTACATGGTGGCAGTTAGACGATTTTGAAGGATTGCTGATGGCTCCTAGCCAAAAGGGCCTAAGGGGTCAGGGTTAATGCTTATAACTGCTTCTCAAGTGATTCTAGCTAAGCGAATATTTTCAGCTTATTGGCTTACCTCACCGTCCTCCAGCGGCACGATGCTGGAGTACTCGTCGGTGCACATCACGTCGTCATCCCTGGTAATCTGCTCGATAGACTCCATGCCAAATAGTTGGTTACACTCGCCTTTGGTCTCGGCAAAGTACTGCCAGGCCTGGTAGGTCTCGCCATAGTCCTTGGAACGCTCCAGGATCCAGACGCCGGGGCGTGGGGAGTTGGCAAACTTGATGATCAGGTAGGCCACATGGTAGAGCTGAAACAATTTGAATTTTTAAAAAAAGAAAGACAAGTTTTAATTATAATATTGAATTTGGTTTTGTTTATAATCGAGGTTCTTTTACTGATATTACAGTGCATAAATGATACGAAGAAAAAGTATCATCTGAGAAATCGTGGCTATGAGGATGATAATCAGATACAGCTAGGTCACATGGTACAGCTGCAATGATTTCAATAATAGGAAAGATAAATTGTCATACTTATATAGAATTTGGTTTTATTATCATTTTCGATTCTTTTACTCAAAATGTTTCCTATGTACAGTGTATTCATGGCAAGAACAAAGTTCAGGGTTTTTTCATCCCAAGATATAGTGGCTATGACATGCAGTGTATTTTATTCATGTACGGTAGTTCCATGATAACTTGTGTCATATTTTGGTGAAAACACGAAATATGAAAGTAAATTTTACAAAACCAGGAAAATCCATGTACCCTTTAAAAAAGGGGGTGCCTACACACATGCTTGTTTCACTTAGATTTAACCTACCAAAAAATAAACCTTATCAGACAGTTAACTGTGTATCTTAATCAATTTTTGCCTTTTTAGTAGAGATTCTGATAAAATCAAAACATAAGCTAACTTCAAATTTGTGTATTTAAGGTCAGTCCAGTTGGTACAGTTTGCAGCCCTGCATGTTTTCTTCATCAAAAGTAATTAAATATAATGGAAACCACATGTGCGAAATATATTGATTTCCTTTTATTTCACTCCCTGCATGGTGCAAAAGGATCAAGGGCTGTATTTCCGGGGTCAGTTTCGACAAAACCTTTTAATTACCGAAACCAAAAGTACCTGCCAAGGTAATTGAGCCAACTACAGATTCTGTTTCTCCTCTTAAACATGTGGCAGTGAATGACAAAGTTTTTATTGCAATCTATGAATTTGTGCTTGATTTATTTACTGAAACATTCTTTTTTTATCCATGAAAGCCAAAGTTCCATTGCATTTTTTTAAAAAGTATTTCTTTAATTGTTTCTTTTCAACCACATGATCATATTCCAAATATTTTAATGTGGTAAATTTTACATATTTTTTTTACGCGGTAAGAATTGCAAGCATCATAGAATATCAGACAAACTTAAATTGTCGGCCAAAAAATAAGAAAAAAGAAACTCTTCTTTACTAGTGTCAAAAAGTTTGACAAAATGATTACCAAAGGAATTTCGCAGTGGTTATTTTTGGTTTTTTTTTTATAGAAACCCTCAAAGAGTATGGTACGTGCAGAGTAATCCAATGGAACATTTTTACAGAGATGAAACTGAAAATCAACCTCCTTGTTAAATGACAAGCGCCAGTTAAGTGAAATGTAGGGTTACATTTCGTTACTGCTTTAAAAAACAAGTTTTGAAACAAATCCTTATTTCTGTGTTGCACCTGCACCGTGCTCAAATATACATGTACATAGATGTATCACACACAAGTATATGTGACCGGCTCCACAAAAAAGGGTATTATGTCGCAAAAAAGTGAAATTGAGTTATATACATGGTTGGAAAGCTCACAATGTAAGCTTTTATTTGGTATGTAATAGAGCTCCATAGCCCCTCACGTTCTGGAGATATGAGGTATTTGCGTATTAATTACTTCCTTGGAGTTCAAATTACACAACTGATAAAACAGGCTTTGAAATAGCTGGCTGTGTTGTAGAACAACAGAACGATGCACACAAAATGGTTGTTTTTTCCACTTTGTTCATCAAAATCAAAATTTCTGTGAATGAAACCTGAAACTGTAGGTATTAAAGATGCCATTCATGACAAAAAATGAAAATCACATTTTGACCAAATTTTCACCCTCTCAATGTTGAGCGGGCCATTACACAATAATGCACAGCGCGACTTAATGCCCTTTTTTGTGGAGCCGGTCACATATGTACATTTTATATTTCACTCAAACTCCACAAATTGAAAATCAACCTCCTTGTTAAAAGACGAGCGCCAGTTAAGTGAAATGTAGGGTTACATTTCGTTACTGCTTTAAAAAATAAATTTTGAAACAAATCCTGATTTCCGTATTGCACCTGCACCGTGCTCAAATATACATGTACATAGATGTATCACACACAAGTGTACATTTTAAACTTCGCTTAAACTCCACACCCCTTTAAGTTACATTTTCACAACAGCTGATCTCATTTCACAAAGAATGTTCCTAGTTGCCAACGGTTACATATCTCAAGAGTTGAGGAATCCAAAGGATACTTGACCGGGCGCCCTATGAGGTCTGGGCAAGTAATTCCACAGAGGTCACATAGGGCTTGACAGTATGGTTGGTGCACGCAATGCAGTGTGACTTCAGAAAAGAATTTATGGCCGACACAGCAGCAAATCTTGTTTGGTTGCATATGGGAATGGTATTAGAGAACAGGGAATTGATGTAAATGTCACACAAACTAGTGATACATGTTCTTAAGGTCCGCATTTATATTATTCTGTGCATGTACAATGTACGTTTTGGGCACGCAAGACCTGTTTTGGAAAATGGGTGATATCAAAAACTGGATTTTTGTTATCGATGAAAAATTAATTGTTTTATTGAATATAAAGTGCAAATATGTTTTCATATATGTAGATGTAGGCCTGTGTCTTGCTATCTTAGTGGGGTGTTTCACAAATTTTGGAGAGCCTAATTGAAAAGAAAAAAAAAGGAAATTTCTGATGAATTACCGTATTTGTGCGTAAATTTGTTTTCAGGCATGCAATGAATTTAGAAAACACGAGGAAATTCCTTACCACACAAGACTTTGTACAGTGTTTTTCAATTTGTAATGGCATTCATGAGAAGTTAAAAAAAAACGAGGAAATCAGCGGATCCGAGGAAAAGTTGCATGCCTGTGTTCTAAAAGTTTTCAGAGTTATTTTGTACATGTGCCTTTGGGGATTTGTATGCATGTTTGATATGTTTATTTGTGTGTTTTTTTGTGTAAATGCACAAACGAACAGCAATTTCCATGCCATTTTAATTTGAAACTTTAAATGTGATATCACATTTTTTTTTCAGAAATAACTAAAAGGAAAGCATAAAAAGATCAATACCACAAAACTCCCAAGGTACAAAAAATGTCAATGTTCATACACTCAAGAGCAAGCAATATTTTCTTTTTGAGTTTTTCTTCCAGAAAGTAAACAAACCCGGCACCCAGGCCCCACACGTGTTGATAGAGAAGTGTGTTTATCTTTCCATGAACTCTGAAGTAGCTGATGATGGATTCCGTGCTACCTCTCTTTCCAGTTCCGCTCCCAGCCTAAACAGCGTCTTACACAAATAAATTCAGCAGATATTTGCACAGGCCCCCAATAGGCATGTATTTTCCCCTCCGGGGAATTGACACTGTAGAAACCACTTGTGAACTTTTTTTCCATTCAATTTTGTGATTTGAATTAAATAGTTTAACATACAGTAACATTCTGTGCCAAGTTGTCCTTTCAGTCCAAATCAATCAAGTGACTGTGTTCAACAGTCCCAGCCTACATAAAGCAGGATTGACTGGCTGTGACTGTTTACGTAACTTGAAACAGCTATGATTTGACTGTAGGTAATTGATTTAACCATTTGTGCCTACCACTTGTCTGCTTTTGTCTGTTGACTGAATTTGACTAGTCACACTGCTTGCTAAGAATATATGACTGTTGGTGATTAGCCTGTGTTAAAGACATGGCAGGGGAAGAGGATTGATTTTTTTTGACTGTCTGTGACTGTTCAGATAGCAGGAGGGTTAATGAAATTTGAACTGTACATGACCAACACAGACAGAGGGAAGGACAGTTTTTGAGTTGCCAAAAAAGATGTTTTGCTTTAGTGATTCAGTTTGATCCAATGTACACTTGGGAAGAGTTCCATACACGAACAACACTTATTTTTCCCTGCAGTGACAGGTCTATTTTATCCATCAGAAAGCAATAACATGTCCTAAACAATCATATTTAGCAGGGAAAATATTCAAGTGGCATTTACAATGTACTTAGAAAACACTTAGAATTTTTCAGACCAGTCTTCTAGGGTTTGTGCACAGAGTGTCAAGTGTTGTTTGTGTGTGGATCTCTTTCCATACACTTTATTTTGTGTACTTGTACGTATAAAAAGCTTTTGAAACTGTGGATTATCAGAAGTGTTAAAAATTATATAGTGTTTTTCTTCGGCTGTTATTGTGAAAATTAAGAATCTCGTCTGGCAACTTTGTAACATTGACACCAGATAACAAATTTATTTAGGAATTCCTTCATTGAAAAACAAGCATGCAATGCACAATAACCATGATGGGAGACCATTTTAGTAGCAAGGTTTTCAACCATTATTTTTCACTCTAGTCAGAATTTTTGCCAAATTTTGTGACTATGAAGTGCTATAGAATTTGACCATGGTAGGATTAAAACACTGTGAAACCCTTGTACCACTTGCAAAAAAAATGAACAGTAATGTGGCCACGTCTACTTTTCTTTTTACAAGACCCTTGGACAGGTACATGTAGATAGACAGTTGACTGATTCATCACTGTTTTAACTGGCATTCAAAATTGCAGACCACTTGGGTTGAACTTTGTACATTTTTACACAATGGCAGTGTCAAGCTGACCCATACCATGGACCACACTTTGCTTCAAGGACCAGTATTGTCACACCACTGACACTGGAAAGGGTATTTTGGTAAGTGCATTCACATACTTGGACTACCGAGCCAGGCCTGAATATATCCGGTCTCGGCACAAGAACTTTAGGAAGCCAACCAGACTAATGTGGTGATTAACAAGCCACTGTCAACTTTAAAACTGTCAAATAGCTTTGTCCAACTGGTTACATCCGGAAAATCTCCATATCTCAGGTTATGAAAACGTGTTGTGTCTCTAAACAGGAACAGACTTTGTCTGTGGGCTTGCTACTGTTATTTCCCTCGCTGTCTGGCAAATTGGGATAAATGGTACAGGTAGTCCTAAAAATAAATTGATTTCTTTCTGTGCATGCTGCGGAAGAACTGGCATAAAAATGGGTACACATTAAACAAGTAACTTTTGAATAGCAAGATCCCTTCCTTAGAGAACATTCCTAAATTCCTCCAAAATCCACAGACTGCTGAAAATACCCTTTTTTATTTCTTTATTCATGTACTTGAACAAAAGCTTGGCTCTGCACGTTATCGAGCCAGTGTTGAATTTTGATTTTTGGTTTTTGGTTTTTTTTAAATATGCGCAATCATTTATCTTCTGTTGGTGCAGCGAAATACGAATGCCCCTTGGTACATGTAGTTGGTAGGCTAAAGAGCGCCCTCAACGGTTCATGCACCACCCCAATGGCAACTTTAATTAAACCAAAACCAAGCCCCTAATTAAAAAAAAAACAAGGAGTGCCAGCTTGGACACAGGTGTACAGTAGTTGTGGTGTGTCTGCATTCCTGGGGTGTGACATCATTGAAAGGTCATGACCCTAGGTGAGGCCCCTTGGTTGGTAAAGTACAGTGCATTAAACTTGTACAGTACTGTACTGTACAACGTGTACATTGTACATTATTTCCTGAACCACAGGTCTATACTGTTTCCCGACTGTGTACATGTACATGAACAGAGCAATAACTAATTTGTACAGTGCACACTTGTAAATCAATGTAAATTTGTGCCAAATAACTGCATTTTCGAGCCAGTAGAAAACCTTGTCTTCATCCGTATCCTAAACAAATGCAAAAATCCTAATCAGTAAATTCATGCAGGTACATTCATAGGAAAGGCATCTGTATTAATATCACAGTAGTATAGAGGTTTCAAGTTTGACTATCAAAAGAACTTGCCCAACAAACAAGATTCAAAACCAGGCCAAAAAAAAAAGATTTCTTACAAGTCTTTTTTTGTTTTTGTTTAGTGATGGCAACTTTCATCTGAGTCGGTATACATACCGGTACAGTGAAGTTGATTCATTTTCTTCAAAGAAACTTTCATGACTTTTTTGTTTTTAAAAACAAAAATCAGAGTGGCGTAGATTTGGACAAGTCTATTTTGGAGACAAACAAGTCCCACAAAAGGTATAGAGATCACAGGATGTATACATGAGTTGCATATGCACATCAGTGGCAGGCCACAGGAAATGGGCTTTTGTTATGCAGCTCAATCCAGCCATGGTCCACTGCACTGAGCTCAGCCTGTTGACAAAGCAGTCAATTTAGACTAGGCTCAGGGGCCAAGAATAGAACAACATGGAGCTATCCTCGCTCAATGGGTGGGACCTAAAATGGTCCATGGTAGGACCAAGGACACACTGCACTGTTGTGCAGTATAGCACAGGATACCACTACCTTGAGTGGTGGTTGGTTTATGTGGGAACTTTTATGTCAACTGGGGCCAAAGCAAGAGACGATAACAAGTTCCGACCACCATGGATAAAACCTTGCAGAAAACCACTGCTTACCATATGCCATGAACATTAAAAAACTAAACAACTAAATTTACAACACCGTAAACATTGTGGCCTTTCAGAATATATCCCCTGCTTGGCTCCATGGGATACTGTAAATGCATTCAATTTGCTTTTAGGCCTTAGGCATCCGTTTTCTTTTGAGTTGACCTGCTTTGCTACACTGTGGGCAAGCATGCATGTATTTTTGTGCTCTGGTTTTGTAACTTTTTGTGCAGTGATTTTTGGACAAACGTTTAACCGTAACATCCTAAGGGCTATTTGGGGGTCAAGGACCAAATACCACAGATTTATTTTTGCAGCCGGCCCCAAGCAGTCTTTTTCAAGATTAACTCAAAAGGTTTTTTTTAAATTTGATAAGTAGGCCTACTTTGCAAAAAAATGCAACTTTCTTACCTGTTTTAGCACTTAGAGGCGTGCAAGTCACAGCAGTTCAGGTACTTTCATCATTTTTCCCCTATAATTTTCCTCATAAATAAAAAAACCTTGCCCTCTTTCTATAAAATTAAGCTGACTGATAATATTCCATATGGCATTCCTGCTGGTAACTATTTTAGCAAGTTCCAAAACATTGAAGCTGTCTTTTCTTTCTCAAATATGGAACACGGCCAGGTCGACACACAAACTACAAAATTACCAAAATTACTGTAATATATAATATAGTCAAAAACTTAACTGAATAATTCTTCAGAATTGTGGTCACCTCCCCAGAAAATTTGTATGCAACCAATAAAGTGGTTTCCAAGTCAGGAATCAAGCACTGTTCCAAGTGCTACATTTGTTCCAGGTGTTTTAGTGTTTCTGTCTTACCTGACCCAAATCGATGGTGATGTTGACCTCGTTGAAATCCGTTCCCCTGGAGAGAGGGGGACTCTGCCACCATTTTTCAGTGCCGTCGATAGCGTACTCAATGGGATGAGCCTTCAATGGATTGTACGCATCACAGTAATCACAATACTGCCCCTGTTAATTAAAAAAAAGAGCAATGAAAATAATAAACAATTAAGGGGTTTTTCTGTCTTTGAAATGGAATCTAGAAAATAAACAAGATTCAAACATGCTAAAAATATAAACTGATGATGACATATTGACGAAAGCTAGAAGGTAAAGTATAAAAGCTAAATAATATTTATTTGCATGATAAAAAAACAAAATGGCATATTTTAATTTCAAATCTAACAGAGTTTCTCGTCCAGCCTGTATGAAAAAATAGAGGCAGGCGCAAAAACCGGCACCAGCGTAAGTCATTGCAAATATTTTTCGCAAAGTTTTGCTTTTATTTTTGGGACTCGAGACTCATTAGCCTTCCTCGCGTAGAGTCGAGACATTCTGATGAGGGACTCAATTCGAGTCATTTGCCCTTAGGGACTTGAGTCGAGTCGAGTCACCCAAAATTGTGACTCGAGTCGGACTCGAGTCGAGTCATGCATCGACTCGAGTCATTTCAACTCTGTTCTTAGGTGACGACTTTTTACTCTTTTCATTCTAGGTTTATTTTGTACTCATTTCAATTTTCACACAGTTTTAATTTTCCTAACTTAGCCTTTGGGTTTGGTAGACCTGGGCTGGTGACTTGTTTTTTTTTCTTAATTTTTTACTTTTTAGCCTACAAAAACCTCAAAAGTCAAAGTCAAAATAACTTAGCACAAACAAAATGTTTCATTTTTATACAGGAACATTTATCGATTATTTTATTAACCTTAATATTATCTTAAAATTAAAGTCTAGTTAATAACCCTCCGTAACGGCCCTAAAAATCCAGTTATTTTACCTGAATAATGTCCCGTTCCGATTGTCTAAACGTGTCTCCGGTGTTACCGGTCAGCTTGCAGTAAAGCTCGCCGGGCGTGGGGAACCCTTCCCCGCAGGTCGCGGTGGCAGTGATGGGTTTGCCCTCGGCCACATTAAAGTAAGTTGGCCTCAGAATTTGCGTGTTCACAGCCTGGAAGTTCAGCACCGTGAAAAGGGCGAGGGACAGCCCGAAAAATACGGGACTCGCCATGTTTTTGGACCCTGTTTTCTCGGAGAAAAAGTGGGGCCACAACTTCCACCTCCACGCACTTCTTCGTAAAATGCCAAAATTCCAGACCGAAATAATTTGGACAGCCTGGCTCGCTCGCTCCCTGTAAAAATTTCAGCGATTAAGAATGAGGGCGGAGGCTGGTACCAGACTTTCCTTCCCGGGTTTAAGACTATACCAAACTTTTTAAGGGGTTTCGTTTTCTCCAACTTAATGGTAATAAATAATTTTCTACTTTTTTTCAAAATGAGATTTTCTTTTTACTAAGAAACAATAGATAAACTTTCTGAATGTCCCTCTCATTGAAAATTCTAAAATTAACCTAGCAACTCGTGTGCATGACCATTCCCAACCCCGTAAACTATAATGAAATATTCCTAAATTCTTATGCAAATGTTTTATTATTCCAGATCCCACCCGCACTGCCTAGACTTGTAACCAGTCCTAAGGGTAGTGATAAGCCTTGATATTCAAAACATTCTTTGTCTTCTTTTTCAAACTTTTTCACAAAAATCTTGTAATCCTCTTGGAAAATCACATAAAGCACGGGATATAGCAGAACGACTGGATTTTTAAGCTCTGGCAGAAGCTTCTTCATGTCACTTGGTGGTCGGTCAGTCGGTCGGTCCCGGAAAGGACCAAAATGAGGCCCCCAAATTTCCCATAAAATATGGCTTCAAAATCTTAATTTTCAAAAAAAGCAAACAAAATAAATTAAATACTTTGTTTGTAACAATTCGGAAAGTTGTTCATGAACAGCTTGTAAATGGAGGCAAAATATGTGCAGTAATGTAGTCACGTGGTATTTATCACAAATCGCTATAAATCTAGGTATCTAAAGTACAGTGTTCCATATGTGCCATCGGCGTCGCATTTTTGGGCGTCGCATTTTTGAAGCACTGTCAGGGATCATTTTGATAGATTTCATGCAAGACTGTCAGGCAAGACGGCCAGAGCTTATTGTGCACTCGCACTTGTTTTTTTACAAATGTGCAGATATTTTTCGTTGATTCATTGCTTCTTTTCTGCTTAAAGCACCCACACTAAGGACAAGTCATCGTTCCTTTATGAAATGCATAAAGTGGACTTTGTAGCCTCCTTGTCACTCATGTCAAAGAAAAATTGAATTCAGATAGGAACTTCTGGGGATTGACAGGATCAGGAAAGCATCACCCTCTTACAAACAGATATCTGAATCTCAGGCCTGCCAACTCTCACGCATCGAGCAAGAGGCTCACGCATTTCAGGCTATTCTCACGCTATTCTCACGCTATTCTCACGCTATTCTCACTCCCACACGGGATTTCTCTAAAAGCACCTTGAAAATGATGTTCAAATGATGATCTTTTGCTCAAACAAATTAGTCAAAGTGGTCAGAAATTGCCACAGATCACACCACAGAGCATCTAGAAGCCATAATTTTCCAAGGCCCTTAAGCGGGCCCTGAACCCTATGCTGTTAGGGCTTCGCATTTTTTTTCTGATCAAGCTCCATCGCCAAATTCTCACTCTCATGTCTTATTCAAAGTTGGCAGCCCTGGAGTCTGATTTCATCTTCAAGTACTTAAATCAGGGGTGTGAGTGACCACTGCTAAAAATAGCTGAAAACAGCTGAAAAAGGTGTAAAAAAGATGAACTTTGGAAATCTCCTATACTTTTGTACACAGCAAGTGAGGGAAAAAGCTGAAAAAAGCTGAAATCCAAAACAGAAAAAAGCTGAAATCAGCTTTTAAGCTGAGATTTCACACCCCTGTACTTTGGTCCTTACCCAACCCAATGTACCCTAGCTAACCAAAATACACCCTCTACACACAAACAATATACACACATATCCTGTGAGAGCATGATTTTTATTATTCAGCAATAACATACTGTACAAATATTTACATACATGGTGTACATATATTTACATTCCTTTAGAGTAGAGCTCAGTTTTCTTATATCCAAGACAACGAAAAATATCCAAATGATGTGAGGATTTTCATGCCCAGTGCATTGGTGCAACAAGGATTAATGATGATTTACATCACCCCGACGCAAATCCCATCTTATGAATAGTTTCATTGCGGTACCCGCTGCTACATATACATCAGATTCGAACCAGCCAACTGATCCCGTTAGCTCGGTGGCCGAGGGGTGAGACGTCTGCACTAGAAAGCAGGAGGACGTGGGTTCGAGTCCCACCCGAGTGATTTTTTCCAACTTTCATTCTGGAGGTAACACACCGAGTATACAGCATACATCGGTGAAGGGCAAAACCTAATATTGATAATGTTCCTGAAGAATAGGGGGTGGGAAGGATTTTCAGTTTTGAGTTAAGGTGGTATGTTCCCTTAAATCTTGTCTAGAAAGTGTCTGATGGGCTCCAGGCAAGAGATCTGAAGAAGTTGCGTGGCCTGCTCATGTCTCAAGAGAGCCGCTTTTAGCAAAGGTTCACTGCATGTGCATATATACCAGTTGCCCTGGTCGAAAGCCAATTATGCCCTAGCCTGTGAAATTACGGTTGGACATTGGAACATTTTCTGACCATTTTGTAAACCAAAACAGATATGCTGGGTCCAATTTTTGTACTGTGTATTCTGAGTTAGTGAAGGAATTTGACACTCTCTGCGTTCAACAATTCAAGCACGATTGTGCAAGTTTCTTTGCAAAATCAGCACCCTAATTTTGAGTCAAAGTGTTTATTCAGCTTCGGTCCGGGTCCCTGTCGTGTCGTTTCTTGTGCCTGTGCTTGTCCTTTTTCTTCTTCTTCTTGTGGGGTTTGTTGGAGCCGCTGGAGGTGGAGGCATCGTGGGGGGCATCGCTGCTACGGTTCAGCTTGGGAATGCGATACTTGAAATCCACAGGTTTAGTCAATCCTGGTAGAGATTTGAAAAAACAAAAAAAGTAGAGCTGTTATCGAGACTTGCCTCAACTTTTACTTTTTTTTCTCAAAACATGAGTCCCACTTGGACTCGATTAACATACCAAGTTTCACGTTTACAACTAGTTTTCGAGTTGTGTTCAAGGCATAACAAGTAAGTCACTAGACAGATCTTACAGTCCAATGTCAAGTCAAGAGACAAGCTCTTGATTGGTTTGTAATTGACTTGTTAACTTGATTGCAACTAAATTGGAGAAAGAAATTGACTGGAGCGGGATTTGAACCTGTGACCTCCGGATTACTATTCCAGCAATTCATCAACTGAGCTATCCAGCCCTACGCTGGTGGTTCCCAATTTTGCAGGTTAATGGCTTCGGAAAAAGTTCCATACTCGATAGCCACTTTTTTCAATTAATTTTCTAGCGCCAAAAGTTACATCTTTTATGGTTATTCCCTCCACTTTCCCTCCTCTACTCTCACCCCCTCCTTTCCTTAATTTCTATTTATTAATCAGTCAGTTACTTCATCGAGATTCGAACCTCGGACACTTGCTTGATACACGAGACTCTTAACCGCTAGGCCGCACACGATCGCTGTTGCAATGATCAATCTTTGGACGTATTTGAAGTATCCATTGAAATAAACTAAATATTCATGAGAAAATAAATATTCATAGTGACGTATTGCACTATCATTGGCCGGCTCATGCGACGTCATGGTTATCGATGTCATGCGTATAACGTACCGCTGTTCCAGACACTTCAATCAGTTTTGACCGGCTGCTTCAACTTGGTTCTGCACGACGTGTGCATCCAAAAATGTGCTCTAAAAACACATTTTGACTAAATTTTTTTTACCTTAACACAGCTTCCTGGATTCCTCTTGGTTGAAATGACAAGGTGAGGTGACAATCAATATGTTTGGCAGCAGATAAATTGACGATCGAGTATGGAACTTTTCCCATGGCTTCTCACTAGCGTGCCTTGATGATAGGCATTGACAAAATGGGGAACTGCCAACATAGGGCAGGATAGCTCAGTTGGTACAGCGCCTGAACGGTAATTCGGAGATCGGAAGTTCAAACCCCGCTCCAGTCAATGGACATGAAAGTAAAGCACTCACCAGGCACACCAATCAACTCCTCCTTGACTCTGACACTGGGCGTCGGCTGAGTGCTGGGCTCGGTTTTGATCGGTCGCGAGACTGGCGACGGGTGTACCGTCTTCTCGCTAGAGGGCGCCCCCTCATCATCGGAGGACGACTCTGAAGAGATGGTGCTTCCTTGGGTTTCAAGATTTGGTCTCTGTTGGTATGGGAACAGAAAAAAAAAACACATGAATTTACATTGGGCTCATTACCACTGGAGGGTTATTCCTGACTAACTTAGTAAAATTGTGTTCAGTGCATACACTCCAACAATAATGAAAGCTGGTAAATTTATTTGTGCATCGAATGCTTCTTCTTACAGTAAGTAGATGTACAATGTGCACTTGGGTGATTCACCTATATTTGAGTAAGTTTACAATTTCACAGGAATCCCTCTTTACGAAAAAAAAAAGGATCTTGGATACATTCACACTGCCTTGTGCATGGACCTACTGATTGTAAAAACAGAAAATCCCACTTGAAAATTGGACAAGACTTGTCTGTCTTTCTAAATTGTAAACTTGAGAAAAAAATAGCATATGCCAGCAGAAGCGTGTAAAACTTCCCGATTTTGGAATTACTGATGGAAAATTTTGATCCATTTTACTCATTTGTTAGTTAGTTTTCTGGGACAAAAGGGCTAATGTCATGTAGATAAAACCTTGGACTCAGGAGCTCAAATACTCTAAATTGTTGGTTATATTTCCTCCGGGGATTCTGCCTACCTTCCTCTTGGCAGACTGATCCTCCCTGCCCTCCTCATCGCTCTTGGGCTCGGTGCGTTGCCTTGACAACGAGGCTGATGACGAGGGTGGTGGAAGCGGGGAGATGCTCTTTCGTTTCCGCTCCTGGCTGCTCTCTCCGCCGGAAGGCGGACTGTCGTCTTTGGCTTCCTGACTGTCAGCCTTAGACGAGAAATAAGGAAGATTTAGTAAACGTCTTAAATTTAAATAAGGAATTCTGTTAAAAGTTTAGTGCAGTGGGGCGTGACTGAGTGGGTTATTAGAACTTTGGGCATTATCTCAAAAGTGGATCCATACAGCAAAATGGACGAAACTATTCAAGCTAGTACGCTCTGTTTTAGTATACTAGTATGAAGTCACTACAAATGATAATGCTTAATCGATCAGGCTGGTTAAACTATCTGCGCTCAGTGAATGTTGAAATACCTGTTCAATAGTTAATACCTACTTTCCATAGAAATCAGATAGTTTATGCCGAACACTCCAGAATCCTTCAAAATCCATTGAGAAGTGGCTGCAGCCGCTTCCATAGGCATGTGTGTAATTTTCGGCTGTAGCCGAGCAAAATTCAGACAAGGCCTATGAAAGGTTCCTAGTAAAATTTGCCTAGGAAGCTAGCTAGGGGTTAAGCATTGGACAGTCATGTGATCAGGCAGTGACTTTTCCATGTGACCAGACACGTGACCTGACACGTGACCTAAGCATGCAAAGGTCTGTGATTGGCTAGAGACTTCCAATAATCATCACAGATGGTTTTATTTTGGAACAAGACAGACATGCATTTGCAGGTATGTCATGTGACAGTGTCATGTGAGTGTCTCATGCAAAGGGGGAAGGAGGGGGCTTGGCATGTGACTGTATCATGTGACTGTATCATGTGACCACTACTTACCACGGATTGCGAGTCGCTTACCGAAGGCTCTTCCTCAGGAATAATTATGGATGGGTTGAGCATGGTACGTTTCTCCTTTAAATTAAGAATCAAGCCAAGCTGCATGCGGCAAACCAAAACAAAAATAAAAAACCAGGAAAACAAAATTTGCTGGGTTGGGTTTTACATTCATTGGCGCGTTGTGCGGGGCAGGGATGGAATTTGGTAGGGCGCAATTGAGTTTCTTGAGCTGGGTTTTGGGGTTGGTGGGGGAAACAAGAGGCAATGGGGGGGGGAGGGAGGGGCGGCTGAAATGAAATAGGTTTGGATGAAAGGCAGCTGGGTAAAACTGGGTTCAAGGGGTGGGTATGGGGTTGGGAAGGGGGGTGATATGGGAAGGGGGGTGATATGGGGGGGGGTTATGGGGGGGTACAGTACATGAGAAAATCAAATGGGACAACAGACTGGGGGAGTTAACAAAATTAAGAGTTATGAAATGAGAACAGAAATTAAACGAAAAGCAAGAACGGAAATAGAGGGAAGACAAGCAAAAAAGCAACAAGGAATAAAATCTGATGGTCATGGGAAGCTGTCTTCATAATGTTACAGGAAACAGGTTTTTTTCAGGAATTAGTGACATTCTAAAAATACTCAACATGCACAATCATGCAAACAGTACCCTATCCCCATCACTGCTTTGTTCAGGCTCCAGGGTCTACAAGCCTAAGAACTGGGGAGAACAATCCTTCGCTCCAAACTGAAAACGACCGATGACTTTTGAGATCAGACTCATTGCGGACAACCCAAACCTGTCTCACCTTAACCATTTACCCTCGTCACAGTCAGAATTAAACACGGATGATATTACTCCTCTGCCCTCTACTTTCACAGCGATGGAAACAGATTGAGGATTTGCACGAGGAACTTGAAACTTTGTCTTGCATGTACCCAAGTTTAAAACCGTCTTGGAACGATGTTTCCTTTCTATACTTCTAGAGAGTCTGATAGTTCTGAAGGTCTAATGCCTGTCTGTTTTTAGTGTATCGTTGTGACTTTGACACTTGAGAGCCTACGCGATGTGCACTCATTTGGTACTGAAGAGCAGGCCACAAATTAACCCTAAACCCTGCTCAATCCAACAGGATCCAATTATTTTGCATTCCCGTTGGAAGCTGTTGGATTGAGCCCAGTCAACCCCTTGTATATATTCCTTTTGAAATCTGTTGGATTCAGCAGGCAACTGAAAACATTCAGAGTCGGTTTCTGTTGGGTACTGGTACTGGTAAACAACGCCAAGTTGGAGCGAAAAGAAAAATAACTTTATCGTAAATTTCAACGCTTTATTGTCAGGTGCCATTATTTTTGTCCTTGGTAACTTTTTTGTCGACGGCTGTTCATTGTTCCCTTCCTTTCAGCAGGTTAAAGTCTTTGACAGTTGTAAAATACTTAATGCAAAACACTCGAGCGGCCCAAATCGATTGCCGCATGCAACTTTTAACCGGCGCGCTCTGCGTGCACCTTCTGACTGGCGCAGCAGCAAGAAGCTGCAGGTGGCAGTTTCGAAAATCTGAATATTCCGTCAAACGCAGTTTCAAGTAATCAAATAATAAATTAGTCGAAAACGAACAGCCCTTCTCCCATGACAGAAGAGGAATAGGTCTCGATCAAAGGACGTCATTTCCTACGGACCATCCACGTGCATCGGCATTTTGAGCGTCAACTTGCATAACGCGCATCGGCTGCGTCGTATTTCGAACACATTTCGAGCAACAAGCGCGTGTGATTGGAACATTTTCAACACTGCGCAATGCGTGCTTGATTGCGTGAAATACACAATTGCAGTTCTCCTACAGAGATGGTTGCATTGAGGGAGCCCTATAGAATAGAAAATAAAGAGCATGCATGCCAGCTAACAGTGCAAAGCATCTGGAAACAAACCTCAGGTATAGGCAGGCAAGACGGTCGGCTCCTTCCATAGAGAGTGTGGTAGAAGTCTACTGCATCACAGCGCAGCCTGGCATCGTGTGAGGTACCGGAGCTTAGGCAACAAAAAATAAATAAATAAAAAAATGAATTCAAAAAAAAAGACAAGGCAAGCTTTTTAAAGTTGGTCCCAGAGTGCACAATAGAGAGTCTGCACAATGGGTTGAATTTAGCCCAATCATTGGCATCACAGGGTTATCCTATATGACAGCACTGCCCGATTCTCTTGACCAGTCTACAGCCAGCGACAGTCAGACAGACAAGTACAACAAGGACACTAGGCTTTCCAAGAGTTGAGTTGTGTAGCTTAAGGTGGATTTTATCTTGAGTTTTGCCCTTCGCTGATGTCATTTCATAAACGCCGAGTACTTGCTTAGGTGGGACTGGAACCCATGACGTCCTGCTTACTAGTGCAGAGGTCTCAGCCACTGTACAACCAAGCTTGCCAGTGTCAGCTAGCTGGTTCGAATCTGTCATAGCAACATGTACTCCGCTCAAAGACTTGGGATGGGTTTTATTTAAGGTAGTTTGGGTAGTTCTGGCTGACTTTCGGAAGTTCAGGTGTTGAAAAATTAGAGGAAAATGGAAAGGAAAGTGGGATTTACTTCATGAGGGTCCACAGCCTCTCCACCAGGCTTTCGTTGTTGAGCGCCGACGTCTCCCGATGCTTGAAGGGCGGATTGGCAGTCAGCATCTCAAACAGGCGGTGTCTGACCGAGGGCATGGGGTCCTGCTCCACAATGTCCAACAGCCAGGAGAAGATGTCAGCATTAGACTCCACTGGTGAAAAAAGACAAGATGGTATTATACCACGATACAAACAATTAATAAAGGCACCTTTACAAGACTAAGAATATCTACAAGACATAACCACTGACTGCCCTACTGGTGACCTACCTTTGACGTAATCCACCAGGGACTCCAGAGCAGCCATCCTGATCTCCACAAAGTGACTGTACTGGGCGTAGGTCTGGAACAAGGTGGGATCGCTGGGCAGGTGGCCGTTCTTCTGCAGGGTGCGGATGGCCTGCAGGCAGCTGATGGTCACACGGTGATGGTAGCAAGGAAGGAGTTTCTCTAGGTTCAGGCAGCGAGTTACTTCCTCCAGGACAATCTTTTTAAAAAAAATAATCAAGCTTTTACAAAGAAATTGACTGGAATGAGATTTAAACCTCTTGAACACAGTGTTGACGTTTTATCAACTGAGTTGTCCAACCCTGTGTTAGTGCAAACAATGTGATTTAGTCTCAACACCTTGGTTCAGCAACAGGGTCATTCTCACATTGGCCCAAAACTTGGTGGAGTTGTGTTCTTCCTGCTTTCCGGTACTTACCAGGGTGTGAGTGACCACTGATAAAAAGAGCTGAAAACACCTGAAAAAGGTGTAAAAAAAGTTGAACTTTGGAAATCTCCTATAATTTTGTACACAGCAAGTGAGGGAAAAAGCTGAAATCCAAAACAAAAAAAGCTGAAATCAGCTTTAAAGCTGAGATTTCACACCCCTGACTTACCCTTGTCTCCGGTGTGAGGTTCTCCACGCTGGTGCTGACCATGGCGACGGCCGGGGTGATGGTGTGGGTCAGTGCCGTGATGAGTGAGGCCCGATAGTAGTTATCGGAGAACTGCAAGTAAGAATAATCAAGATTTTATCTTGGCTTATAGACACTGTCACTTGATTGGTCTAAAATGGTCATGCGTTATTCTTTCATCAAAAATGCATTATTGAAATCACTGAGTAATGCAAGGTTTATTTAAGTCCGGGGCGGGGCACTTCCTGGCCAGTGGGTAAGTTGACGGAAATCAAAGATTACATTGCGATGATTATGGGCTTCGTGCGCATACAAGAGAGGGCGTGTTTTGACCTCTTATGAAAGCCCCATGGACAGGAACACAATGCGTGTGCATACTGGTTTGAGCGTGTATGGCCCGAAATATTGACAATTCATTTACATTCGACTCTCGTTAGTACAAACTCTGTTAATACAAAATTCTGGTTATAACAAACATAAAGCCTTGGTCCCAACTGTGCATTTATGCGCACAATGAATGGGACTGATGTTCCTTTTAATTCAAAATTCTGATATAACAAACAATTTGGCTAGGTCCGAACGAGTTTGTTATAACGAGAGTCGACTGTATTCTGAATGTGCTCAAAGCAACAGTTTTTTTTGCGTGAGCGATAGGCGTTGTTAGCAGTGCGTTCGAATGTCTCTCCCGGTAGTCTCCCCTAACTCTCCCTTTCTTACTGATGAGGGGGTACTTGTGAACGAATCCCATCAGTCAACTTTTGCTTCTTTTTGACTTGTTTGCAGGACACAATGCTAACTGCTGTGGGGCGCGTGTTTTCTCCTGCCTGCAAGGATGCATAGCACCATCTGCTAATCCTGTTAGCTTGTCATCTGCTAAGCATCGTATTTCTGCTAGAACAGCACCATGAAGAGACCTCTACTCACCTTGTTCTTGGTGTTGTCATTGTATTTGATGAGGTCGACCAGGAAGTCCAGAGATTCCTTTGGGCACAGGGAGTGAGCGTTGCGTATGGTGGCCAGGGCTACAGGCAGAGTCTGAAAAGTGCAAAATTGACAAGGGAATAAAACGGAATTGAAGTGTTTTTCTAAAGGTAGTGATATCTCAGATGTTATCCTAGAATACTATTACAACTGTACTAGGTTTTTAAGAGCGTGTGTGACATTATTTTATAAAAACAGCACTGCCACATTGTTTGCATAGTAAAACCTTTTTCCATTTTGGAACACAAATTTACTCCGCCCCAAAAAACAATTTTTTTTGTTTAAATTCAAATTGATTTTAAGGTATAACGCTGAAGGCAGATGTTACCGTTGTTTTTAATATCAAAATGTCGATATACATAAATACTAAACATCTTGCAGTCAATTTAAATACAATTTTTTTGCTTTCGGGTTGTTTCTTTTGTGGCTGAAATCGTGTGCAGCAGCCCCACATTCTTTGTACTCCAAACAATTTTGGAAAGCCAAGCCTCATTTAAAAAAGAACTGACTGCATTTCTGTACCCATAAAAATATAGCAAAAACCTGGGTGTGGGTTTGGAAGGATGTACGGTAGTTTGGAGTCAGAGGGCATACCTTTTGCAAGAAGTAGTCCATGAAATTGCTGAAGCTGTTCTGCTTGACGATGTCGGCGCAGGAGTAGGAGCCAAAGAGTTTCTTGAACATGGCGATGATGGCCGTGTGGCCCATGTAGGAGGCGACCAGCTCATTAGAAATCTACAAACGATCGGTACATTGGTACAGTAAAGTAAAACAACTGGACTTCTATTGATTAAATATGGGTCCAACTTCATGGCTCTGCTAGTGGAGAATCTCTGTTTAGGCCAAAAACAAAGAAATAGTCGGTCTCTGGTCAGGGCAAGCATAATTTTAATCATGTACAACAATATTGCTTTTTTTTCCAAATTTTCCACGCTAGCTACAACAGCGCCCTCTATTGCCGCACTGCCTCAATCTTTTGTGGGCAGCTCAACTCCAAATGATGGAGGGCACCAAGGCAAATAATGGAGGTCAAAAAGGCATATGAGGACACACAAAAGCAAAATAGTGCCCACCTTATCTGTCTAACCCAAGCATAAAAAAACCCAATAAAAACAAACAAAAAAACAACGCATCGCCGCATCAATTTTGGAACCTTGGTCTGACCAGAGACCGACTATTTTAGGGGGGCCTAACTGCAGTTGAAACAAGCAAAGTGGCATCGGAGGAGCACACCTGTTTATGCTTAAGTGCATAGTGGGTTGGGCTTTAATAGATCAGTGTGTTCCTCTCAATCATATTAAACATTTTCAAGCAGCTTTGCTCAATTTTAATAGATCCAAAGGGCAATTTTTAAAAAAAAATTGCACCACTTTTTTACCTTGGCCAGTGAGTGTGCAGCGACCATTCTCACTTTGTGGAAACACTGTCGGTTCTCGATGATCTCAGTCAGGACACTGACTGTGGAGGGACTGGGAAACCTCTCTAGGTTCTGTATCGCCTGAGCATTTCGGAACAAAACGCGAAAGAAAAAGCGTACAAATCGAGTCAGAACAGGGGGAAAAACAAGGATATTTCACATCTCGGCAGAAAATTCCGCAGAATCTGTGGCAACAATATTAACCCTAGCTCTCCAGGCCTTTTTGCTAGGATGTAGCCTCAATCCTGCAAAATCCTCCACTTGGCCTCATGGAAGAAAAAAACACATAGCCTCAATCCTCCAATTCCTCCATTATTTCTTGAATGTGGTCCGTGGAGGGGTGACCACTGCCTGAATCCTGCCAAATCCTGCGGCAGTGACTGTCAATATGTTGAGGCTTGGCCAGTGACATCCTGGAGCAGTATGGAGGATTTCAAGCATAATCCAGGCCTGTATTTATGCATAGCTGAGCAAAAACAACCAAAGGTCCGGCCCAAGACCTTGACAAATTGCATCCTACGAAATCAGTAACACACTTTTGCCATGTAACCTCAATCCTCCAAATTCCTCCACTTTGGCAAAGAAGATTTTGAAGGATTCAGGGCGGTTAGGGTTAAAAATCAAAGATAGGTTATGGTCTCCCAGTGGATTGATTAATTCTTTTCTAATTCTTTTCTGAGTATCTGTACAAGGCCATAGCATCTTGGCATGAGCTTCAGGCGTCGTCAGCAATGCATTCGAATGTCTCTCCCAGAAACCGTTGACGGGTCACTTATGCACAGAGTCAGTAATCAAAAAAGTTTTGTTGACGCAACTGTTATAGCTGTTAGCTGTGAAATTTTGCTCGATTTCTAAACACATTTCATTTGGAGTCGAGAGCCTAGAATTGAAAATGTACCCTCAACTGACTGATCGGACAAAATGTCTTCACATACCTTAGTGCCCATACTTCAATTAAGCTCTGTATAACTATCCCTGATCATGATTTTGGGGCTCGTTTTTGGACAACAAAAGCTACAAATGCGCCTGTGGACTCCGTGGGGGAGTGTGGCCTAGCGGTTAGGGTTGGTAACTCATAATCAGAGGGTCAGGGGTTCGAATCCAGTTGCTGGTCATATGTTGTGTCCTTTGGCAAGCCACTTCATCCCCACTTGCCTCTCTCCACCCAGGAGTATAAATGGGTACCGGCATTAGCTGGGGAGTAACCGGCGATGGACTAGCATCCCGTCCAGGGGGAATAGAAATATTCTCAGTTGTTTCATGCTGCTGAAACGGGAGATAAATGCCGGCCTGATGGGCCACGTAGGCTTGTGACAGACTTTACTTTTTTGCTTTACTCGGTGCAAAAGTACTCCCTTAATGATGTCAAAAAGAAGAGATATTACCAAAAATTGAATGCCCTTATTGAATATTCTGTATGCCTGGCCTAAATGCAAAGATGCTACAGGCTTGTGTGTATTCAGATCATTATAAGTCATATTTGTACTAAAGTTCACATGAATACCGCCCTCTACAGTCCCTGCGCAGAGTCCACTGTGGCCTAATGACCCACCTCAATCTGCGCGACGATGTCCCTCTCGTAGCGCAGCTGGTAGTGCCACTGGAAGTCGGGCTGCTGGAAGACCACCTGACGCAGCAGGGTCATCTGGGTGTCGATGCGGATCCACAGAACGGGCGAGTCAGAACTAGAGCATCATGGGAAGGGAAACGACAAAATGAAAAGTCAGTCAGTTTGAAGAAAGAAACCCAAATTATCCACCATAAGGCACAACTATGTTTACATAGGGCTTTTTAATTCAGAGAAGAATCTGTGTTTTCACATAATATTATTACCCCTGACCAGCACACTTATAGTAATTGGTAGATTTATAGTTTCAGAGGATCCAATATTTTCACATATTACTATTACCCCTGACCAGCATGCTTCTAGTCATTCCCGGATTTTAATTTTCAGAGGATCCAAGGATGTCATATATTATTACCCCTGACCAGCATGCTTATAGTCATTCCTGGATCTTATAACATGTGTCGGTACTCACTCCATTGTGCTGAGGTCCATGTCCACTTCTTCGCCATTCACCAAAGGGATTTTCTTTTTCTTATGCCTAAGAAGTAGAAAAAAAAATCCTCTTGTTTTTAGAAAACAGAAAATTCTGAAGTTAACGTTTTGAAAAGACATAATTAAACAACAAATTGAACATCACAATTGAACGAAGATGACAATGTTTTTTTGCATATGGATAATTTTGACCTTGTTTTTATCTGAAACAGTAAATATTTTACTTTGTTGATCATATCCACTCAAACTTTTTCGGCCAAAAGCATTACCTGAAGTGAAAGAACTGACTGCACAAGGAATCAAAGTGAACAGATATTTTTTTAGTGGGGGAGTCTAGATGAAACCATAGAGCTATATTAAATTACTAGAGCGCTAACTTCGTGTACAAAGTAATGCCTGCTGGGCGCATCCATGTTTGTGCACAAACCTATGGAGACCTAGAAATTTTGTACGGCTTTTGTACGGCTATTTGCATATCGGCGTTTGTATTCCATACCGGTGCGTTACCGAAGCCAATACGCCCAAAACCGAAACGCACGATCAGCAAATGAGCATCTCATTTTGCTCTACGCAAACAGCGCAACCCGTGCGCATATTCGCTGAAAATGCTTTTTGCCGTCACATTTTTTTGAACCGTCAATGACGCGCTTAAGTTGTTTGCATATGTTCTACTTGCGCGTTGCATGTAAAGCACACTTTCAAAATTAAATCCATCTAATTTCTTTATGTTCTACAAACACGCACATGAATTCAAAATGTCTGCGCCCAGGACGACTTTGAAGCGTCTCCGCGCGTAGAATGACGAGTTAGCGCTCTAGTAATTTAATATAGCTCTATGGATGAAACAGAGCAGTCTCCAATAAAAACTGAAAATGGAACCAAACTTGGCACAACTTACCGTCTGCTTTTTGAGTGGCAGGTGATATCTCCTTTGGTGACATTATCCTCCACCTGCAGAGTGTGCTCAAAGGAGCCGTCTAGCTCCTGAACGGTCACCTTTAAAGGTCCCTGAAACATAAACAGTTTGATTTGAGGTTAGGCTTGAATGACTCTAATATTTAAATATCGATGATTCACCTTTAAAGGTCCCTGAAACATAAACAGGTTGATTTAAGATTAGGCTTAGGTGACTCTAACATTTAAGTATCGATGATTCACCTTTAAAGGTCCTGAAACATAACTGGGTGATTTAAGATTAGGCTTGGATCACTTTAACATTTAATATCGATGATTCACCTTTAAAGGTCCCTGAAACATAACCAGGTTGATTTGAGGTTAGGCTTAGATGACTTTAAAATTTAAATATTGATGATTCACCTTTAAAGGTCCTGAAACATAAACAGGTTGATTTAAGATTAGGCTTAGGTGACTCTAACATTTATTGATTTTTCGCTTAGCACATAAATTCGCTAAGCAGTTATTTTTTGTACTTACGACATATTTCAGGATCCCTTTCCGCCCCGTGTCCTGTCTCAACTCTATCTCCACGATGTTCCGTTTCCGGTTGAAGTTGAAGCTGCCTGTGAACTGCACGATGCCGCCCTGGTACACCCACTGGTCCAGGAACAGGGACAGGTCCTTGCCCGACACCGTGGAGAGAGACTTCAAGAACTGAAAGGAGGAGGAGGAGATACACACTCACAAGTAAACTCTCTATCCAAACAGCATTTTGCAGTGTTGTAGTCGAGATAGTCCGAGACTAAGACCAAGATTGAGACCCGAAGTTTCGAAACGGAGACCGAGACCAGCACCTTCAAGGTGGACCGAGACCGATATGGTTCGGGACCGAGACCGAGACCAAGACCCCGGATAATAAATAACAATTAATATTCTAAATGAAAAACAAGACACATAATTATGGTTGTAAGTTGTAACCTTTGTATTATGTTGTAAAGAATCACCAACTCGCGGTATGTTTGCACTGTACATGTACATGTACATGTACAATGTATATACACACACGTTGACACCAGATCAAAATGATTTGCTTCGCTGCATGACTGGTACTGCTGCAGCTTTACATGTACTTTGAGGACTTTCCAACGTGCAGTCCGAACCAACCACGATACTACGATTCAAAACAATGTTGACATGATCTACGGGCTAGCAAATGTTTTAACTATCAACGGTACTGAACGAAGTGAACGCAAAGTAATCGATCAAGCTGTAAATGCTACATATTGCCGGTCTCTACCCGAGACCAGCCAAAACATCGAGACCAAAGGGGACCGAGACCGAGACCACAGCTCCCGAGACCGAGACTGAGACCAGCAAAAAGTGGTCTTGAAACCAGTCTCGAGACCTACAACACTGGCATTTTGAAGATTAGAACATTTTGAGATAATAACTCACTCCGCTTGTTGACAGCAGCATGTTCCCCCAGGAGTTGGTGATGAACTTCAGCATGGCAGCCGACGCAGCCAGGGACAAAAGCTTGTTGAAAACCTGGGAAATTCAAAGAAAGGATCTGATCTTCGTCTGGCATTAATTTGTTCAATTCGTCACATTTTTTTAACCAGTTCACTTTTTAAGGTATCATTTCTGCGGGAAATACTGAAATTGGGGGACGTTTAAATTTCACAAAAAAGAAGGACCCTCTGTCAGTTTTCAGCGACTATGATCAGTTACCATGGAAAAGAACATGCCAACTTTTGAGCCAGAGTCTGCACATAATGGTTTAGCCAATCTTTATGCTCAGGCAACTTTTTTTACAGATCACAAATGTGCTTAACTCAATTTTATTGATACCTAAAGTCTATTCCTAAAATGTCGGAATCAATCCAGAAAGTTGTCAGTATCTCGTCAGCATCTGTCCGTGTGTTTGTCTGTTTGTCGGCCTGTCTGTCTCACCTGTAGCAGCAGGTCCTGTCCAATCCTGAGCTCAATCAGCCTCATGACCAGGTGGGCCTTCACCCTCAACATGTCCAGGTATCGCCAGGACACCGTGTGGGGGCTGCGGATGGGGAAGTAGGCCCCGCTCTCCCCGGACTTTGGGGTGGTGGGGTTGGCCGCGTTCTTCTCGGGGTCGTCCGAGTCGGTGGATTGGACGGTCGGTGGATCCGGGTGAAGGATGACCCCACCAATCTCTTGCTCGTACTTGCAGAGTGACGTCAGTTCCTAATAAAAATAAATTCCGAAAAATGTCGTGTTTTAAATCTCTATTTTGTAAAAGGAGTGGCTTGGATAAGAAAAATCAGGAAAAAGTTGGTCGGTGAATGCTTAAAGGTATTTAAAACGTTCTAACAATTGCTGGCAAACCCTCTTTGTTGAAAAACAAAATTTAATTTTTTTTTTTTTTTTTTTAGCAATCTACTTGAATTTTGTTTTTTTGGGGGAGGGGGACTTTAATTTGACATATGCTGCATTGTATGATGGATTTGGGGGGGGGGGGGGCATTTGGATGTTACTTCAGTAGTGGGTTTTACACCGCACCAGCATAATACAGTGCTTAGGAAATAACGTTGGTGCAAAAACCAATAATTCAACAATTCATGTAAATAAGGACTTAAAATTCTCTCAAAAGATGCCCTAAAATGCGGGAAAAAAGGAATTTCCTTGGAATTATGATCCCAGACCCCCCCTCCCACAACACGCCTTCAAAGCTTTGCCCTCCTTTTCCCTAAACCTAGATCCATCACTGGTGAAATAGCCTACGACATCCTGGGTATTGCACAGAAAGGCCTTTCCGTAACAACATGGTCATTTCTCTATCAGCTAAAATGTCCACACAGCACTCTAGAAGAGCAAGTCAGTGGATCACCTTGTGTATGTGGTAGCGGTACTCGTTGACCCCAAACATCCGCTTGAGTAGCAAGCCCGTCAGGTACTTGGAGATGCCTTTGGGCAGCCAGAGGTCCGACCAGCTCTGGGAGCCCACGAAGCAGCCAAAGAACTGCTCGGAGAGGGACTGGGCCATGAGGCGGCGGGTCATGAAGGTCTGGTCGATGATGCGCTGGGAGTGCAGCAAGTTGGTGCTATTTGGGCGAAGGAGGAGGGAGTCCAATTTAGCATGGTTGGGTTGGATTTCCTTTCCCCTTCCATCTACCAATTTTACTGATTAACCCTAACTGAACTCAACCCATCAAAGTCCAACAGCAGGTTTTGTTGAAATCTGTTGGGATAGGTACAGTATCCCTAAAACTGATGGTCTTTCACATTGGGTTTGGCACGCCTCCAGAAACTAAGTCCAACAGTGTGTGTGTACGATTTCCCATGTGGGTGTTGGAATTTGCCAGGATGGGTACTGTTCCTAGTTAATTATGCTAGGGAGTTAGGGTTAATGCATCAATTACAAAAAAATAATGCATTCTTGTCTTTTACTAAATGTTTAAATGCAAATCTTGGCCTTTACTTTAAGGCCTTTTGGTTCCTGCAGGAGTTGGTTCAATACCTATCAGGGCCTGCCCTCTGAAAAATCCTGGCACAGCCTACGAATAAGGCATGGCAGTGAAGATCAATGCTCAAAATGTTTAAGTTCCTTTCAAAGTAAAAACGCTCTATTTGGAACATGCAGCATTGCTGTTGCACGTAGGAACAAGCAGTGATCCTAGCAGATTCCAACTGGAATACGGTTTGAGCTCAGTTAGTTGAGATCTGATATGGTTTTCTGGAAGTCGCAGGTACAAGTTCAAATTCAATTTGAGTCAGTTTTCTTTGTTAAAGCTATAGTCCATCATTTGCAGCCATCCGAAAAAGTAACTGGTGTATTATTGTTGAAAAACATACTTGGTTGAAAGATAGTAAGTGGACTAAACTCCCTGTGAAATTAATCTTTCTGGCAAGCTATCATTTTGAAGTAATCAACGAAAGAAGGCCTTTCCAATGGTGCGTCTTAAGACGCACCGTAGGAAAATTTAAATTAGTAGTTCGTTTTGTTATTCGGCGCAGCGCGCGCAAGCATTGGCACGACGCACAGGCGCGCGCGGTTGCTAAAATTCGTCGGATCAGTGCGCAACATCGCGTATAGCTGCAATTTAAAACAATTCAAAACATGATTCAGCAACTTTTGATTTGAAATTGAGATCCTAGAATGCTGTTTTTCTCGGAATATACAGCTGAAGCTGAGCTGAAACTTCATCAGGTTAGTTGTTCAGTATCCTTCATTAGATTTTGAACACTTCAAACGAACAAAATGCACAAATTAAAAATTTAGTTCTATTGTCAATTCTGGATGTAAATGTGATTATTCAGTTTTGGACTCAAGTCAAATCGAGACTCCTTTTTTCCCCCGTTTTGGCCTCAGAGTGAGATCTACAACTGACTGCAAAATGATTTTGCCTACCTTAAGATAGAGAGAGTAGCAAATGAAGAGTAGTCTTTGTACGCCTCGTCAACAAACACTTGCTTGTAGTTGCTGTAAGGATATCTGGTACCCAGACACTCCTCAAAGTAATCAAAGGCCTGCCAGAAAAAAAAAAGAACCAGACTGGTTTTTTTTTCTCGACTTTGTCTGCTTTTGCCTTCTGATAAGTTTTCTGAGGTTAACGTCAAAACCTTTTCTCCTTGCTCATAAGCAGATTAAAAAACATTTGATCGACTCACCTCGTGTAAGAATGCTGTGGAGTGCTCAAGAAGCGGCTTGAGTTGAGGCAAGCAGAAGTGGGTGACCTCCGGCATGACGGGGTCAACTAGAATCTCAAAAGGGCTTTGATATGGGAGAGGTATGGGGAAAAAAATACATCATAGTCTCCGTTCAAGGCACCAAAAAACCTGATTGTTTGGTTGCCAAAATTTGGTTCCTCAAAAGTAAAAGTTGTCTGTTCTACCCTTAGGAACCAGTGTGCTAGGAGAGACCGCATGCACTGCCTTACGCATACATATGGTGCGGTGTATGCTTGGAAAATTTTCATCTCAATATTCCTTTTTTTTACATTGTTGACGGACTACCCTAGATTTCAATTATGCATACATGCAGGCCACTTTGCCTATGAGTACCCACGTGGGTATTTACAAAACAACCCCATGTCAAAAGTCATAATGACAACGATTTGCTTGCTCTGTTCAGACTCTATATGCTACTGAGAGATACTGATGCTAAATTAAAGGGGACAACCTGTGTTAACAGGAACGGAGTGCCCATCTCTCTTTCATTAGCGATTGGGCCAGACTCATATGCTGCCGTGGGGGGGATCGCCAAACCTCCTCCACAGCGAGTCTGTTACCTTCCCAGCATTGAATAATGCCGGTACCCATTTAACAACCTGGGTTGAGAGGAGTAACTGAGGTGAAGCGCCTGACTCAAGGGCACAACACGCATGGCCGAGGCGGGGTTCGAACCCACAACCTCACGATCATGAATCCTGTGCTCGACCGCTAGACCACACGATGCTCTGTCTTAACTACAACTCACCCTACAGCCAGCGCGATATTGGGCGCCGAGGTGGGCAGATTCAGCGCGTAGTGGAAGGTCTTCTTGCGCATGTCCGGCGTGTAGACCGTCTCCATCAGGTCGCCACAGGACACGGCCGTCATGGCCTTATCGACGGTGAATTCCAGCTTCCAGGTGCAAGGCTCCGAGTAGGTGTCGATGCAAGGGAACCAGGCCCGGGAGGAGTTCTCATGGCTGTAGGTGAACATGTGGGCCGCTCTCTGCAAAACGGTTAAAATTGGGATACAAGACCTGGGCCCAACGTTTATAAAGCTGCTTATTAACAAAATATGCTTACTGAATGTACGTGTTCAGCAAAAAATTTGGCTGACAAATTAGTTACAAGTTGTCGCGTCAGTGCAACATGGTCGTAACACCATTCTGCAACAAAGTTTTATCTCGCGCGAATAAGCTGCGAGCAACAACGTCGTATCTCGACGGTCACTGACTTTGTGTGTACATCCGGGTTATTTTAAGTGAAATACGACCTTTTGACATTCTGAAACTCGCGTTTCACGTACGGCTCATTTTAGGAGATACGACCTGGTTGCACGGACACGACGAAGTTATATACATCAGACCAGTTTTGTGGTCAAGTCCATCACAAGTCTGGTCAAAAGTAAATCACAAGTATGGTCACAAGAAATAGAGGATGAACAATTTCAAAAGGAATCCTTTTGTTCCGGATAATTTGAATATCTTGTGACTTGACCTGAGACTGTAGGAATTGTGATGGACTTATGAGGACTTGTGAAGGACTCGATTAACCACTGATTATGCCTCACCTCTGCCATAGAACCTTCGGTGTCAGGGACAACAAAGTGGATCCCACCCTGGGGTCTCTCCAGGGAGAATTCAATGCTGACCCGAAGCATCTTCTGATCTGTGAGAAATAACCACACGAGTAAGAAACTGCCATTATTATTGTCAAAGTCTCAAGGTCCCTTGGTCGGTGCTTCAATCTCCAAACATAGGATACTGAAATAAGCCTTTGCACTGATGACATCACACTTTGTTTAATTGTGCACTTTTCTATGGGGCTACGAACCGTTGTCCCCACCAGGATCTGATACACCGTGCCCTCTGGAGACGTGTGTACAATAGGGAACAAAAGATTGTATACGTCTCCACAGGGCAATTTCTATAGATGAATACGTTTCCACAAGGTTTTCACGAAATAGATATATGGATTTTACTCAAAAACTAGGAATTTCCCAGGTGGGTTGATCTGTCGCAAATGGAAGAGTTTTAGAAAAGGGATATTAAGTCCAAATTTTAGCCAAGGAAATTAATTCTGGTTAAACTAAGAGCATTTTGAAACTTCACTTTCAAACTCGAAAAACTTTACTACACGAAAACAAAGAAATGTCTCCACAAGAATACAAATTTCAGTATGTGCGCTCCCATAGAAAAGCACATGTGTGAACAATGTGTGACTTCATCAGCACTGAGGTTTATTGTGCAACACCGAAGACAAATGTGCAATTTAAGTCCTGTTTTCAATGATACATAACTTGAGGGCATTAAACATCACTATGATCTCTATAATTTATTATGCCTATCCACTGAATTTAAATGCGACTTTTAACCTTGAAATGCCAAAATGCTGCATGCAAAATTTACTTTAGAAAAAGGATATTTGTTTACTGCCTTGTACAAAATACAAATAAGCACATTCTCCTTGCTAAGCAAAAAAAAAAAAAAAAAAAAAAATGGTGGGAACCAGCCACATGCAATATACATCTCGTTGACATTTCAGCTGGTATCCTGCTTTTGGTAAGTAAAATAAATGTGTGTGCTTGGAGGATCCCGGACATTTACCCATGGTCTGAGCCTGGGGTATGCCAAACAGCGCCCTCAACGGATGCCACACAAACCCAATAGACCCCTGCATAACCGAATTAACAAACTGACCGTTGACGAGGGGCATGGCGTCCTGCGGGATCTTGATAAGCAGCTCTCCGTTGGCCTGGTTTGGGTCCACCGAGTTCGTGGCCGTGTTGTGACACCCGGAGAAAAAATCTAGGTTACGCCTACGATAAAAAATAGAGATCAATGTCATGGGTGTAAGGTACAAATAAATGGGCTTTGTAATAATAATAATAATAATAATAATAATGGAGTCTTATATAGCGCACGTATCTACCAACAATTAGGTACTCAAGGCGCTGGAAATTATGTCTATTATTAAAGAAAGGTAAATAAAGTTTATATGAGAAAAATATGAGACCCATTATGTTGCACCTAATAAGGGTTTACAAGGTGCTGCAGCGCACATTGCAGCCACTGCCAGAAACACCGGGGCAAACCCCTTCTCCTAGCGATAAGTGTTACTGGGTTCTTTAACGTGCATTACACAACACACGGGACCTACGGCTTCACGTCCCATCCGAAGGACGAAGCAATAATGATAAAGTCGCTGGACTAAAGAACACCAGGCAAAAACTAATGGGCCCCTTTTGGGAACACGAGAGGGTGCTTTTTACCACTTTTGAGAGGGGCGGACAGGACACACCACGTGCGCCAGTCCGGAAATTTGGGACTCTCCATACTGTGTATGAGAGTCCCGAAACCTAAGGTACTGAAAAAACATGCAATACAAGAAAATAGACTGGCACCTGAAACAACTAGTCCAACACCCCTTTCAGTACTGCATCAATCAACTGTGCCAAACAGAAACATTTGGCATGTCTGGTACTGATCTCTATTTCTACACATTTCTCCACAGTTAGTCAACAGACTAATGAAGAGGATCGGTATTTTCAAACAGCTGGGCCATGATTGGACTTGCACCAGTCTAGTCTTTGGCCTCAAATTGATATCACTCGACTTCCCCCTTAGGTGCTAAATAGTGAAGAAAAGGCTCCTTTAAAATTGAATTGAGATCTCAAACTTGGTTGGTGAAATACTGAGGACCTTGTCTTTGCCTCATGAAAATTTTGGAGAATTTTGTCGGCTAAAGAGGAAGTAAAGTTGGTCTGATTTTGTTTTGCATGTTTTTCAGCACTTAAAGTCCCAGTCTGCTCATGCACGTACTGCTTCGAGTGAGTATAACGCAAAGTACGCATGAATAATTTCATTCTGAATGTGCACAGAGCCATAGTGTCTTCATGTGGGAATGAGATCCAAATCCAATGTGGAGTATCATGGCCTAGCGGATAAGAGCACCGGACTCATGCTCTGGTGTTTCAGAAGCAACAGTGGCATGGGTTCGAGCCCGGGCCCGGACACTTGTGCCCTTGAGCAAGGCACTTAACCATTATTGCTTCGTCCATCGGATGGGATGTTAAGCCGGAGGTCCCGTGTGTTGTATAAGACCTAACGCACGTAAAAGAACCCAGTAACACTTAACGCTAAGAGAAGGGGTTTGCCCCGGTGTTTCTGGCCTCCTAGTTATACTCCCTTGTGGAAGTCCTTAGGAGAAGAACCAACCAAGTACCAAGTAACCAACCAAGTACCAATGTCACTTTCAGCGGTCCCCCGACCTCTTCCTTCCTTACCGTTGAGGGGGTACTAGTGCACGGAGTCTATATAGCCATGCTAGTATTAGAGATGTTATACATTTGTAATTGAGACTTACTGCTTGGTTTCATTTTGACAGATGGACAAGGAAGGATCACTGTACATGAACGATGCCTCCCAGACCTCGTTGATGCAGATTCTGTAGATTCGTGGAGAGTGGATGTTAAGGTCAACAAAAAGGGGATTTACAAAAAATGTACTTTTGGTTCCTGTGTTTCGGTTTCAAGTCAAGTGCCCAAGAAGCAGTTTCACCCTAACCTTACCCTGCCGGACACAACAAGGTGCAACAGGTTCAAAGGTGTAGGGTAGATCATTTGTCATTTGTGCATTTTTTTCGTTGGAAGCAACACAAGTGCCCAAAATCTAAAGACGGGTGCTCAACAGCTAACTTGATGAAGTTTTAGCTCTGTGAATGCTGTACATCCCGAGAAAACAATATTCTAGAATCTCAATTTCAATTCAAAATTTTCCAAACCACGTTTTGAATTGCGCCGAAATCAGTGTCGGGGACACGTTCAGCCGATTGCAGCTACGCGATGTCACGCACTGAACCGACGAATAATAGCAACTGCACGTGAATGTGCGTCATGTCAACGCTAGGCGCACCCATTCACGGACTCACCGAATTACAAAGCAACTACTAACGGAAATTTCCAACAATGCGTCACTTGACACATCTTTGGAAATGGCCTTCTTGTATTGTTTTCTTCAAAACGGCAGCATGCCAGAAAGAATAATTTCACAGGGAGTTTATTGCCATTACTATCTTTAAAACAAGGAAGTTTTCAACAATTATTTTGTCAGTTACTTTTTGGATAGCTGCAAATGATCTACTCTACCTTGAAAACCCTAACTCCCTAGGCCTTTTTGCTAGGATGTAGCCTCAATCCTGCAAAATCATCCAATTGGCCTCATGGAAAAATAGCATATAGCCTCAATCCTGCAAATTCCTCCATTATTTCTTGAATATGGTCCGTGGAGGGGTGACCACTGCCTGAATCCTGCAAAATCCTGTGGCAGTGACTGTCAATATGTTGAGGCTTGGCCAGTGACATCCTGGAGCAGTACGGAGGATTTTTGGGGACAAGTTTGCATTGAGAATACCAAGATCCCTCACAATCTGAGGCTGTTTACCGTCTTCATCATGGACTTATGAATAATTACAAAAGGATATTGCACTGTTTGCTGTTGAGAAAGATGCGGTTGACCCCCGACCTGAGAGGGAGGAGATGTAGCTCAACATAGCCCTGGAAGAGGTCAAAAGTCAAAGATTAAAGGTCAGGCAGTCAATGACAACTTCTTCCAAAAAAATACACTCTACAAGGGTTTTTAAAGTCTTATAAAGCATATAGTTTGGGTTTGTAGTGTTTTATGGTTGAATCAATATTTTACTAAGACAAAGGTCGAATGTACCAAAATCTCTTGGAAGTTGGAATAAAATTATGCAAAACCGAACAATTGGCGTGGCCTAAGGCATTGGTGGACATGGTCAAGTGTAAAAACGTATCAACTTACGATTATGGACTTCCTCTGAAAGTTGACCCCAGTTATACATAATATCTGGTGATTCGTAAAAGACAAGAAAACAGACAAGTATAATGTGATTAAAACCACTTCAGCAAAATTTGTTAAACAATAGGCCTATAGGCTATATCCCCGATCCTCCATAATCTGCGCTGCGCAGATAATGCTTTGCATGCAATATTAAATCAGGCATAAAACTAAGAAAACATGAAAAACAAACAAACAAGCAAACAACCTGACAACACAAACATGACAAAAATACTAGTATTATTTTCAATAAAAACGTACTGACTGGTCTTACTTTATTAAATTAAATATACCTCAATGTCAGCGTAGGCCAACTATTCGTATATGAATAAAGTAAAGCAGGCATGGCAGGTGGCAATTATCACATAAATTGACACGACTCGAGTCGGAGTACATTTTCAAATGCAACACCAACATGACCAATGCAACTAACTTGCACACAGTTGCAGCATAAACAAATTTAATGTTTCCAACAACAAAAATGGAGAAAATACTCATAATCTAAAAGGACGAGGTGTTTCGAAGGCCTTCTCTCCCTTCTTGAAAATCTTCGACATCTTTCTGCGCTCGAAATAGTGTCACATTTCTGAAGAAATCCTGACCATCTCGACAAAATCGTCTGCTCCCAATTCTGACAATGACCTTCTTTGACCTAAAAAGAATAATAAACAAAGTAATTGGTTCTGTTCGCAAAACAAATTAAAATAAGAAAGACATCAATAATGATAAATACATTATCATTGCATTTATATTTATTTTATTACCTTTTCATTATTTTAAGAAAATATGAATGAAAAAGATAATAAAATGTTTACACTTATTTAGTAACGCCTCGTTATCGCAATTTTCTTGAAGAGCGCCCTCTTTACATGTGGCTTCTGTGCTAGTGCGAACCCTCGGTAAATCGCCCCTAAAAATGCTTTAATATTGATAAATTCCAGTAAATATATACATGAAATCATGTTTGTGATAAAGCTTAATGATTTAGTGAAGTGATTGGTTTAAAAGATTTCAGAATTGTTTGTTTGGAAGTTGGTAAAAATTAGCTGGAGTTACCCAGCCCTGAGTTTTATCATTGGGTTGTCTATTAGGGCTGGAGCAAATTTTTCTCAAAACTTGTAGTATTTGCAAAAAAAATTTGAAAAATGTTCAATTTTGTCCCCATTACACACTAATTGCAACTGCAACTCACCCCAAACTTGCCTGGAATAACCATTACACAGGTCCTTGAAGTAAAAAACGATCCACGATGAAGATTCAGCCTCCAATTGCAGTGAAAACAGGAGGAATAACCGCTAACTTGACAACCTTGCTGGATTGGCCAGGACCGCTATTGGTTTGTGCACAAAAAAAATTGTGTACAATGAATGGCGGTCGATTACCATGCACGTACAGCTCGCTGGTACTAGGCGTTTTTGCGGTCGGTGCATGACGTGACGCGGAAGCGTAATACCCGATGACTGTTTCATGCATTAATAAGAGGTTCATTCGCATCACAGTGCGGTACTGGAACGGCAACCGTCGAGTTGGCCGGCTATCGTGCATTCATAGTGCAGTGTTACTGCCGTTCCAGTACCGCACTGTGATGCGAGTGAACCTCTTATTAATGCATGAAACAGTCATCGGGTATTACGCTTCCGCGTCACGTCATGCACCGACCGCAAAAACGCCTAGTACCAGCGAGCTGTACGTGCATGGTAATCGACCGCCATTCATTGTACACAATTTTTTTTGTGCACAAACCAATAGCGGTCCTGGCCAATCCAGCAAGGTTGTCAAGTTAGCGGTTATTCCTCCTGTTTTCACTGCAATTGGAGGCTGAATCTTCATCGTGGATCGTTTTTTACTTCAAGGACCTGTGTAATGGTTATTCCAGGCAAGTTTGGGGTGAGTTGCAGTTGCAATTAGTGTGTAATGGGGACAAAATTGAACATTTTTCAAATTTTTTTTGCAAATACTACAAGTTTTGAGAAAAATTTGCTCCAGCCCTAATAGACAACCCAATGATAAAACTCAGGGCTGGGTAACTCCAGCTAGGTAAAAATAAGGTTTTGTGGTGAATGGTTCAACACGCCACAGACCACAGACACAGTGAGCTGTGCGAGTAGGCCTAGTGCGGTGTTGTAGAGGATATTGACCCCGCACTCGATTCCAGGGCATCAAAATTAGAGATCTGACAAGTGACATGTTGTCATAGCTAAATATTCACATGAACATCATAAGAAAGGACCAAATTTCAGATTGTATAGGGTTAAAATAATGCGGGATAATAAGGCCTACTCTAAAAGACTAAATACGGGCATGACGGGATTAGGGCCTACGGAAAAAATGTTGCCTGACGCCACTTTTTTCTTCATAATCGTATATATCATCTCGATGAAGGTCATTCATTGCAAAAAATGATGACAAGATTAAGAGTAGACATGAACCCGGGACTGAGAAATATTTTCAATTTTGTTAGGAAAAAAAAATAGGGCCCACTTAGAAACTTTTCTTGACTCTCCATAGACTTTGTACACAATCGCGGAAGTGCAGGTTGCAACATTTTTTTCCAAAAACACAATTAAACTAAAGCAAAGGTCAAAGGTTCTCATTGAAACTCGGAACTTCCACTTCGTCGGTCGACCCTGGAAGCTATGCAGCACTCAGGATGATTCATCGTGTTCATGATTTGAATTATTTTGTAAATTGCAGAGAAAACCGCCAAAATGCAGAACGAAGCCGGTGAATACGTGGATTTGTACATCCCCCGTAAATGGTAATAATTTGCATTGTTATAAGCATTACAAAACAAAATACACCAACCTCAATATTTGTGACATTAAACTTATCCAGCATGTCCATGAATTGTGAATTAGCCTAAAAAAAGGGCTAAATCACCTCCTTTTTCATGTTTACATGGATAACCATACCAGTGTAAGTTATATTTTTTTCATTGTGTGTTGTGACTACGTAGTTAATTATTGGCCTCAAAATTCTTCAAAATACATGTATGTGAACATTCATGCAGCTTTTCAAAAAGGTAGTAAGGGTAAATTTATTGTACACATTTTGAAGTGATAGCCTGTATCATATGTTGGAAATTAAATTTCACATTTTATTTATCGATCTTTCATCTTGTAGCTCTGCAAGCAACAGAATCATTGCAGCCAAGGACCATGCATCAGTCCAACTCAACATAGCTGAGGTGAGATGGCATTTGAGGGGCCGTGATTTATGTCCGACGTGCGTGTACGCGCGTCTGATGCGCGTGGAAGGAAAATGCAGCGTGGCATTGGAGAGGAGCACGTGTTAATTTGCCCACGTGCGCACTGGGCGGAGCTTACTGGATCGGTCCATTCATTTCACACTAAATAAGGAGGATGAGGTTGAATCGCAAATCAAATTTTATGTTTTTAGCTGGGCAAATGATTGATTCAAACAGAGATTGGCTTCCGTTGACCATTGAAGACCTTATTTCGTGACACCGCTGTTGCAGAAGACGTTTAGGAAGTTTGCATCATGACTTAAAACAAAAGTCGACAGGGAACCATCCACAAACACTATACAGCACATTATATTTTGGCTGGTAAGACATATAAGTGGAATGTTATCTAAGCTTTACTTCTCGCTTTTTTTTAATCAGGTTGACCCCACAACTGGTCTGTACACCGGCAGCTTCAAGACCTACGCCGTGTGTGGCCCCATCAGAAGAATGGTAAAAACTTTCAAAGTGAACTTGTACTTTCTCAAACATTCGGTTAATATTTTTTTCTGTGAGTCTCGCATTTATTTGTACATTCTTTACACCTTAAGCCTAACCTCCCCAACTCCATCAAAATCCATCCCCCCATTTTGGTGGTTTTGGGGGGACTTGGTCCTGCAGGCCTGGTGTGACTAAATATTGATGGAGTATGATGGACTTGGGCCTGGAGGCCTAAAGCAAAGCATGCACTGGAAGCAGTGTGATTGATGGATTTTGGTGGACTTGGTCCAGAACTTAGTAAAAGACAGTATGGAGTTGGGGTTAACCTATTTGATACCTTGTAGAGCCACTGCGTTTCTGATTTGTCACTTTTGTCCTGGAAAATTGGGGAGTCAACTTTCTTTGTTTACGTTGTGTTTCAGGGTGAATCTGATGACAGCCTCATCAGGTTGGCGCAAGCCGACAATCTGGTGGCCAAGTAAGTCGCTTTGTACTCTATAAGGGCCCGCCTCAATTCGTATCTGGGACGAGTTCTGGACAAGTTGTGGATAGAATCATCCACTTTGTCCGGAAGATTGCTCTGCATTTGTCCCGGACATGTTCCGGGGAAATTTTCATTAGCAACTGCTTGACTCCCCGATACTGATAACTTCATTGCGGGACGATTGCGGGGAAGTTGTTCAGAATCCTGCAACTTATACTCGATACAATGTCCGGAACTTACTGGAACTCGTCCCAGATATGAATTGAGGCAGGCCCTAATTGCCGTGAAACAATTTCTTTTCACTGTGTAATTTAACCTAAACCACCTTGGCATTTTTACAAAGAAGCATTCTGATTCTTCAGTGTGCAGTAAAACCAATGGCACACCGCAGTTAATTTCGTAGATTCCATCATTCACTTGCACATAATCACCATTTCGAGAAGTTTAAACAATTCACGTAGGACATATCAACAAACAAGAGCCTTCTTCCACATAAAAAAAACTTCAGCCCAGCTACAAGGTACATGTACATGGAAATAATATCAAACAAGTCACGCAGCTTACAACACCTTAAAACCAATGCATCTGTGTTCTTGTTTTACTTTTCACCCCAGGAACTTCAACCAGTATTAGCTGATGTTCTTCAGGCAATTCGCAGCTGAGATTATGCATCGAGTCAGGAGAAAGAACTGAGCCCAGAGAGTGTTGACGTCAGATCTCTCAAGAACCCATTTTAGAAATTTCTTTACCATAAGCCCTCGTTCAGACATTAAAGCCAAGCGTAATATTTGATCGACCGTTTGGCACTTTCCAAAATGTCACAACCTTATCAAAAGTTAGACATGGAGGAACAGTGTAGTCCATTTGCTATTCTGAAAATTGGTTAATCTAAAGACAAATAATGAGTTCTGTGCTTGTTGGCTGTTTGACGATGAATAAATACAATCTCAGTTGGGAAATGTATTTTGCGTGGTGAAAGTTTCTTTCTTTCTTTCGTTTTAATAATTCTAACAGTTCAAAAGCTGTATTAAAATTTTTTTTAACAAATATACATTTCATCATTTCTGTTGACAAAACTGCTTTATTCCAGAAGCAAGGGAGAAAATCTAATTTTTGGTTTCATTCCGTTACAAGTACTTACAGGAAAGTTATCTGGACTTAAATGAAAATGTTACACTGAACTTTTACTTTTATTAACACGCAAGACTTGATTCGAGTCTGAATTTCTTCTTTGTTCAATGGCTATCCAAAGGGATATATTAAAATAGCCAAGGGTGGTTCGGGAGGCAGCTGCATGCCACGGACTATAAGTCTTCAGCCTTGAATCAAGTCTAAAATGCATGCAGCATACAGAATTCAAGATGGAGCATAAGTACTACAATTCCAACAAAAGTCAAAAGTGGGCCTACGAGTTTTGGAACATGGCAAGACTACACAGTGGTTGCTGGGGGAAACGCAACCCTTTCACACAGTCAAACTAGCACCAACTCTTTCCTATTTACCAAATTTTGAAGAAGAAAAAACTGGCCTGACTAAATAAAGGCATGCAACTTTTCCTCGGATCCGCCAATTTCCTCGTAAAACTTTACAAAGTCTTGTTTGGTTTGGAATTCTTGGTTTTTTTTCTAAATTCCCTGCTAAATACAGTCGAGTCTCGTTAATACAAACTTGTTCGGACCTAGCCAAATTGTTTGTTATATCAGAATTTTGTATTAAGAGTAACATCAGTCCCATTCATTGTGCACATAAATACACAGTCGGGACTAAGGCTTTATGTTTGTTATAACCAGAATTTTGTATTAAAAGAGTTTGTACTAACGAGATTCGACTGCAGTGGGAAAAAAAGCTAGCATATAAGTCATAATTATTAGAATGCACACACTCTGCAGTTACACGTAAACTGGCCATCAAAAACTAAAAATATCCAACTAAAGGAATGTCTGTATCTACTCTCCAACAAGCATGAATTTATAATAAAACAGATTTTGGTACAAGCTGAGTAAGCCAAACTCTTCATTTCAAAATAGCATGTTGACCTTGGCTTTTCAAAAATCAAGACGTTCCCAGAAAATAAAAGATCAAATGGTTTGGTTTCCTTGGCATGTATTACCTACGCAGCATACAACATAATTAGTAAATACATAGGGTAGCCAGTGGTCAGGCGACAGTTGACGCGTCAACCCACAAAATAGTACTTTTCAAAGATAATAAGCTCACAGCTTATTTAAACATTGTTAAACTAGTGATCTCGAAATAATCTAGTTAAACAACTAGCAAACCAGAAGCCTTTTTCAGCTGAGTGAAGTTACCAAACTAACTATGGCCAAGTTAAAAAATAAATTTGGTTGAACATCCTAACAATCTTTTCCGAAGGCTGATGGAAAATTTAAGTATTGCCATTTCAGAAAATTAGCCAACATGTACAGTGCAGTATTAAGCATTAAAAATGGACCTATAAACAGAATGCTGACCTTTGTGACTTTCTCACTTGGCTTAAAGGGACACTGGGTCCTGGAACAGCCCAATTGGGCTACAAAACGTGCTTTGAACGAGATGATGTTAATCGGAAATAACATTTAAAAGTAGGATATAAACATCCACACAACTATCCTTTCAAAACTGGGCGTTTTTGTGTTATTCCACTTTTGCGACCCCATAAATTCTAGCTGTCTGGATGCTAGTTGTGATTTCATTCGTTGAAGAAACCACTTTTTTTTCATTGGTGATTGGTCACCGCTGTTCCCGAGACACACAACGTGTATATCGTACAATGAGAACGACACGAAAAACGTATTCGTACTCCGTTGTGTCCGATGTAAACAAGCCAGTTTTTTTCGTCTTCTCTCGGGAACAGTAAGACATTAGGTTGGTTTCCTTTCAACCAGATGTTTTGAAATAGGCTAAGTAAACAATCCAAAACATGAAATTTTCGGGGATTTCAGGACCTAGTGCCCCTTTAATGCCACATGAAATACACACAAGAAACCAGGGATGTAGTCAAGTCCATCACAAGACATAGTCTGACTATCACCCGTTGTCCAATGGAGCCCTCTCAGTCTCCAGCCCAACGTCTGATATATCTAAGCATGCAAATTTATGTGACCCCGTGTGCCAGCCAATCGACTTTACAAAATCGTGACGTCATTTCGATCAGAAATGTGGACTTAGCTGTTGATTGGTCAATCTGGATGCCATGATTTTGTAATACAACGGGCATAATAAAACCTAGACACGACATTGGCTCTCAAAAACTGTTAGCAAAATGCTGCGCTTATAGAATACACCAACGCACATCGTGGGCGTGACGTGAACACGTCTGAGGGCGTTCGCATTACGCCCATTATTTAAAATATGTGATGATCATTCGAAGCCACAGGACGTTTGCTCATCGCATAACATATCTTTACAGGTCGCGTGACGCAGCCTATTTTTGCTAACAATTCAAAACGTAAAAGCATAATAGATGTTGTGTCTAGGTTTTATTAGATGTCTATGACAACGGGTTACCGAAGACTCGATATAGAAGGCGCCCGCTGAATGGTCAGAATCTTGAGGTCAAGACGCAGTCTTGTTTTGCATAATTAATTGCCAAATCCCACATCATATACCCTTGCTGTGCAAGGGAATATTCAATAGACTACACAGGTCCCTGCTTAGCCCCTGAAAGTCTGTCACAATTCATCCAGTCAAAATTCAACCCACAAACTATTTAATTTAAATCAGCTCTGACAAAGGTAGTCCTGTGTTTATGACTCGAAGCTTTGCATGGCAGATGAGATAAGTTAAGTAGTAAGATTGCGGGTAACACCATGTGGAAAGATATCTCTTCTTAGAAGTGTGGTTCTGAAAAAAAACCGGTTGGTTGAGTGTAGAACTCGACGTTTCGGACAGTGTGCTCTGTCTGTCCTCAGGAGGGTGAGTGAGTTCTATGTTATTGTTCATCCACTGTTTCTTGTGACTGGACTTGTAATTCACTTGTGATGAACTCAACCACATCCCTGCAAGAAACTACACAAGGTTGAAATTGCAAAGAGTCCGACGTTGGCCATTTATCAAACCTTAACTTTGTCCCCAGCTGTGACTCCAGCTACATGATTGTAGGCCCCGGACTTCAAGGGATTGGGATGGAATATGTAAAAGTCATCTGAATGATCAGAGATGCCACCAATATATCAATAAAAAGCATGAAACTCTATTAAAAAGCCTGAAACTACCGTTACCCCTTTCAAAAATGTGTTTTCTGGATGTTTCAGACAAAATCCAGCACTTTTAATTTGTCACATTTAAAAAAACACACCTGAATTCAGGTTAAAACCTGAAAAGTGGCATCTCTGGAATGATTCACGAGCCAGTGTTGAAGCCAAAGCCAGAGACAAGCCAAGGTTTCGTAAACATCGCATAGTTTCCATGATAAGTAAAATCCATAACGTGGCCAGCCTTTATGTGCCTACCGCATCAGAAAAAATACCTTTTTAATCCCCTTACTTTTAGTACTGTAAAACCTCCACCTGCATTTAAGGCGTGCAATACAAAATGCCCACAAACTTTGGGCATCTCTATCTGTGATAAATTATTAATTACAAATCCACATATATCTATAATGCCTTCCGCGATCAAATCCTTTTGCTATAATATGTACAAGTACTCTTCAATAAATCTTATGGTACAAATTTTCAACGTCCACAAAATTACATTCCTTATGAAGCAATTTCTTTTTTCTACAAAATTCACTCATGTCAAAAGCAATGTTTACTGAATACAAACTGCTAACACGTTAAGAGCGCTTTGGTTGTTTTTGTTTTTTTTTTTTAAATACATGTACTAAAAAAGATATACACCTGGCACAAACAGAAACTGAGCAGTTTTTATAAGCATCCTTGTTTGGACATTTCTCGGTGAACATAAAAATCTGAAATAAACATTTTGTCACGGAAACTTTTCGGTTCAATTTGATACCTCCCTTGGGAACACTGTGTGAGAAATAACGAGAGCGCAAGCGCTGAATCTTAAAACTAAAAGTTGCACTTAGCGAGATTTTCAACGGGCATTGCAACACACAACTGAATGCAGAGGCCTGCATCATGCATTAATTGTCCATTAAAAATCTTGCTAAGCGCAATTGTTAGCCTGGGTTTCAGGAGCTTCAGCACTTGCGCTCTCGTTATTTCTTACTCGGTGTTCCCAAGTGAAGTATCAAATTGAACCGGAAAGTTTCCGTGACAAAACGTATATTTCGGAGTTTGGTTCACCAAGAAATGTCCAAACAGGGATGATTAGGCCAAAAAAAAAAGTCTCCGGTTTCTGGTTTGGAGCTTGCCCAAAAAGTGGTGCGGCGACACGGCTTTTTTTTTTTTTACCTGACTTTTTTGCTTCAAATGTCGGCTGATGACTGCAAATGGTGCCCGACTAAACTTAGTGCAAATATATGGGAGTCCAGAGAGGCCACATAAAGCTTTTTCTCGATCATAACCCCATCTAAAAACACGTTAAAATTGTGCAGCAGCAGGATTCCAGTCAAACCAGTGAGTTTGGCGGTTTTGAGACATCATCTTTCATTGAAAAAAAAACTTTTTCATTTTGCCGACGCACATGGCTACGGCGACGCGCGCGCATACCAGAAACCGGAGACTTTTTTTTTTGGCCTTATAAAAACTGCTTAGTTTCTTTTTGTGCCAGGCGTATTTGTTTATACAGCATCAGTCTAAAGAAATGAAGGATGTGCGATGTTGGCGGCACGGGCCTGGACACCATCTGACACTCGAGGGCGGCATTCAAGGTGGACAACGACTTTGCTGACAAGAATGGCGGTTTTGCCGACAAGAATGGTGAAGGGGGTTCTCAAATACACCCCACCCCCTCTGGCAACCCCCATTGCCAGACACATCAGCCAGCCTGTGGATTAAAGAACAAAAATACTGTTAAGAAAAATGATCCATTTTTACATTGACAGATGACAGAATAGCAAAATTAGAATTTTGTTCACATAGTAAGGTGATGAATAAACACCATGGAATGTTCCCAATCAACACAGGCAAATAACTTGGATGTGCACTGCATTATACCCAATATACAGTACATGTACATATACATGTGAGAGTAAATAATGAAAGGTTTGCGGAAACACCATGTGCGAATAATTTTTCAACTAAGAGAATGGTTCTGAAAAGAACCAGAGGTATAAACTCTTTATACGAGTTTATACCTCTGGTTCTTTTCAGAAACCATTCTCTTAGTTGAGAAATTATTCGCCCATGGTGTTTCCGCAAACCTTTCATTATTTAGTATCTCCACCATGCAAAGCCTCAAATCTTACTCATGTGAGAGTACACATAACCCATGCATGTTCATGTACATGTACATGTACGTATTTTCAATAAGGTGTCGAATACAAAGTTATTCTGAAATCTTTTACTATATACATTTGTACCTATAAAGCCAGTACCTACGGGATTTAAAATTAGGGGAAAAAAAATAAAACTTGTGCGAGTTATTCATGACCCTATTTATCAGTTTGTTGCTGTATGCAGTGAGTAGAAATTCATGCGGCGCCAACGTCAGTTGTTATTGATCAGCTGATGAATAACAACTCAATCATTCTACGCACCTTATTCGGGAATTCATGGGGTTTTCTTTAGGAGAGGATAAAAGGCTGTCACCCAATATGCAAGAAACGATCAAGTTTTTGTTATTTTTTTTTACATCTGGGCCATCATGCTGCCGTGTTTCACAGAAACCAACAATTGCCTAGACATGTGCCGTACAGTATTCCTTTACAGTCATCCGAAAAGGCTGTCACCCAATATGCAAGAAACGATCAAGTTTTTGTTATTTTTTTTACATATGGGAAATCATGCGGACGTGTTTCACAGAAACCAACAATTGCCTAGACATTTGTGTAGTACAGTATTCCTTTACAGTCATCTGAACCACTTGCACACATGTAATTCAATGACCACACGTTCTCTATTCATATGAATGGTATGTGTGCATGCATTGTATAGGTGTGTCTGTAGATTTGTAAATGTGATGACAGGTGTGAATTAAGTTAGGTAGCAATGAGTCTGCAGTACATGTGGTAATTCAAAGCCAGCTTGATACTCACTCACCACTAGTGCATTTAGTTTTAAATCGCATTATCTGTAAGGCCAAAAAAAATGGTTGTGTTGCCCTCACATGAAAAGTATCAGGAAGGTCTATCTTTTTTGTTAGGGGGGGGGGGGGGATATACATACATGTACATAGTAAACAAAATTACCAGTTCCCAACATACATGAAACGCTATGGCTACATGTAAATGTACAAAATATGGTAAATTCAAACTGTACTACCATGTACAACGTATTTGTACATGTACATGTATAATTCTATAAATTCAATAGATGATGCATTGTACATGTACATGTACATGTACATGTACAGAAATAAGAATTGGCCAAAACTCATTCCCGAGAGAATGTAGACCAAAATGAGCAAAATGATGGACATACCGGGTATGCACAAATGTCAACGTACATGTATGTATAATTCTATAAATTCAATAGACAATGCATTGTACACGTACATGTACATGTACAGAAATAAGAATTGGCCAAAACTCATTCCCGAGAGACTGTAATTTAACAGATTCCAGGGTCTGCAGACATCGGTTTACGGTACTTGCAAGTGCTACCCTACCGGTATGCTGATAAATACAATGTATTAAGTAAATGGAATGTACGGCATCTCATCAATATTATTCTATTATTGTTAGCTTGGCCTGGCCAGAATTCTTTTGGGAATTACAAAACAAATACTGTGCAAGTGAAATTCAAAATTCTGGGGCTTTTTTTAACAAGTTAATTTTGCTACAGGGATTGCAAGTGAGCGTAAATTAGTAAAAAAAAAACAGTTCTGTAAGTGTCACTTTAAATTTCAGTGGGGAATTAATTTTGCTGATATTTTGAATATGTGCAGTTCAAAATATCTTCTATTTTAAAAATTTCAAATCAACGATGTTATCCAACGCAAAGTTATGGTAAATTGAATCTATCGTGTATATAAAACAATTTCCGTCAAACAACCTTCACAACGCCTTCCTGCCAAACATCTCTAGAGCTGCCTAATTAATACCAAACGAACGGTTATCAAATCATTTCTGTATTACATGTATGTTGCAATGCTTGGCTTCAGCTCTAAAATCAGTCGTCACCGAAAAATTAATTCATATCCCACAGCACTTCCACATGTCCTCAACTAACAATAAAAATTCATCGCGCGATAGAAACCGATACAATATTAAAAGTTTTCCTTGATTACCAAAACAGATGCTATGCATGTATACATGCACATTGTGGTGTTTTGAGCCTAAGTTGTATTGAAAGTGCAATGATATTTTGAATGTGTATATGAATGTCTGTTTGTTGTTGCTTCTTCCTTGTTTCGAAAGTGAATTGTACATTTGTAAAAGTGCATTTTCAATTCAGGAAATTGTAGTGTTTATAAAAAAGAAAAAAAAAAAAGGGCTAAACTCATCTCAATTACATGTAAAAACTAAATTGTCTACAATTATTTCAATTTTATATCTTTTTTTTTCTCGGGCAAGCAGCATTCTTGCTCACACATTAGGAAAACAAGAGGTACCATGGAAAATGTTTTTGGGTCTCAATTTCAACAACCTGCTTCCGCAAAATGTGAATAGTAAAGTCGAGCTTTACAGAGATGTATTGGTTTCGACTGATTGTATGTCATTTAGATGTTGGAAAAATAGTTTGAAACAGAATGGGTGAGAGGATGCCACCTTCAAAATGATAAATTTGCGACAAATTTTTTTTTTGACTCGGGTAAAAAATGTATAGGTAAAATTTGAAGAAAATGTACACTTACTGAATTGAACCTACGGGTAGTACAAACTGTTTCTGTTGATCATCACGAGATACTGGCTGCACGCGCTTTCCTCATCTGGCACAGCCACTTGATGACCCGGGCATTCTTGGTGATGATGGACTGGGAGGTGTCCGGGAGCTTCTTGGCACGACGAAGACCCTCCTCGCTCACTTTGCTCCCCCGGGAGATGTTGTCCGAGTTCTCCGTGCTGAAAGTCCCGTCATCGTCATCTCTGACGTGCTTGTACTCGTGCATCTCGTGGAAGACTTCCTCCTCGTCGCTGTACGGCATCGGGGAGAGCGGGCCTTGGAAGAAGCTCTCATTCAGCCCCATCTGGTTGAAGAAGCGCTCCACGTCCGAGTGGGCACTGGAGACGGAGCAGCGGGGACTCACGCCCAGGTCCGACTTGGAGCGGCGGCGGCGGAAGTCGCGTCTGGTCGGAGAAGTCAAGGACTCCGGGGGTGAGACGGCATCTTCACGGTTTACTGGTTTGGCATTTCGATTGCGGTTATGGAGGGGTTTACGGACTTCAGCACTAGCCTGGAAATGTGGGATGTCCCTTTTTGGCAAGGACTTCTTTATTGCCAGGTCCTTCTCCTTTTTTGCCTCATTGTCGGATTCAGCTGTGCTGCTGCCGCAGTTATTTTTGCTAGACGTGCGAGAGACCTTCGCTTTGGGATTCTCGCGAGCTTTCACTTTGGTCCCTCTCTTCAGAGTGTTAAGCTCGTCGTCGGGGTTGATTATCCGGGACAGCAGGTTCTCCAGTGACTTGTCTTCCTTCTTCTGATTGGCATGCCTTGGAGGTTTCTTCACCCTCAGGATTTTGGTCTGTCGGTGCTCTACGTCACTGTCCGTCTCTGAGTCATCCCTGTTACTTTCGTAGGGCTTTGGTGGTGCCACCCACTTGGAATTGCCTTCTTGGTTGGATTTTGTTGCTTCTGTTTTCTCCTGAGTGGTGTCTTTACTCAGAAGATCTGCAAGGCTCACCTTCTTGACTCTCTGTGGTTCCACACTGGACCATCCCGCAACTTTAAAACCCAGATGCCCTCTGTCCTGATTTGACGAGGATGTGTCTGAGTTATGGCTAAACTTTCTCCTCTTGTCTAACTCGTCAGTTCTTTCTCCTTCCATGGACGGTCCCAGATATTTCCTTCTGTGTTCCATTTTCCCTGATGTCTCCTTACCAGTGGGAGTCATACTAGGTTCTCTCTTCTCCCACACTGCAGTTAGTTCTACGTCCTTTGAGACAGAAACCCGAGCCCTATTATTATTTTGGATGTTTGAGTTTGCGTCATCACTACCATTTGCTGGACGTGCCCAATGGGTTCCAGAAGTGTGTGTCTCGTTATCTGAAAATTCCAAGGCAATATGGTTGCCGTTGCCATCATTGTACAGGGTTCGCGGACTATCATGGATTTCACCACCTCCAGGACTGGTCATGATTCCACTGAGGAAGCTCTGAACCGTAGACTTTGCATGCTCGTGGCTATCCTCTTGTGAGATCTTTCTTGGTGTGTGTTGTTGAAGTACATGTATGTGGGTCTGTGGATTCTGCAACTCAGTGGCTGTTGTCCGAGTTCTGGAAGTGTCAGGAGACAAGGCCCTTCTATTTTGAACGAGGCCTTCTTGCGCGCCTTGTTTGTGTGCATCGTTCGTGTTTTGGTTTTGACTGAAATTTACTGGCGCCCAGGACTTCTCTTTAAAGTTTTTGATATTGTCAGGACTGGTCTTGGCATGCTTGAAGAGAACGCTTTGTGCTGAGGTTTTTCTTGCAGACGTTGGGAAGAGAGGGTCGTGTTGCAATTGGTCACCCTGACTATGATGTCTCATACGATTGGAATTGGCATCTTCCTTTGGCATGTTTGGGGCGCCAAGAGCTGGATTGTGCTGATCCAGATCTGACTTGGCTCTCCTGTGTATGACCTCCACCGAGGAATCCTCATGGCGAGTGTCTGGTGGCTGCAGCATTGACCGGAAGGCCTCGTCGCTGACATGATACTTTGATGGGAAGACACTACCGCCGACTTGCACTAAGACCCTGTCTCCAGCATGGTGAACTGCATGTTCCAGCACTGACCCCTGGCTTTTGCTCGTTTCTTCAGCATCTCCCCAACGTTCAGGAGACTTTCCAGATATATTGTACTCTTTAGTTCGCCTCAGTCTACGTATATCATCAGATGTCATAGGCTTGGAAATGTCTGGGTCCAACCTTCCTGTTCTAAAGTTTCCATCGTGATGGCTTGCCAAGTTCAATTTCTGAGACATGCCATTCTGTTTAATTTCCTCAGTGGAATTTTCATTTCCATCTGACACAGGTGGAATGTTAACAGGTGCACGAGGTCTGGAAAACAAGTCTGGTTTCGAGGCAACTTGTGAAGTCTGACCAGGACTTTCCTCTTTTGAAATGTTGGATCTTGGTCTGACCACACCATATGAAAGTTTATGAGACGGCCCATAATTCACTGAACTACTTCTTTCTTTGCTTTCTGCTTCATGATTTGTTGGCTTCAGGGTGATCCTGCTGATCTTCCGTCCTTGGCTACTCTCCTTCGCAAAGTCGGTTGCATATCTGGCTTTGAAGCGCTCCATCTGCCTTCTGGTCTGGTCACTGAGTCCTTCTGAAGACGTGGCTGAAGCCTGTTGGGGTTTTGACTTCATCCCCGATTCTTCTGTCGGATCATGGTCTTCTTCACTGGCAGTGCCAGGATTTTCAGAGGGGTCGGCTGCTTCTACTTTACTTCTCTCAAGCAAATTTGGTTTTTCAGACAAAGTACGACTTGGCCGTTGAAGTACCTCTTTTGATTTCAAGGCATCCACTTCTGAGGGAGCCTGGAAATCAGATGCTTGGGCATCTTGTGGATTACTGGGGACACTACGCTTTTTCCAAATGAGAGCAGAATCAGATGAGCTGCTTGACTTCAACAATTCGGTCGGGGACACTGGACCCTGGCTGGATTCGCTCCCACTTTCGGCAGACCCGAAGTTCAGAAACTGCTCCTTTAGTCTACGGACACGGCTACCAGCACTCGGAGAACTGGGATTGGAAAAATCTGTACTGACGACAGCTCCTCTTGGGGAGACAGGCACATCATTAGAGGATCGCCGCACACTGTGTCCTAACGAGGCTTCCACAATCTCCAGCGTGCGATCTCTACTGCCTTTTCGGTTCCGTTGAGAAGGTTTTTCCGGGACGGGAGGTGGAAGCCTAGCGTGGGACTTTTGGGCAGGGCTTCTGCCACCATCTTGGACGTAAGGCACGGCCCTGAATAAGTGACCCTGTGTTTCTTCATGGGACAAGGGCACCTGGTGCACCCTGTGAGTGTCGCTGTGCGTCCTATTTTCTTCTCCTTTGTCTTCCAGCTCCTCTCGGCTGCCTCGTCGGACATATTTGGACCGAGTCTCTGTCAGTCGCTCTGTGGCTGATTTCTTGGTGGGTTGTTGGTCTCTCGCAGATGCATCTCTTCTGAAGCCAGGTCCTGAGTTGAAGGTCCGGAGAGGAAAGTTGGTCACAGCAGAGGATTCAGAGGTGACTGCCATCTTGAATGGATCTGGAATTGAACAATTAATTGTCATGAAGTATAAGAATTTAAAAAAGACTAATAAAAATAAAATTTAATCTACTATTAAAACTGCCCAATTAGCGAACAGTTATACAAACAGAATCACTCCCACAACTTTCCAACTTTTGAAAAGAAAACTGCAAGATTTACAGACATGTGGTTTAAACTATTAATCTCCCCCCCCCCAAAAAAAAATTCTTCTCAACTTTCATTTGATTTAGAATTTGTCAAGATAAAAAAGAATCTCTTAACTTTTGCACACTTTGAACAACATATTTATTTCTTCATCAGTATCAGCCATGCATAAGTTTCACCTTTTTTCTCAAATTTTATTTAATTACAAGTAAAAAGTGAGAGTTTACATTAAGAATTCATGTTGGACATTCAAGTTATAACATGCAAAGCTTTTCAAAATGCTTACCCAACAGACATGAAGAACATTGTTCAGCAACTGATCACTCTGTGGTTTCAACAGGTATCACAGCAACTGCAAAATGCTGATGAGTCATCCAGTAGAACATCCCAAAGTCCCTGACATTATTCTGTGGTTAATAGAGTGTGCATTCTTCATCAGATGTTTGGTGTTGTGTGTATACGTGTACTTCAACAGAAGGATTCTGAAAAGAAAAGAAATCATCAGACATGTCAGACACTGAGCTTAATGCAGGACAAAATGAAGCAGAGAGCACTGTAATTCTTGGAGTTAATAATGTTCAATGAAGTGATTCTTGTGATGTGACTGACTCATTTTGAGTCATTACAAAGTCTGTTGTTTTATGTGTGTGAGTATTTTTGTGTGAGTACATCAATTACATGAACTGTACACATAATAGTACACAAATTACAAAAACATACAAATAATTGAACTTCTCAAACAAACTACAATATGAAATGGACAATTTTCTTACATTACTTTTAATAAATGTGCGAATGACATGAGTTATTAGAGAGAACATCCAACTTTGAAATGATAAAAATGACTTAATTGATTTCAACTCTAGAATCAGACATACATTGTATTGGCATGTGCAAAGAGGCAAACATGCATCACTTCACCAGTACAGCTTAAAGGTACCTGTAGGGTAGATCATTTGTCATTTGTGCATTTGATTGGTTTGAAGCAACAAACGTGTTCAAAATCTAAAGACGGGTGCTGAACAACTAACTTGATTTTTTCAGGTTAGTGAATGCTGTATATTCTGATAAAACAATATTCTAGGATCTCCATTTCAATTCAAAAGTTGCCGAGTCATGTTTTGAATTGCGCCCGAAATCTGGACACGTTCTCATGCAGTCGATTGCAGCTACGCGATGTCAAGCACTGAACCGACGAATAATAGCACCGTGCGCGTATGTGTGTTGTGTAAACGTTTGCACGTACCCATTCACAGATTCGTCGAATTACAAACCAACTATTAACAGAAATTTCCAAAAGTCCGTCACTTGACGCATCTTTGGAAATGGCCTTCTTTTATTGTTTCCTTCAAAATGACAGCATGCCAGAAAGAATAATTCCACAGGGAGTTTAGTGCCATTACTATCTTTCAACCAAGTATGTTTTTTTGACAATAATTTTGTCAGTTACTTATTGGATAGCTGAAAATGATCTACTCTACCTTTAAAGGGAATATACAACATTTGCAAACATCAAAAAATAAAACTACCAACTTTTACGAAATACCTTACTAGGATGTTGGTAAATGACAGTCTAAAGCATCCTGTAAAATTATGGCACCTGGTGTGAAGTCATTTTCAAGAAAATGGTATTTTTGTAAAAATTTCCAACGGTGGTCGGCTGACCACTGTTGGAAAAACCTAACTATTTTTCAACTACTGCTCCAAACTTACAATTTTTTCAGTCCAAATTTTGTTTGCTATTGGTTACATGTTCATGAATGGGTGCAGGCCAGCTGGACTGGTTCCCTTACCTTACAATTTTCCGTCATCTGTAAATTGATCCATTTTATATTTAGTGGAGTCAGGGAACCAGACTGCTTGAACATTTTTGCTTTTCTTGTTTTTTTTTTCAGCATTTTCGAACACAAAACTTCAAGCATGTCAGTGTAACAATATTTGATCTATTATACTAACTCCTGAAACAGTTCATTTCTGAAACTTACAGCAAAAGCCAATGATGTACATTCCCTTTATTAACATGACAATGAAGACTTGAGATTTATTACACTACCAAATTTCTCAAAGGATTAACTTAATGGAATTCTGTTTGAGATTTCTATTATAAAGGATATCTATTATCAGTTTTCCTTTTTGTGCTTCGATGCCTTTCACCGAGGCACTCATAAAAAAAAAATTGCAGAAGCCGCGTGCAGGGCATCGCAGAGTTGGAAACTACAGCCAAATTTTGTTCAATTTTTTTTTTTGGTGTTGTATTATCCTACTCTGATGTATCCATTTCTCACAGGCATGTCATCCCCTGCAACTATTGTAGCTATTCAAAGTCAGCAACCTTGAGGGACAAATAAATAAACAGTCCCACGACCCAAACAATATTTTTGTTCACAGCAGTAGGCAGACAGTCTGTATACAACCATGACAACTATGCATTGAAATGGGTGTGGACAGTTTACAGCGCTGCATGATCATGGTGATACAGTAGACTTCACATGCTGTATCTGTAATGGTTTTTTTTAATGGCAGATTGTAAATGACATGAAGCTGTAAAATACCTAAATACACATGGTCCACGGTATTTTGTGAATGTCTCCTAAAACCAAACCTTTTCCCAACATTAATCACATTTTTTGCTATTTTTGCACCCCCCTACGGTGTTTTGTGCATGTCTCTTAAAACCAACTTTTCACTTTTTTTGGCCATTTTTGCAACCCCCCCCCCCCTCCCTGTGAGATAGTCGATAGAGCATAAAATAGAATATCAAATGACAAAAACCAGATTTTATCAACCATGGACAAGTCCAACTTATGCCCTGCAATGGGGCGCGGGATGACCCAGATCGAAGTACAATTTCCAACAATAACAATTAACTCAATTTTATGCATGAAACCGATGGAGAAAATTGATAGAAAATCACATATGACCAAAACAAGAGTTTACCAATACCCACCATTAACAAGTCCAACTTATACCCTGCAATAGGGTGAGAGATTTGGACCCAGAGCAACGGACAATTTCCGATTAACAATAACCTCAATTGTATGCCTGAATCTTACCCGAGTAAAACCTTAATTTTAAAAAAAATACATAGTTTGTGCAAACACCTACCCCTTATTTACCATGAAAAACGGGCCGGACTGTATCCACCAATGTACGATTTCTATTTCAAAAAAAAGTTAATAGCACAATAACAGTAATGTGTTAGTATAGTAGGCATCTGTTCTATATTTATGTTTGATTAAAAAGGCAGCAGACATTCCGTTGGTGAACTTTGGCTGATTGCTTTTGTTGGTTTCGAGAATAACGACTCACTACTGTGTCCTGGTTTGAATGGAGTTCAACAACCATTCACGTACACGCACTTCATCTCTGTAACACGTGAAATGTGATAATGAATCATTTCTTGGAATGAATCGTTTTCTATTATTAAAAAATGTCTCATTTTTTTTTTAGATTAACGTGAATTCAATTTTATTACACGTCATTAGAACAGAGTTTGTTTCTTTTTTTTATTTTCCAGTATTGTCATGTGTCATCACTTATGTTGATTAAGGTAATACAACATTTGCTTTTGCTGCAATTTTCAGAAATGGATGGATTTGGGGGTCGGTATTTTATACCAAATATTATTACACAGACCTGTTTTGTGTTCATGGATCCTAGAAAAACTAAGAAACAATTGCTGTTCTTGTGGTCTGGTTCCCCGACCCTACTTCATGCGAAACGGAGCGGTAGATGTCTGGAGTCAGGTCAGGTAACCAGACTAGCTGGCTTTCACCCATTCATGGATGTGTAACCAACTACAAACAAAATGTGGACTAACTCAATTTGGTGAACTGGGGGCAGTATTAGAAAGAAAAAAATAACTTTTTTCCCCAACGATAGTTGGCTGACCATCGTTGGAAATTGATACAAAAATTCCATAGCCATAGTTTCACGTGATGCTTGTGACTAGTATTTCATAATAATTCGGTAGTTTTGTTTTTTTGATGTTTGCAAAAGTTGTATATTACCTTAAATTAAACCCATTTGTTTTCCTGTAATGCAATGCGTATTTAATCCAATTCAAAAACACCCAAGTACGAATCCAACAATCATTAACCCACTGTTAAATATTCAAAGGCAAGAATGCGGCTGTGGACTTTTAATTACAGTGCGTGCTTAAAAACTGTGAAGTTTCGGCTGGAGGCTGGTTTCGGCCTGACGTTGACTCCACGTAATATTTTTCAAACATTTCCTTGCTTTTGATGGGACTTAACCAGGAATTTGACTTCAAAACTGCTTCAAGTACCATTCACATGATACAGTATACCGTAGAAATTATACTATGTAAGTATGTATTTTTCTTAAAATGGTTTATAATGAAACCAAGAGTTGTACAAAATAAGACGGAACTGGGAAAATGCAAAAAATTTAGTGGGGGTATTTTTTTTTTACGATTTTCAGATTTATTGAAATTTATCACCATTGATATTGCTACCGCATGTATTTTAAAAGAAATAGAGCAAAAATTGTGGAATAAAAGTGTTTCAATTAAAGGAAAACCAATTGACATCTTTCATTTGCATGAATACAAAACTTGAAACTTTAAAGGCTTTTTCTAAATATTTCACTTTTTGACTTGTCGATAAGTGCAAACTAGTAATAGGCTCTAAATATCCAGAATTTGTCAACTGAAAGTCCAATTGAAGTGCAACACACAGTATTGTAAGGAGAATTTTATTCTCTTTCCTACCAGTAAACCCTCATTTCGACCTCTGCCCAGCTCTGTCTCATTTTGCCAAAACGCCTCGCATGAATGTACGTGTCCCTTTGGGTTCAAGTTTCTGAAAGCTGGATAAATGAATTATGACATCCAGACAACAGGTTGAATTAACCTGACCTATGAATGACACAGGGGAGACGTGGATAAATACAGAGATGCCATGGGATTCCGACCTGCCAAGCGATGTTATTCATGTTCGGTGCATGCAACCGCAAGGTGGGGGGGGGGAGTGAATAGTTTAAAATGTTAGACTTGAGCTAGTCAGTCATGTGTTCTTATTTTGTTCTCACTCTTCTTTTTTTTGTTTTTTTGTCTTTGAGATCTAGGAACTTTAGCGCTGCTTAACCCTCCAGCTATATCAACAGTCGCAGACAGTCAAAATTCACTTCCACTGCTATACTTTTAACAACAGCTAGTCACCAGCAGTCAGATCATATGTCTGACAAGCACTGTGACTAGTCAAACTGGGTCAACAGACAAAGCAGGCACATTTTGTTCACAGCTGTTTTATCACTCACTCAGAGTCAAAGCATAGCTGTATCAAGTTACTTAAACAGTCCCAGCCAGTCAATCCTGCTTATAAATTTGTAGGCTGGGAATTCTTAACAGTTGAAAACAGTCACTTGATTGATTTTGACTCAAAGGACTTCTTCAGTACTTGGCACAGAATGTACGTTTGTATAGGAGGGTTAAAGAATGCAGGGCGTACCTTGT